CTCTCTCCATAGAGTACCTTCTTCATCGAGTACTGCTCAGGGGCCTCTCCTGCTTGGCACTCCTGTGCCTCTTGAGCTGTGTCGACTCCTTTGACACTGCTCCTCCTCCTTGCTATCCTGCTTGCTTGGCACCCTTGTGCCTCCTGAGTGGTGTCGACTCCTTCAACACTGCTCCTCCTCCTCAGGACCTGGTGTCGACTCCTTCGACACTGCTCCTCCTCCTTTGATCAGTGACAGTTCCTTTGGCTCTTGTCTCTCGAGCCCCTGAGTGGTAACCATCTGCATGCTCCTTGAGCTTGGTCCTCTTCGTGGCTGTGCCTGCTCCTTAAGCTTGGTCCTCCTCGTGGCTGTGCCTGCTCCTTGAGCTTGGTCCTCCTCGTGGCTGTGCTTGGCCCTCCTTTGCATGTGAGTCCATAGGAGTCCATGGTCTCCATGGAGACTGCACTACGACCATGCTCTCTACTGGTGTCGACTAGGTCTTCGATACCTGTGCTCCTTCCATATGAACCAGTGACCCTCCTGCTTCTTGAGCATCCAGGCCCATGACAGTAAGGATGATTGTTCAATGACTTCACATGCAAGGAGGACCAAACTCTGCCAAGACGGGGTCCAAGTCCAGAAGCATGCAGCTGGTTACCACTCAGGGGTTCACAAGATGAGAGTCAGGAGAACAGTCACCAGGTAGGAGGAAGGAGAGCTGTGTCAGTGACACTGGCATATAGGTCATGAGGAGAAAGAGCTGTGCCAAAGAGGTTGACACACAGCTCAAGAAGGACAGGAGCGATGTTGCAGGGACTCCTGCACAGTACTCGACGAGGAGTCCACTCTCTGGAGAGAGAGAGCTGGAGCAGTGTTGCAGGCAATGCTGCAACGATGTGTCATGGGCCTGGATGCTCAAGAAGCAGGAGGGTCACAGGTTCATATGGAAGGAGCACAGGTATCGAAGATCTAGTCGAGATCAGTAGAGAGCATGGTCGTAGTGCAGTCTCCATGGAGACCATGGACTCCTATGGACTCACATGCAAAGGAGGGCCAAGCACAGCCACGAGGAGGACCAAGCTCAAGGAGCAGGCACAGCCACGAGGAGGACCAAGCTTAAGGAGCAGGCACAGCCACGAAGAGGACCAAGCTCAAGGAGCATGCAGATGGTTACCACTCAGGGGCTCGAGAGACAAGAGCCAAAGGAACTGTCACTGATCAAAGGAGGAGGAGCAGTGTCGAAGGAGTCGACACCAGGTCATGAGGAGGAGGAGCAGTGTCGAAGGAGTTGACATCAGGTCATGAGGAGGAGGAGCAGTGTCGAAGGAGTCGACACAGCTCAAGAGGCACAGGGGTGCCAAGCAGGAGAGGCCCCTGAGCAGTACTCGATGAAGAAGGTACTCTCTGGAGAGAGAGAGCAGGAGCAGCATCACTGGCGATACTGAGTAGAGGTATATAACCATGCTTTCTCATCATCATAGGTCGAGTGGATCCTCATCCACTCTACACCATACATAACTAGTTATCACTTCAGCATAAGTATACATTAGTTTAAGTCAGCACAGTCACAATCAAGTAGATTGCTTCCATTATAGCACATGTGTTGTATCACCACTCACTGACGTCCAAAGGCGGTTCCTAGTAAACCTGTGGTCTGGATAAAGATAGAACCAAAGGCAGTCATCCACTGTGGTCTGGGGATCACCTCAAGCATACAGTCAACACACTGGACACTCGTGTTGGCATCTCCAATCTAGTCACTCACACCAGACCTTGGTGTCAGTACCAATTCATATCAGTTATTGATTGTGCTGAGCTACCTCTGGACAGAGTGTCCACAGTGGTCAGTCAAAACCTGCAATAGCAAAACCAATACTGCAGTTCTGAGCAGGAAAGTGATAGAGACAGCTCTATTACATATTTCGCTGAGAATCATAATATCACAAGCATTGTCGCATAACTCGACAGGATTTGTAATAGATGCGACTCTATTACAGATATCAGGTTTTGGGTGCACGACCCCTGACAGTACTGTTGCTAATGCTCTCTAACGTCGTCTGGACCGCGATATGCCTATTGCCTACAGAGGACAGGAGTTACTGGACTGCAGGTGTTGGACATTGCCTACAATAACTGACTGGACCACAGATGTTGAGCAACACTGCCTACAGTAAGGAACTGGACTGCAGGTGTTGAGGAACACCACCTACAGTTGATGCCTAACAGTGATACAACACATACATTTGAGGTGTTGTTGCAAAGCTCTGCTATTGCAATGATACATAACTATGAGTCAAGTAAAGAGTATGTAAAGTATAGAGTAGAGTGGATGAGGATCCACTCATATGCTATGGTAGATTGAGAGTATTTATGCATTCACTTGGTGTTGCCTGCAACACCTCTCCTGCTCCTCCTGAGAGGCCTTTGCCTCCTCTTGACACTCTCCCTCCTGCTGGTGTCAATCCCTTTGATGCTGTGCCTCTACTGCTTGCACAGTGTATTGGTTTGTGCAATACTGCCCCTTTGCCTCCATGCTCTTCTTTGCCTGGTGATGTGTGATGACCCCTTTGACACAGCTCCTCCTCCTTGTAGACAATCCCCAGTCTACTTGACACAGCTCCTTCTTTCTTCACCAGCAACCACCTTCTCAACCTTATCTTGTGAATCCCTTAACCACCTGTTGAGCCCTGTTGCCAAGCCCCCTTGATCATGTGGTTGCCCCTGTGCTTGGTCCTATGTGGCTGTATGCATGTACCACTTGAGTGGTAACCATCTGCATGATGCTGAGCTCAGTCCCCACTCCTGCATGTGGTTATCTCCTGTATGCTTCTCCTTCTAATGCCAGTATCCTCCTTCCTGAATCTCCTGATGTGATGGCTGACTTGCTGAGACATGCTGATCAGGCTGATTCTGATCAATCCTTGTGAGATTAACCAGGATCCCAGAGTTCAGTTGATCTTGCAAATCATATGCACTACCAACCTGATTAGATCATCAATTCCCAATGATTGCCGCAGATCAATTTGGCGCACACTTCATACACTGATCCACTGACCCTTTGACAGTTATCACGGATTCTGACTAACCGCTGTGGGAACTCCGGTCAGAGGTAGCTCAGCACAATTGTTATCCAATAGATACTTTGAGGTGACACCAAGGTCTGGTGTGAAATGAGTTGACTTGACACAAGTGTCCAGTGTGTTGACTGATTGATTGAGTGATCCCTGGATTGCAGTGGACAACTGCCTTCAGTTCTAAGATTGAGAGAGCCAGACCACAGTATGAAACTGCCTTTGGTGTCAATCATTATCTGGACTGCAGTATGAGCTGCCTTTGGATGGCATCAAGAAGCAATGATACAACACATGTGCTATGTAGATGCAATGCTCTGCAATTGCAACTGTTGACAGAATTACTAGTGTATACTTATGTGAAAATATAACTAGTAAGATAAGGTGTAGAGTGGATGGGGATCAACTCAACCACTATGATGAGAAAGCATGCTTTTATGGACATTATCACAATGTCGCCTGCGACAATGCTTCTGCTCTAGGAGACCTCCCTTGACACTGCTCCCCCCCCCCCCCCCCCCCCCTGTTGTCTTTACTACTGCTCTTGTTTACCCTATGACATCCCCCCCTCCTTAGTAGCCTTGGTATCCCCTGCTCCTTGTGATTGGGGTGACTTTGTGCTGCTTCATTGCTGTTAGGGGTCACTCCCACTTCATCTGGGTGGTGAATCACCCCCTCCTTCATATCGCTCAACCTCTTTGTTGAGTTCATCATCATGCAGGGCCCCTACTTCATCAGGTGGTGGCCCATCCCTTGACTATTGTCCTGCTATCATTGGAAGGAGTATCTTCAGACAGGTTTCCACGAGATCTGTCATATGAGCATGATACTACTGATCACACCAAACTCTGTAACAAGGCCATTGCTTCTGCTGATCTTGATGAGGTATGTCATAGAGTACTTGATCCTACCAATCTTGCTGAGCTCTGTTGGAACTCTCCTTTTGCCCAATCCACAATGGTTGCACAAGATCTCTTCATATGAGTTCCGTTCTTCCTGCACATCCTTCCGGTCCCATGACACTTGGCTGCAAGATCCTGCTCATACCAATTTGGACAAAACCTGTTGTAGAGTCTCTCTACTACAGATCTCAATGAACTCTGCTGTAAACCCCTATTTTGCCAGATCCTGCAATTCCTGCACTCCTCCTCATATGACTTCGGTTCTTCCTGCTTCCTGCACATCTGGTCCCATGACAGTGCTACAACAGTTAAGCTGTTGAAGGGGGGGTGCGGTTTATAGCGTTGATCAGGAGTATTGATTGCGATGAAGAGCATAACTAAGTACATGATGATTCAAGTGTATATATATGTCCCCCCAGCGTTCTATGTATGTGTGTATGCTGCAAGGACAATAAGACTGAAGTATGACAGGGAAACTGTGCTGGATGTCTGATAGCCAGTATAGTGATACCTTTTGTGAGAGTCAATCTGGGTAATATAATGCAAATCCGAGGGAGGGAAGTTGGCGAAGGTGTGAGATCGAACTATAGCTCACATGCGTTTACTTAAGCGAAAAGAGGCCGGAAAGCATCCGATCAAAGCACCGCGCGCCGAGGGAGAGCAGTCTAAGTTTTCGTGACTCCAAACAACCGAGTCTTGCGATCCAGGAGGGAAGCCACTTCTACCATCCGTCACCATCACCCGACCGCTCGACTAATACATCACAGCCACAGTGACGAAGCGGCGATAGGATCGTGGGAAAAGGACCCGGAAAGGCCGACATTTTCAGGCTGAGTGCAACTGGAAGGAGCATTGTAACAGTCTAGGATAGCATCACTTTGGTACTTTTGTGAAAGCATTCGACTCGCTTTGCTTACATCCGAAAGGCTCTTGCTGCTCCACCTCATCTCTGTCGCCGTCGCTATCCTCGCTGTCAACGTGACTCGACCTCGGCTTCGTTGACCATCGCCTGCCTTCCTTCGCTTGCCATCCGCAGCAATAGCAAGTCATGGCGGGCTCGCCGAATGCAGAGCCGCGCACGGTCAAGCGCAAACGCTCCTTCTCTCCACCTCCTTCTGCTTCCTCGTCAACGACTGCGCGCACACCACAAACACAGCTGCCACACTTCCATGAGCTCAACACCAAACCTCAGCGTCATTCTCATCATCCCGCCTCTCGCCACAACGATGCCGCCGAGCCGTATTCACGATCCATCCACTCTCGCTCCCACTCCTCAGCCTACTCGCAGCATCACTCTGACTCGGAACGCGAGGACCACGAACACGACACCGCCTCACACTCGCATTCGCCACGACAGGCAAGGTCTCCTTACGCTACCAGTGATCTTCGCGGCTCTCCTTCCACCAACGCTGCTGCTGGCAACGATCCTATCGCTTCACCTCGTTCTCATTCCCTTATAGCTCCACGTCCCTCTTCCTCATCATTTTCTTCCAACGCCGCTGCTTCTAGCACTTCGTCCTCACGCTACCTAGCTCAGCAGCATCACCATGGCCTTGCTCAACCGGCGACTTCCCATCCTGGCTTGAACCATCCTTCCTCTCACACCTTCTCCTCATCTTCACGCAATAACGACCACTACCGCCCACGTTCGCCTTTACCCAAGACATCTTCCGCAAAAGCCGCTCAGTCTTTGACCGCATTGGAATCCTCTCATCTTTCGGATCTCAAAAGTGACCTTGCCTCCATTACTTCTCCGCGTCAGCGTGGTTCTTCCAGCTCGACACCACAGACGCCTGCGACCTCCACGCGCAAGATGGAAGCGCCTGCATCCTCAAGGCGCAACGATGCCGGCGGCGAGTCCTCCTCTACAGAAGCCTCTATGACATCAATCGTCAAGAAGGAACAATCGACAATCTCCGAAAAGCCTCGTGGTGGACAGGCCTGTCTCGAATGTCGTCTCGCCAAGGTCCGGTGTCTTGCCTCCGACGACGCAGACAACTGTCAACGCTGTCAGCGTTTCAACTTTGAGTGCCTCTTTGTTCAGCACAAGCGAGGAAGAAAGCCAAAGAGCAAGCTTCAAGGCCGCGATCTCACTCTGCTCGCTGAAGCCGCCTATGCGACCAACTCGTCGCCTGTCCCACAGAGCGACCGGCCCAGCGCTCGCAAGTCTGCCTCTGCGAGCAGTATCGCCACTCCGGGCTCTCGCCCAATAGCCTCCTCGCTAGCTGGCAAAGGTGGATCGTCCAACTCCGCCGCTTCCCCTGGCGTTCGATGGAGCTCTGCTCCCGATAGCGCCTTTCCTGCTCCACCGCATTCAACAGATTACGCTGAACGCGACAACGCTCGACTTGGTATGGACATCGACGACGACAACGCCAGCCGTGCAGCTTCCCCTTCCTCGGCCTTTTTCTCCAGAAAGCAACCCTTGTCTGCATTCGGCTCGCAAGCTGACAACAGAGCCGCCCTCGATCCCCAGAACCTCTTTGGTGTCGATGTCACTCGCATGACCTCAGCCATGTCTCAAGCCATGCGTTCTTTGGAGAGGAGAAGAGGTGCTCCCTATACCCTTGTCACCAACAATGAGATTGCCAATGTTGATGGCAACGACGATGATGACAGCAGCGAAGTCGGTGCCACTCCTCAACCTCCCGGTACTACCACAGCTGCCGACACCAACGCCGCCAACGAGAGCTTCGAGCTCATCGCCGAACAGCCTCTCACCTTGCGTGTCATGCTCAAGCCTTTTGAGGTGTCGGATCAGCCAGATTGCGAGACGCCCCGGATCTTGCAAGATGACCGCAATCCTCTAGCCTCTCAGCCAACTCAACCACAACTCAATGATCCCATCACTGAAGGCATCCTCACCGAACCTGCTGCTCGTGCCCTTTTCGACCTCTTCATGACGCATTGCAATGCCTGGAGTGGCGTCTTTGACCCATCGCTTCATACGCACGACTTTGTCCGCAAGCGATCCTCTTTCCTCTACACTGTGTTGCTCTATGTCGGCACGCGACACTCGAAACGACCTACCGCCCATCACCTCATCGCACGCGAGCTGCGAAACGAGCAAGTGTCCGACTCGGAATGGAACATTGCTTACCTTGATCCTGTCAATGACCGCACGCAGAAGGCTGCTGAAGACTACGCCAATCAAGTGTGTCGCCGCATTCACGATATGGCCCGAGAGCATGCTGCCCGTGCTTTCGTCGATGGTGACCGCACTGTGCTGTGCTGTCAAGCCTTTTTCATTCTTGCCAGCTGGAAGCCTCTCGACGACGGTCTTAGTGTCATCCAGGTGGGTTACGCTTTCCGCCTCGCAATGGACATTCAGCTTCACGCCGAGATGCCCAACTGCGTCAAGCCCAACGAGTCGACCCTTGACCAGGCTGGTAGGCAGCGCTACGAGGCAGTACAGAGACGATTCCGTAATCGTCAACGAACCTTCATGATGTTGTTCGTGCAAGACAAGTCGCAGCAGATCTCGAACAAGATCACTACTCACTCAATCTCGGCGGATAACGTGCTGGTTCGACGCTGTCAGACCTGGTGGAAGCATGCTGGTTCCATCCCGACCGACGCATTCGTGTGTGCCTCGACCGACATCCGCCGTATTCAGGGCAAGTACGTAGAGCTGTACGATCGCATTGAGGCCCTCACCTCGGCCACCTCGGATGGGCCAAGCATCATGATGCCTGCCTTCCTGTCGGATCTCTTCGAGTGGAGCGCACGATGGCATGAAGCTCTGGGATTGCGAGAAGACATGGATGGGAACAGCCATTCCGACGATCCAGCTGCCTATGAGCGCAGGTGTCAGCGTTTGTGTCTGAAGCTGTGGAAGGACAACATCAAGACCTACGTATCTTCGCTGGTACTCAAGTCCAGCCTCAAGCAAGCTGCATTGCAGGAACATCAAGAGATCGTTCGCAACCACCATCGTCGATCTACTACGAGGGAGAAGGAGGACCGTGACTCTATCTCGGGCAAGTCGCACTTGTCGAACGGGCTCGAGCCTGGTATGGTCAACTTGATGGCTATGCCTGCCTTCTGGCCTTGTGTCGAGGGCGCGCGTGGTGTGCTGGAGGCGGTATGCGCCTTCCCACCGGAGAGACTGTTGTGTGCACCTGATGCGACGATCATGCAGACAACCCATGCTGCTGTGCTGCTTTGCAGTCTTGCTACGGTCAAGTCGCAGCCACCGCTTGGGCCGGGTTACTTGCGCTCGAACATTCAATTGATTGATCAAGTCAGCGCCGCTTTCCGCCGTGCAAGCATTACAGAGGAAGACACGGTGCTGCACATCGCCATTTACCTCGAGTCACTACTGCGGCCCAAGAACGCTGCACCGAAGCACAGTGCCCAGACTGATCCTGTCAAGTCCTCTCACGCTGTGTCAGGTGGTAGTGGCGCTTCCCGTGGAGCTGCGGCATCTGGCGAAACGCAACGCAACAGCAACCCAGCATCTGTATTTGGCAACGGATCCATGATGGGTGGTTTGCCCTCGGACAACGGCCAGAATGGAGCTGCAAGCTTTAATGGTGGGGCGATGGGTGGTGGACTCAACAACTTTACTCAACTCGCCAACTTTACGCTCATGTCGAACAATACTGACATGTTCTACTCAGGCAACAACAATAGCAACACCAACAACAACAATCTTGACGCTGCAGCGGAGAACGCAAGATGGTTCAACAACGCTGGGTCGCAGAACAATGGCCCCAGCGTTCCGCAAGACGACAACAACAACAACCTTTTCTTCAACAATAGCGGTGCAGGCGACAGCTTCGACCGCGAAGGCTTGGACGCCATTGCTTCTGCTGCTGCGGCGGCAGCCGCTGGTGAGAGTGGCGCTGCAGCAGGAGGTGGTGGTGGTGGACCAATGGACATGTCTGCTGTCAACTGGTCTTCTGCTATGGGTGGAGGTGCTGGAGGTACGCCGGCAGTATCGGCACCGTGGAATAATATCATGTTTGCAAGTGCAGGGGATGGCAACCCCGCATCTGGACTCGGTGATGGCTATCAACAGCAGCAGCAGCAGCAGCAGCAGCAGAACAATAACATGTTCGGGCAACACCAAAACTCGAGCCGGGAACAAGCTGACGAGACATTGCGCATGTTGTTGCGTTTCCTCGACGGTTGAGCCGGAAACCTTACCGTTATCGTTCAAAATCTCTGTACACTAAACTCTCATCTAATCTTATTCTTTCTGGAACTTCGGACATCACAATCGAAGCACCGAGTGATACATGAAAGAAATTTTGTATTCCGCAGGAGGACATGGAGACATTTAGACGTACTGGAAAGGCGTAGCATGACCCTGCTGAACTGTAATACCCTTTGTCTGGGTGAACTCCCTTACACCCTCGAGCCCATTGAACCTTCCGTAACCACTGCTCTTCCAACCACCATGAGGCATTACTGGATCATCGTGTACCGGTTGAGCATTGATATGAACCTGTCCCGCCTCGATCTTGTCTGCGACCTCCAAACCGAGAGTTTGATTACGGGTATAAACGCTTGCTGCCAACCCATACTCGGGAGTGTTGGCGATTTTGATTGCTTCATCGACAGAGCTGAAAGTGATGAGGGAGAGAACGGGACCGAACGTTTCTTCGGTGTAGATCTTCATATCTTCCTTAACGGGGGCTAGGACGATGGGCTGGACGAGAGCGCCTTCGAATGCAGCCTCACCAACGACGACCTTTGCGCCTTTGTCGATGGCGTCTTGGTAGAGAACCTTCAAACGGTCGGCGGAGGAAGCGGTGAAGAGCGAGCGAAGGGCGTGTTTGTCCTCCATACCTTGCGAAAGCTTTGCGGTGAAGATCTCCTTGTGTTGTTGGAAGAGGGTGTTCAATGTATCTTCTAGCTTCTTTGCCACTTTTTCGTGGACGAGGATGTTGTTGACCGCCATGCAGATTTGGTTAGAGTTGAGGTATCCGCCAAAGAGAATCCCGTTAGCAGCCAAATCCAGATCCGCATCCTCGAGGATGATTAGAGGAGCCTTTCCTCCAAGCTCAAGTACGACTGGTTTAAGATACTTAGCAGCGGTAGCAGCAATTATCTTACCAACCCTAGTACTTCCCGTAAAGTTAACTTTCCTCACTGCGGGATACGAAATCAACGCCTCCGTCACCTCCGGTGCGTGCTGCGGATCAACATGAACCACATTCAACACTCCCTTCGGCAACCCGGCATCGATCAAGACCTGTGCCACACTCAAGTGCACCCTAGGAGCAAACTCTGATGTCTTCAAAATAGCACAGTTACCCGCTGCGATCGCATACAGCACCGACCTCAAACCCAAAATAAACGGCGCATTCCAAGGAGCGATACCCAAGACAACGCCGTAAGGTTCACGCTTGACGATTTTCATCGCTCCATCGTCCCCCGGTGGAAGCAGGTCGGCTTTGAGAGCTTGAGTCATGCTCTCGGCAGCAGATTGAAGGTGACCTGTGGCGAGGATAGCCAGTTCGAACCCAGCCATACCTCGAGAGAGAACGGTTTCTTGCATCGTGTTGCCTGCGTATTCCGCAACTCGCTCTTGCAGGAGCTGGGTGGCTCTGAGGAAGATTTCTCGTCGACGGGAAACGGGGGTAGCGCGCCAACCAGGGAATGCCGCTTGGGAGGAAGCGACAACCTGAGCTACCTCGGAAGGGGAGATGGAGGCAACGTTGTGGGTCACATCGCGAGTGCCAGAGGAGGGTTGGTCGGTTCGGTAGACGGCGTAAGTATGAGAGGGGGTGAAGGGGGAATTGTCGATGATGCATGGGAGGGGGTTGGAGGAGATGAAGTTCGGGGGAGAGTCGCCGTTGGTAGTCATCTTTGCAGAGGTTTGACGATGAGCTGGTAGTAATACTTGGTTGGGATGGTGTTGAATGAGGGTGAGCAAGGGTGAAACAGGGTGGGTTGGTTATTTGTACTGTCGAGCCTGAAGAATAAGACCTTCCGACTTATGCGCGCACTGGCCAACTCAGTTCTCACTTGCCTCGCCATGATTACAGCACTCGTCTGTCCTTCCTTCTCCTGTAGCTGTTGCTTTCATCTCACTTGGATGAAGAGGGGAACAGTTCGAATCATAGTCGACTACCTCTTCGTAAGGCTGGACAAGCTCCGTGGGTCGATTAAAGGAACTGAATTAACCCGACCTTTGGGGAAACATACGGGTCTTGACCAAGCCGAGAAGCCGACAAGGGGGATTATGTCAACTCTCCCCTTCTTCTCCGCAGTCACATCGATGAGGTGTAGTTCATTCCAAAGTCACATTAAGCAACACAGGCACACACACACACACGCAGGCAGGCTGGCAGGCAGGCAGTCAGTCTGTGTTCGGCCTATCCTTCCTCCTTCCTCCTCCTCTTGTTCCTTTCCATAGGCTACTCCTTGTTCTTGTCGATCTGGCAGCTGAGTCATCTCGTTGCCTCGCCTCAAGCCAAGGAAACTCGACTCAGCAACTTAAGTGTCACATTGGTGACTTTGTGTCAGCGGTCGCATGCCTGAAACCCGAGATCTACCAGATTGATTGATTTCAACCAGTATCAATGAACTCTCTTGAGCATGCGCCTGTCAGCCACTTCCACTGAGACTGCTTGGAGGGCTCATTACTTGACGAGTTTCAGCCAACCACTGTGAACAATCAGTCCAGTGGTAGCATGGCACAGTCTAGCTCCTGTCTGCTGCAGGACACCTTAGTGTATGTGATGGTAGCATTGGCTCAACATGGGTGTTCATAATGTCAACAACCAGATGGTGAGTTTGATGAGGAAAGCCTGGACCACAATAAGAGTACTGCCTTTGGTGAGATAGATATCTGGACTGCAGTGAGCTACTGCCTGCAAATGATGTCAATGAGGGGTGATACAACACACCTGCTTGGATTAGTAGCAACAGCCTGTGATTGCAACTATGTGACAGAACAACTAAATATATGCTACAGCTTAGAGTATAGTTAGTTAAGAATAGAGTGGATGCCAGATCCACTTGTTTACCATGATGGAGGGAGCCTATATATGTCTTGGTGCCATGGTGTTGACTTCACCACAGCCTTCCTCCTTGCAGAGGTGTGGCCTCTCCATCCACCCTTGTCTACCTTGCTCCTACTCCATTCTTACCCTTCCTGCTCCTACTCCCTTGTTGAAGCAGCAACCCTCCTATGCTGACTTCATCATGCTCAGGGGTTCTCTCCCACCTCATCAGGTGGTGAGCTCTCTCTTGTCCCCTGCTCCCAGTGGCTGAACCTGCAATCCTGGTTGGGCAGCCCCTCCCCATTGTGGGACCAATTGGTCTGCTTCATCTTGGGCCAGACAGTGAGGTCCATGGGAGTGGCATCTTCTGACTGGTTTCATTGAGATCTGTTGTAACATCTTGGTCTTACTGATCCCAACAAAACTTGTTGTAAGGTCTTGTTCTGCCAATCCCATTGAATTCTGTCATAGGACATAGATCCTACCAATCTTGCCAAGCTTCATTGGAACTCATCAGTCACCCAATCTTGTGATTCCTGCACATGATCTCTCCTCCTTTGGATCCAGTTCTTCTGCACAGGTGGTCCTATGACAGAGAGCCTCCTGGCCGAGCAAAGAAGTCGAGTTTGGACTACATCCAAGCTTGCTAACCATGTTGCAGCAGTACATGTGTTCAACATGTCCTCAAGCCCAATGGCTTGCCTGTCTTGTGGTGAGGCAATGCCAATCAAGGAGTTGGCCCTGCACCTTGATTGTCAACATGAGCTTGACCTTTCAGGCAAAAAGTAGGAACTGCTGGCTGATGATCTCTCAAATCTAGGTGGCAGAATGCAGGCTAAACAAAGGCCTGCAATTCTTAGATGGATCAAACAAGGTTACCCAAATGACAACATATCAGGCCACATGAGTGCCAAAGCAGTGGCAATGTCCAAGCCAAGATCTGGCAGCTCCTGTTATCATCCTGTTTCCACTCCCTTGGCACCTGGTTGACAGCAGAGTAGGGGGTTTCAGTTTTATTTCTTTTTCAGAAACTCAAGTTATTTTTGAGTTTTCACTTGCATCAAATATTCATTACTTATGTAAGCTCTGCCATTTTGGAAAAGTCCCTAGTCTTTGAAAATGCTGCCTCAGCAGTATTGATGCAGCAGAGTTTTCAGAATTGGACCTGAGTTTTCACTCACATGATGTTGCACATGATCTACTCACACAAATGCCTCCACTTTTCCTGCACAGCTTGTTTTGCATGAACCCACAGTGTCAATAATGACTGTATATACTTTGATTGTGCAACAAGAGTGTCAAAGATGGTAGAGCTACAAGGTGGTTTGGATTTCAGAACAGGTGGTTTGGATTCTGGAACAGCTTCATTTTCCGGCCAACACTTCATGTTCCAGCTAACACTACCCTCCCTTTGTTGGCTTCGAAAATTAACCCCCTAAAACACAGCTTACATTTGGGGGCATTAATTTTCTGAGCTTTTTTTAGTATTGGAAGACTCTAGTTTTCGAGGGCAAAAAAAAACTGAAACCCCCTAGTTGTGTAAGCGGTCGCACGCCTGAAACCAGACTGTGTGTTTCCGGTTGTTCTCGGTGAGATCACCTGAGTAAGCCCTATTTGGTTTATTTCAATTGAGAGTCACCAGACAGTTGAGTTCTAGTAGGTGTCATAGGACCAGATGTGCAGGAAGCAAGAAGATCCGAAGTCATATGAAGAGGAGCACAGGAATTGCAGGATTGGGCAAAGCAAGAGTTTTAAGGCAGAGTTCACCAAGATCTGTAGTAGAAATGGCTGTATGGCAGAACTTGTCAGGATTGGTAAGAACAAGGTCATTACTACAGAGTTCAGTGGGAATGGTAATACCATGCTTGTATGACAGACCTCATGAGAATCAGTTTGAGAGGTGCCTCTATCACCAATACAGCAAGAGGAGGATAATGAACAAGGGAGAGGTCACCACCAGATGCAGTAGGGGCCTTGCACAATGATGAAATTGGTGCCAGCAAGTAGGTACCAATGACAGGAGGGTGATGTAAGGGTGTGAGTTGCCACACAGATGAAGTGGGACTATCCCCTGATGATGATGAGGCAGCAGGAGGACCATCCATCCACAGGAGACGAGGGAAATGGTGCCAACGAGCGGCGTCACAAGGTGGATGGAGAGGATAGGAGGGATGAGGAGGAGCAGCAGCATCGCAGGCAACATTGCAGGAGTGGATATATAACCATGCTCCTCATCATAGCAAGTGAGTGGAACTCCATCCACTCTACACCATATCATACTAGCTATAAATTTCACATAGGTATACTTAGTAGTTTGTCAACAGTAGCAATCATAAGACATTACTCCTATCATAGCATGTGTGTTGTATCACTGCTCATTGACAATGATCAACACCAAAGGCAGTTCATACTGTGGTTCGGCTCTCTCGATCATTAGAGCCAAAGGCAGTCGTCCACTGCGGTCCGGGGATCACCTCAAGCACTTGTGATGCTGCTCTCTGGCTCCGCTTCTCTCGTGCCCTGTGGATGGACAGTCCTCGTGCCACTTCATCATAGTCAGGAACCATTCCCACTTCATCTGGGTGGCAACTGGCACCCCTTCATCTCCCTACTGTTGTCAGCACCCATCTGCTTGCACTGACTTCATCATCATGTAAGGTCCCTACTTCATCTGGTGGCAACCTCTCCCTTGTTCGTTGTCCTCCCCTTGCCATATCAGTGATAGAGGTTTCTCTTGAACCAATTTCTGTGAGGCCTGTTGTAGCAAGTGTGGTACTGCTGATTCTACTGACTCCTGTAGTAAGACCCATGTGTCATGGGCCTGAATGCTCAAGAAGCAGGAGGGTCACTGGTTCATATGGAAGGGGCACAGGTATTGGAGATCTAGTTGATACCAGTGGAGAGCATGGTTGTAGTGCAGTCTCCATGGAGACCATGGACTCCTACAGACTCACATGCAGAGGAGGACCAGGCCCATATGCAAGGAGGGCCAGGCACAGCCATGAAGAGGACCAAGCTCAAGGAGCATGCAGATGGTTACCACTCAGGGGCTCGAGAGACAAGAGTCAAAGGAACCATCACCAGTCAAAGGAGAAGGAGCAGTGTATAGGGAACTGGCAAGCAGGTCCCAAGGAGGAGGAGCAGTGTCGAAGGAGTCGACACCACTCAGGAGGCACAGGGGTGCCAAGCAAGCAGGACAGCAAGGAGGAGGAGCAGTGTCGATGGAGTCAACACAGCTCAAGAGGCACAGGGGTGCCAAGCAAGCAGAATAGCTCAAGGAGGACAGGAGTGGTGCTAGAGGGGCCCCCTGTACAGTACTTGATGAAGAAGGTACTCTCTGGAGAGAGAGCAGGGGTAGCATTGCTGGCGATGCTGTGAAGAGGTATATAACCATACCTTCTCATCATCAAAGGTCAAGTGGATCCTCATCCACTCTACACATACCATAACTAGTTATCACTTCAGCATAAGTATACATTAGTTTCAGTCAGCATAGTAGCAATCTATCAAGATTGCTCCTCATTGTAGTGCATGTGTTGTATCACCACTACCTGACATCTGAAAGCAGTTCATAGCAAACCAGTGGTCTGGATATAGATAGAACTGAAGGCAGTAGTCCACTGCAGTCCAGGGATCACTTCAAGCATTAGTCAGCACACTGGACACTCATGTTGATGCCACCAAATTACCACCAATGCCACCAACCTTATCACCAACACCATCAACCTCATCATCATCAACACTCACACCAGACCTTGGTGTCAACATAACCTTCGTATTGATATTGATCAAGCTGAGCTACCCCTGAATGGAGTGTCCACAGAGGTCAGCTGAAACCTATGATAGTATATACAATGAATGCCACCCACTGTCATTGTGCAACTTGATAGTCACTGAGCGATGTAGCTCATTGAGACTGATACTGAGACAATAGCTGTTGCACAGTTTGATAGTCACCAAGTATCTCGACAGACCGACCTGGGTTTCAGGCACGAGACCCCTGACACCATGTTCCTACCGATCTCGACGAGTTTTGTCATAGAGCCATTGATCCTACCAATCTCACTGAACTCTGTCAGAACTCTACTTTTGCCCGATCCATGATTGTTGCACATGAGTTCTTCATATGAATCCATTTTTTCCTGTGCATCTATCCGATCCTGTGACAGTACTGGACTGCAGGTGTTAGACACTGCCTTCAGTAATTGAACTGGACTGCAGGTGTTGAGCAACACCATCTACAGTGAGAGACTGGACTGCAGGTGTTGAGCAACACTGCCTACAGTTGACATCCAATGGTGATACAACACACATGTTCTAGATGTCATTGCAAAGCACTGCTATTGCAATGATATGTAACTAAGAGTCAAGTAAAGAGTAAATAAGATATAGAGTAGAGTGGATGAGGATCCACTTGTATGCTATGGTGAAATGAGAGTATTTATGTGTTTGTTTAGTGTTGCCTGCAACACCTCTCCTGCTCCTTCAGAAAGGGTTATTGCCCCCTTCCAACACTACTCCTCTTTTCCTTGAGCTGTGTGTTGACTCCTTCAATGCTGCTCTTCTACTGCTCAGGCAGTGGGCTGGTTTGTTTGACACTGCCCCCTTGCCTCCATGCTCCTCTACACTTGGTGATACATGTCAACCTCTTTGACACTGCTCCTCCTCCCTATGGACAATCCCTGGTCTCCTTAACACAGCTCTCCCTCTCCTAACTGGTGACTGTCTTTTCATTCCTTATCTTGTGAATCCCTTGATCATGCACCAGACCCTATTGTAATGCTCACTGATCATGTGGTCACCCCTGTGGCTGGCTCTATGTGGCAGTGAGCATGTCCCCCTGAGTGGTAACCATCTGCATGATACTGAGCTCAGTCCTCTTCTTGCATGTGATTGTTCCTGTATGCTTCCCTAGCCTTCCAATGCCAGGGACCCTTTCTTCCAATCCTCCCATTACTTCATTGTGATGATTGACCTGTCCTGTACCAATGGCTTTGGTCAGCATGTTTTGGTGAAACATACTGGCTAGGCTTGTTCTGGTCAATCCCAGTGGGATTAATCAAAACCCTAGGTTGTGGTTGCCCTCACAAATTACATGCACAGCTAGCCCAATCAGATTGTTGTCACCTGATGCTTGCTTCCAGATTCTTTCTGCACAGGACCTTCTGCGCAGACCATGTGACAAGTGGCACTTCTCAGAAGGACTCAAGCAATACAGCCATTGCTTCTGGCTCTGAGTCATATCCAAAGATTGATCCATCCCTGCTATTGGATGATGACTTTTACAAACCCCCACTTGATGGACAAGGCACCATCTTGCTTCAGATTCAGAGGAGCAGACCACTGAGTTGTCCAGCCATACCTCAGTTTGTCATAGTTCTTGTTTGTCTCAGCACTAGCATACTGGTCATAAGCACTAGCCATCCCAGCAAACAAACTTGTCCCTTTTCTCTGTTTTGCATGTCTTGTTTTGTGTTTCCATTGTCTCTGGCTGTCTTAACTCTTGTTGATACTGTTTTTATGTTTGTATTTGTAAGCTAGTAACCTGATCCTTGCTTGGGTTTGCTGAAGGTTACGATCCAGCAAGATGCTGACAAGATGAAATTCGGTCCTTCGACGTCGGCATGTCAACCGACCACTCGTTGTTGGAGTGCTTGAACTCTCCTTCATTTGTGAGAATTCACTTGTTTGGATTGCCCCACAATCGCTTAGCATTCTTACATCCGAACAGCGAGAAGACTCCCGCTCCAACTTGACGGCAGATGTCGTGAATTCCGACCTTGTTCAGGGTCCATGTTCTCGCCCGCCTGGTCAATCTCCTTCTACGCTTTCGTTCTGCACTTGCTCGAGCTTTGTTTCGCTAGCTGCATCCCAATGGGGATGACAATACGAGCAGTGTGGGACTGAATGATGAAGCAAAAAAGTCGGTGCGCTCTAACATGCCTACTCCGGAAAATGGCACGTGATGAAAGAACGCGATTTTGCCGGCCGTGAAATGCGAAGCGGTGAAGTGTTACTTTTCGGTATGAAATGCGCGACTTGACTTCCTGCGCAGAGTGTTGATCTTGACTTTGGAAGAGGTTCCATCATCATTTGCTAGATTCTTGACTTCCATCATCCTTCTGCTCTTCGTACGCTTCTCCCTCACCTCAAGTGTAATCCCTGACCTTCCCGCCGGCGCAACCGCATTCACAGCTCACAACTCTTTCACCCAAAACACCTGCCCGTCCTTTCTCCCTTCGGATCCAGAGCCGGCACGCTCTTCAGATTTCACAATGGCCACAGCCCAAGCAGCAGCCGCAACGAAAACCCACCTCACCCTCAAAGGGTCCACTGCCCTAGTCCATGAATTCTTCAACTACTCTGTCCAATCGATCCTCTATCAACGCAACATATATCCATCAGATGACTTTAAAACGGTCAAAAAGTACGGTCTCCAAATGCTAGTAACCACAGACGATGGACTCACCGAATACCTCGAAGCTGCCATGTCTCAGCTCAAAGTATGGCTCGAACGAGGCGACGTTACCCGCTTAGTCGTTGTTATTGTTGAAAAAGACACTGGCGAGACTAGAGAGAGGTGGCAGTTCGACGTAGAGGTCATTAATACACCTCTATCAGAAACCTCTGTCAACACCGAAGCACCTCCCTCCGCAGAAAAAGACAGCGGCAAGGCAGTCAAAAAGACGGATGCGCAAGTAAGAGCAGAAATAGCAGCAATCATAAAACAAATCACAGCCTCATGCACTTTTCTTCCCGTTCTCGACGAACCCTGCGCTTTCCAGATCTTGGCGTATACAAATAAAGATGCTGAAGCTCCAGCGGAATGGATCGATAGCGACGCACGATTGATTGCGGAGGGACAAGCAGAACAGGTTAGATTAAGGAGTTTTAGTACACACGTGCACAGGGTGGATGCTATGGTCGCTTATAGACGGGAGGAAGATGATGAGTAGCGCGCACTGGAGGTGGTTGTACTGTAATGTATAATAGTATGCTGATCTACAGAGCTCAAGTGGCGGTATGTGCCGTATATGTTGTGATCACAGAGCAAACGGATTCAGGCCAAACAAAGTTTGCAAGATTGCGTTGAACGCGATGCGAAGAGCTTGAATTGCAGGCTTTGTGGAAACGATAAGAGTTGCTGGTACAATGCTACATCGCGACTTTGTGAATGCGAGCTAGTCAAGTTCGTCCGGCTCCAAACTCGGTCCTTGACCAGATCTCGTTCCTTCCTCCCCATGCCCACTCCCACCACCACTCTGTATCCTGGCCTCAGCCGCCCTTCTCAGCATCTCCCTCATATTCTCCCTCCCTTCCTCATCTCTTCCTCTCGAATGTTCTGGCCCCTCCTCTCCCCTTGGAGAACCAAAAAACTCTTCCCGATCCGAAACAATCGGCGGAGAGCTAACGATGCTATTCACCACCTCCACATCTACTAGACCCGTCCCACTCCTCCCTCCTGCGCTGGGAGCCGGAGCCGGAGCCGGAGTGGAGTAAGACGTGGAAGTGATGGTTGTACTTGCCGGTGGTTGCGGGTGGTACGTCGTCGTAGTGGTATTGGGAGGCTCGTGGGTAACCCGGATGGTTTCTTCAGGTCGAGGAGTGTTTTGACCTGAAAGTTGATTGAAGAACGAGGTGAAAGGGTTTGGTGGACCGGGCCAACTGCCGGGTACTGAGTCTGCTGGGTCTGCGGTTGGGTTGCTAGGCGTGTTAGAGGTTTGTGCTGGGGAACCTGATGTGTTTGTATTCGCAGTACCACTGTTGTTAGTTGTGCCGGCGGTTTGCTTCTCTTGAGGTTTAGCAATACTAACACGACAAACAGGACACGTGCCATGCAGCCTCAACCAAGGAACCAAGCAATCCACATGGAAAATGTGTCCGCATGGCATCGAGATCAGATCCTCTTGTTGTTCTTCCTTCCCTGCCTCGGCTTCCTTCTCCTTCCCATCCTTGCTCTCCTCCTGCTGCTCATCGGCCGACGTGGGCAGAAAATCATCCTTACACGTAGGACAATCTTGATTCTTAGCCTTTTCGATCCTCTCCTTATCCTTGTTCGTAAACCTTTCCAACCTCTCAATCACATCCTCAGTTGCAGGCGGTGGAGCATTGGATCCCTGCGCCTGCTCCATCAATTGACTAATGATATCATCCAACCCTTGTTGACCCAACACATAGTCTCCCCACTGCCCTCTTGGTCCACCTCCACCCCCACCTACCTGTGCACCAGCAGCGAGGAAGTCAAGCAACGACCCACCGCCACCCGTACCTTGGGCACCTGGATCGCCGAATAGGCCGGTGAATAGGTTGCGCAAGGCAGAGAGCTCGGGAGGGAGATCAGAATTACCCCCACCAGTGCCGGATCGATGATTGCTTTCGTTCTCGGGAGATTGTTGTGGTTGATGATACCTTCCCCTGTTATCGTGGTTAAAGTGTCGACCGTCAGCAACGCCGCCTGCACCACCCATGCCATCGTCGTGGAAGTACTCGTCGTCATGACGCTGCCTATTGCGGGAAGGTTGCTCGTCATCGGTGGTTCCAGATCCAAAGGCGAAACGAAGGAAGTTGGAGAGTGTGGGAGGTTGTTGATACCGTTGATTCTGTTCTGCTTGGTGCTGTGCTGCTCGTTGGTATGGATCTCCTCCACCAGAGTCGTATTGTACGTTCCACTGCAGACCGAAGGGACCAAACGAAGTTGATCCTGAGCGAGTTGTGTTAGATTGGCTTTCGCTGCTTCTGCGTTCATTTCCGCCATTATTTGGTGCATTGCGGTTTGAATCTGAGTTGGGAGAAGTAGATGTATGCGTATTCTGATCTGCACCTCGACCAGCACCTGAAGCCATAGCTATCAACAATTCACCCAGTCCTCCTGCAAGCGGCGATCCTCCACCTTGAACGGAGGACAACGGTAGTGATGCAGTCCCGCCTCTCACCCCAGGTAGCGGCGCTGTGTGGAATGAAAAGCCGGGGAAGGGACCGCCGCCAAGAGCTGCAAAGGGATGATTTGCTTCCTCTTCAAAGTCTTGTGCAGAGTTCTCGTCGATGATCTCGACGAATTGACCGTTGCAGCGTGGACATGTTGGGTCGGGAGTCATGAGTGGGCGGATCTCGATGCCGCATTCATGACAGAAGGCCATGGAGTTGATGGAGTTGGACCGATTGCCTTGGCCGGAGCCATCTCCGCCGCCGGATGATGGCGGGTTCATGGTGGGCTAGGATGGTGGTTGAGCCTAAGCCTGCACGGTGGGTATGTGGGTTGATGGTTGTGAGCGAGATGATGGATGATGATGTAGATGGCAAAGTGAAAGATGGCCGAGCGGATCGAAGCTTGGGCCTCTCAATCCGCAATTCACAGCCTGTTTGTCAACCGAAGGAAGCCTTTTCTGCGCTGTCGTGTCACAGGCGCAAGTAGGCCGAAGCAAAAAGTGGAGGTCTGATCTCAAAAAATCGGGCTGACCATTTCAGTTCAAAATCGGTGATATGACATGACATCTCTACAACACTCCAACTGTTGCGATATATGCGCATTACATTGTTCGCAAAGGAGTGTATAAGGGTATAATGGAAGCTATCTCTTGCGCTTCCTCGTCGGAGATCCCTCTATTGACCCATTAGCGTTGCCTTCTTTTGTGTTGCCGGGCTGACTGAAGAAAGAGCTAAGCTTGGTTTGTTTGCTGTCGAAGGCGCCTCTCCCGATACCACCTTTCTGTCGCTTGAGGTTGGCTAGATGACGAATGTCGTTGGATCTAAATAGCTCAGTGATTGGACTAGTCAACAACATTGACTCGAGTGCTGCAGAGCGACGAGCTTGCACCTTGATACTGAACATGCCAGTATTCGCTGCGAACGGCAGGAAACCCGGCTGACCTGAAACCTGGGTGATGGTAGTCGGAGGATGGACGGAAAGGAAAGTTGAGATCCACATTCCATGCGATACGATAACGATGTGCGGTATCGCTGCTCCCTCTTTTTCTTTGGTAGTAGGAGAGGACGAGGCGAGGGATGAAGTAGCATCGAGCCACTCTGCACCCACACGATGTACACGTTGCAAAAAATCAGAACGAGATTCGCCACTTGCAGTACCTTTAGGGTAGCCAGCAATGTGCACTCCACCTCGCGTAGATTCTTTCCAACCGAAGTCCTTCTCCTTCAAGCCTGGGTCTAGGACGAGAGCTAAGCCTGGCTGAGCATGATGCTCCTTCGCAATGCTGTTCCTTTTGCATTCCGGATGTTCGAATGCATCAACAATGCGACCCGCGATTCCGCTCCCGGCACTGGTGCACGCAAGATGGATAGCTTCAGCTGTCTTACGAGCCCTTCCGATTGGACTGCATACGATCAGTGTCGGCGGTGGCAGGTCCAAGATCGATGTTGACTCCTTCGATGCCCTGTCCTCTACATTTCCACGGCAAGTGGTAGCCCACGTCCGAGCTAAAGCATCGATCTGTGCTTGACCAAATACAGTGACAGGCGAGTCTGTTACGCCTTGCAAGAGTCGATTGAGGTTGCCTGTGGTTTCTGCATGCCGTATAAGCGTTAGTATAGCATGCTGCATGCCCGTCTATGTTGAGGTCGGTGGTGAGAAGCACGGTGGCGGCAAGACGATTCTCTCTTCTTTTTTGTCTCTGCCTATGCACTGCTGCTGAGCCGAACAAGATGCCGATAAAAACAGGATTGCCGAAACAAAGTTGCGATCTAACAAATCCAAGTTGTCACGCGACACGCTCAAGAGACAGAGGCCACCGAGAAATGAAATATGACAATTGAGCCGAGCCGAAGCGGAAAGAGAGAGCCTAAAATTTTCAATCTTCTCGCCTGCATGGGCGCAAGAAGAAAAAAAATTCAAAGGCTTCGGATACGAAGAACACAAGGACCCTTCCGCACGGCCGTCAATAGAGCGCAGGCATTCGTATCAGGCATTCTTATTCTCGTCTTGGACATCGTCCAACCCAACACCCTCCTCAACCTTCGTCTGCATAGATCAACCCGACCCTCCACACACAGAGTGGATCGCATCTTGCCGCTGTTCACTTCTATAGCCAACCTACAACAAATCTTTCCATTCCTGGCTAGAAGGCTAGAGCTCGCTATCCACCATGTCCGAAGCTATCCACTCGCAGTACGACTCGATCCTCATCCTCGACTTCGGTTCGCAATACTCCCATCTCATCACTCGACGATGCCGTGAACTCAACGTCTACTGCGAGATGCTTCCCTGCACTCAAAAGGTCAAGGATCTCGACTGGAAGCCCAAGGGTATCATTCTTTCCGGTTCCCCTTACTCAGTTTACGACGAGGTTGCTCCTCGTGTGGACCCCGATGTTTTCACTGCCGGTGTTCCCATTCTTGGTATCTGTTATGGTCTGCAAGAGATCGCGTGGAACCACGGAGGCAAAGTCGACCCTCATGACAAACGCGAGTACGGTCATGCCGAGGTCGAGATCGTCAAGACTGGCAACACCCGCATTGACGCGTTGTTCAGCAACTGGCAAGGCGGCATCACTGTCTGGATGTCGCACGGTGACCAGCTTTGCAAGGCGCCCGAAGATTTCGTTGTCATTGGCAAGACCCCTTCCGCTCCGTTTGCAGCTATCGCTCACAAGACCAAACCCATCTACGGTGTTCAGTTCCACCCCGAGGTCACCCACTCCGTTCGTGGTGTAGAGGTGTTTGACAACTTTGTCGACATTTGCGGCTGCCGTCGAAACTGGACTATGGAGACGTTCATCGATAAGGAAATCAAGCGCATTCGCGAGATCGTGGGTCCTAAGGGTCGGGTTCTCGGTGCTATCTCTGGTGGTGTCGACTCTTCCGTTGCTGCCAAGCTGATGCACGAGGCTATTGGTGATCGATTCCACGCTGTGATGGTCGACAACGGTGTTCTGCGTACCAACGAAGCTGCTCAGGTGTACGAGATGTTGAGCAAGGATCTCGGTGTCAACCTCACCGTTGTTGATGCTTCCGAACAGTTCCTCAGCAAGCTTAAAGATGTTCAAGACCCCGAGCAGAAGCGCAAGATTATTGGCAACACTTTCATTCACGTTTTTGAGGCTGAAGTTGCCAAGCTCGAAAAGCAGGCGGAGGACGAGGAAGCTGCCGCTCTCGCTGCTGGTAAGCCCCAGGAAGCCAAGGGCAAGTTCGAGTACCTCCTTCAAGGAACTCTTTACCCCGACGTTATCGAGAGTATCTCGTTCAAAGGGCCCTCCGCTACCATCAAGACCCACCACAACGTCGGTGGTTTGTTGGAGGATATGAAGTTGAAGCTCATCGAGCCTTTGCGCGAGCTGTTCAAGGACGAGGTTCGTGCATTGGGTCGTCTGCTCGGCATTCCAGCTCACCTTGTCGGTCGACACCCTTTCCCTGGTCCTGGTCTCGCTATTCGCATTTTGGGCCCGGTTACCAGGGAACAGGTTAAGATCTTGCAGCAGGCCGATAGCATCTACATCGAGGAGATTAGGGCTGCTGGATTGTACGATAAGATCTCACAGGCTTTCGCTGTTTTGTTGCCGGTGCGTGCAGTCGGTGTACAGGGTGACAAGAGGACATACGACCAGGTTATCGCACTGAGAGCAGCGGCGACAACGGATTTCATGACTGCTACATGGTACCCCTTCCCCGCCGAGTTCTTGTCAAAGGTCTCGAACAGGATCACTAATGAGGTCGCTGGTGTTAACCGTGTTGTGCTTGACATTTCGAGCAAGCCTCCTGCGACGATCGAGTGGTTGTAGAGCTCAGACACCACTGCAGCTGGTGACAGCCGCGTTCGCTTCTTCGTTGGTCACGTGTACATAGGCATTCTGTTCGGTTGGTGAGAATCTCAATCTTGCTTTCTTCAGTGCATGTTTTTGTCTTGTGATCAAGTGACTGTATGTCAGTTTCATTCTGTACTTTGAGATTGCAGTGTGAGCTACTTTTTAAAACACTCGAAAGACATGACAGCAGCAGATCCACCTCTCTGCCAATCCACATCCTGCAACCTCCTTGCTATTGGTTGTTGCTTCTCTTCCCCGTCCTCTCCACTCTCCTCTGGACTACACAAGAAAGTCTCGATCTGCTGCAACAGCTCTTGCCGCTTCTGATCTTCCTTTGGGTTCAATCCCTTGATATATTTCCTTCCGCCAGATTTTGTGGTGACGACGAGGTTGATGCGTGCACCTTTGATCATTTCCTTTTTGGCCTTGCTGAGTTTGTGAGTGAGATCGTTGGAGCTGACTGACCAGGTAAATTGGACTTCTTTGCTTGTGCTTCCACTGCTTGTTCCTGCCGAGGAGGTTGAGGCTGATGATGAGGAGGAGGGGGAGGATTTGCGCTTGAGAGCACGCTGTTTGTCAAATTCTTCCTTCTTGTCGATCAGTTTGCAGATTGGGAACTGCACCAGCGCAGAGACGTCGATAGAAGACGGTGGTGCAGAGGGATCGTATTCGACAGTAGCACGGCCAGGCTGAGGTGGAGCGACTTGTTGTATCCAGAACTTGGATCGATCGAGTTTGGAAAGGATCTGCTTGGTGTTGAAAGGTCCAGCGAGAGCGCCTGATTTGGGGTCTACTAGGCGGACATACTCCGAGTTTTCGAGGATCGCTTCATCTCGGATTGGACTTTTGACAGGGATGACTTTGGAAGGAGCACTCGAGGAAGATGCGGCTGCAAAGATCGAAGCTGAAGATGAAAAGGCGCGGCCGCTTACTAGCGGGAGAGTAGAAGTCGGCAACGAGCGACTGGAAGTTGCGGTTGATCGGATAAGGTTAAAGGCAGGCTTCAGAAATTCGACGCCCCGTGCGACGGCTCTGAGGGTGCCTGTTGCCTGCGTCCGCATAGTGTGATATGATGTGTTTGATGGTTGTGGTGACGGCAAGTGTCAAGGTGAAGAAGAAGATCTCCAAAAGTCGTCAGACCGAATGCCGAATGAGCGCAAGTCGCTCAGATTTCTTGATGTGGGATGCTGCGATGTAACAGGACTGGAAAATGCTTTACGCGTCTGAGCAACACTTTCGCGTGTCGGACAAAATTAAATAAATAAAAAGACCAACACCCGCACAACTTTGTGTTTCCGCTCTGAGCAACATCGCAGCTTCTTGCCGAACGACGACCACGACAGCAACGAGACTGTCTTCCTGCTGCTGACACCAACCAAAATCATAAAAGCGACAATGTCAAGACCAACATCATCACGCTCCTCACCAGCAGAGACTGCGGTTGACCTTCTCCTGCCAGACCCACCTCGAGGCACGGTTTCAGCGGTCGTCTTCTCTCCAACGCCTGCTGCACCTCACATCAACGTCCTTGCCTCCAGCTGGGATCATTGTGTGCATCACTATTGTTTCAACTCATCCGTTTCCGACTCGGCCTCGACTTCTGCCTCTGACCAGGGCCTCGTCACCAAAGTCCAGACGTTTGCACACCAAGCACCAGTCCTAGATGTTTGCTTCATCACAGACACACTTGCTGCTTCCGCTAGTGTCGATCGACGTGTCAGACTTCTCGATCTGCAGACTGGAAAGACGCTGATCCTGGGCAAGCACCAAGATTCGCTACTGAAGCTGCGATGGTGTCCCCAAACTCAACTGCTTGTTTCTGGCTCAGCGGATCGAAAGTTGAGCTTTTGGAACGTCAGTCTCGAAGACCCCACCAAAGCCGGCCTTTTGAAGACCTTAGACATGCCAGACAAAGTCATCGCACTAGACATCTCCCCTCCATTCCCGCTCGCCAACGGCGGCTCAACACCAATCTACTCCGCCTCCGCTCCCGGCAAGCCACATCCCCGCGATCCCACTCCACGCCTCGTAGTCGGAATGACCGGTCGACATGTCTTTGTATACGACCTACTCCCACTCCATTTAGCCATCGATCGTGAACAAGCAGGCGAACGAGTAGCAGAACGAGATTGGCAACCAGATCAAAAACGAGAATCTTCGCTTAAATTCATGGCTCGCGACCTCAGATGTGTGCCTTCAGGCGACGGATATGCTACATCGAGTATAGAGGGGAGGATAGCCGTGGAGTTTTTCGATCCGAATCCAAAAGTTCAGGCGATGAAGTATGCGTTTAAATGTCATCGTGAGACGGTGAGTGAAGGTGCGGATCCGCCGGTAGTGGGAGTGGTGGAAGAAGAGGAAGAAATGGAAACGCCTTATGACGTTGTTTATCCGGTTCATGGGATTGCTTTTCACCCCAAGTAAGTCACTTTCCTTCTCATCTTTATCCTCTAGTTTCGAGTAAAACGCTGATCGTTCATTTTTGCATTGTGGCATGCGATACAGACACGGAACATTCGCAAGTCTGGGTGGCGACGCAGTGATAAGCGTTTGGGATGCAGCTGCAAAGAAACGCATTCGACAGTATCCTAAGCTCACCTCTCCCATCACAGCCGGGACATTTGATCCTTCAGGAACAATGCTGCTTGTTGCGACCGGGAGTGATTTGATCGATGCGAAGGAGGGAGATGACAGCGTATCGCTGGTGCTCAAACGTAATGTTTGGGAGGAGTGCAAGCCTAAGATCAAGTCTTCGTCCAGCTCATCATCGAAAGCGAAAAAGTAGAACCATCTGCTGCAATTGTATTATCTATTGCAAAGATCCACAGCAGTACATTGTGAGTGATGAAGCGATTGCTTATTGCGAAGTAGTGGCGGCAGCATGAGCACGAGCCGCAGCCTCCAAACTACCCTTGAACATGTTCACTAAGAATTGTTCATCTTCCAGCCCCACCGAAACTCTCACCAACCCGCGCTCTACACCGAACTGTGCAGCCCAGTCCAGCTCTCCGTAGTGCGCCAGGATAGTGTATGGACTGGCGAGCGTCAGGTTGGTTCCGAGACTTGGACCTTTAGCACACTGCAGATTATCATAGAAAGCCTGACTGGCGGCTTCGCTATAAAACGTCACTGAGAAAAGACCGCCGTAACCACCTCCCTCTTCTTTGTCCGCATCACCCATCTGTCCGAGCAAGGTGAAAGCTTTCTTTCGTCTGCAAACGTCGTAGTTCTCTGGCGTCTGATAGCGCGGGTAGAACAAATTCTTGATGACACCTGGGTATCGTCCCCGACCGAGCTTTTCTTGCCAGAGCATGCTAGTGACGGCGCGCGTATTGCTATCGATTTTGACAATGCGACGGATGAAGTCTCTAGAGTTGCGCTCCATGAAGACGGCATCTTCGTCAAAGTACGTATCTTCGTAGTGTTGCTGGAGTGCACTGCGAAGGGTGTAATAGTGAGAACCTTTGGGGTTGAGAACCATGCTTCCGCCCATAACGTTTGCGTCGCCGGAAAAGACCTTGGTGAGAGAACTGACGAGAACATCAGCATAGGGGAGAACTTCGACGTTGACAAAGTTGCCGATGGTTTCGTCAACGCAGACGAGGAAGTTGTAGCGATCGGCAAGTTGGCGGATCCGAGGAAGGTTGGGAGAGCGTAGCAGTGGGTTAGAGGGGAATTCGCAGAAAAGAGCTAAGATGGGTGCGTGTGAGTTTTCCCGGGAAGCGTCTATATCGGCATTCTGTTGGGTACGTAGCAGCTCTTCAAGCAAGTCAAGATCTTGATCGACGCCAAGGCCGTAAAAGTGGCAACCGGGGCCAAACTTCTGGAGGATCTTGAGGGTGTCGGTGTAAGGGAAGCCGAAGCAGACACTCTTGCCGACCTCACGCTGCTTACCGTTGCCAGAGGTGTCTGCACGGATGAGTCTGGGTGCTGCACGCATGGCGAGCTGGTGGGCGTGGAAAATGGCGCTCATGCCTGACGGGAAGAGGTAGACGTCGTCTTCGGTGACACCTGTGCCAGTACGGCCAGTCTCGCCAACTTGATCGCTGGGGGTTTTGGTGGCTGACATCTCGGATCGGTCAGAGAGAAGCGTACCAGCAATGCGACGTCGGAGGGCAAGTTTGGCGGAAGGTGCCGAAGTGAGAGGCAGGTTGCGACCGTATCGCTCCTCGACATAGGTGACAAGGTCGGATGAAGCAGGTTCAGTAATGTTTCCCTGCTCGACCGAGGTGGAGGAGCGGATGGTAGCGGGCGTCACGCCAGAAAGGCTGGAGACGCTGGCAGACATGGCGGCGGCGGCAGCATCATCGTCTGAGGACGAGGGACGCTGAAGAATGATGCCGCTGCTGGAAGGAGTCTGAGGAGCAGTGGCGGTAGGCGAAGGGGTAGCGTTGGTGGCGTTCAGGCCAGAAGCCGCGCTGTTGGTGCGTGTGTAGCGGTTGTAGAAGCGCTTGCCGGCAGAAGCGGAGGTTGGCTTCTTGTAAATGTCGTCCGTGCTGGCTCCGCTTGAAGCAGCATCATTGCCATTGATTTTGGCAGGCGTGTTACCGTCAAGGGCGGAAGATGCAGCAGCGTCCTGCTCAGCACTCTTGGACTGCTCGAGAAGCGATAAGCATCGGTCGGCCTGTCGACTGGAGATGCCGTCACCAGTGTGCTGCCAGAAGCTCTTGGCGAGCGGGAAGAGGTTCTCGGGGAAGAAAACGATAAAGATGTAGTGGGCGGTGGTGCTGGAAGCTTGGTAGTGTGTCGCTTCAAGTTGTTGATCCAAGACATGCTCTGCGGTACTGGAGCTAGCACCCGATCCATTGAGGGCGGTATGCTCTAGCATGGAGAAGCGAACGATGCGGATAGGCAGAGGCGAGGAGGAGTCGGACTGAGTTCGCATGAAATTGCGGCATCGTTCAGCAATTCTAGCAGAAGGGAAGAGGATGCAAGACTCTTGAGGCTTGGCAAACTTCTTGCACAACAAGCTTGCAAGACGCTGAATGGAGCGGTGAATGAAGAAGCGAGGGTATCCAGTCTCCATCAAGTTGGAGAGTCGTCCTTCCTCGTAGTCGATGTTGTCGCTCCAGAGGGGAAGAGAGACCGAGACGGCATGGACCATGTTCGCAGGGATCGAGGTACCGACAGCATAATCCTTTTTGCAGGGTACAGCGCCGTTGGACGGCGGAGGTACCTGCATTGTGAAGAGCGCGGTAAGAGTCGATGTGGTGTGAGTAGGAGTGGCAAGTAAGTAAGTGGCAAGCAAGTGTCCTTGGATTGGCTCTCTCCGCAAAAAGCATCGCAACAACGCCCAACAGAGTGACACAAGAAGCAAGCCTTTCAGCAGTCACAGTGACTCACCAGAGGCATATCTTCTTATCGTACGATTGAGCCCAATTTTTCTTCAGTGTTAAGACGGCCAAAGCTGTGCTGAGCTTAAAGAGAGGACAAATTCGCTCGCTCGTCGCATCTCCCTCTTTCCTTTCAACTACATCCACCCACGACACGACATCTGGCGTTGACTACGCCTTGGCCTCTAGCACCGTGCTCTCCATTGGCTTTCAGTCAGCTTGAGCGTATCTCCTCACCTCTTTTGTTGCGCATCGCAACTTTCACATCAGTGCAAAACGACAATTGTCATCGCTGACCTTTTGTTGCAGTGTTTGAGAGTCTCGTAACACAAGTCCTATATTGCTTTCTTGTGATCTCTTCTGTGTCACTTGATTGTCTCTGCTCCCCAACTTGCTATACTAGGTAGGAAGCAAGGCTCGGATCTGCTGCTGTAGTCGCTCCAACCCAGATCCGTACACAGAACAGATTTGTTGCGCATCGTTTACCGTTGTCTAGACAGCAAGTCGACTCTTGTGCGCACACAGTCGTGCCCTACTTGCTCCTTACTTCTTGTCCGCTGCTCCCACCCGCTGACTTCCCTTCTCCCTGTTCTAGTCGTCGTTGTCTGGTCGCTGTTTACTGCGTTTCTTGTTGGCAAGTACCATAGAGCCTCTGTCGGTTGTTTTCTGTTCAGCGTTGCGTCAGACTTTGCTTCTCTTGTCGCAAAGGTGAAAATAGTGTTTCATCGATCTCTGGAGGTAGCTTGCACAAGACCAAAGTCTGCTCGTTTCCAAACGTTCTCGCCATGTACGGCGCTCCTCCTCACGCCGCACAACTGCCTCAATATGGTGGACATCCGTCTGGTTACATTGGTGCTCCCATGCCCCCGCAACCGCATCAACATGCCCCACCTCACATAGCTGTCGACCCCAACATGGCCATTGGAACGGATCCACACGCTTTTGCCAAGATGTACCACTCCCACCTCAAGTCCTTGACTTTCAACTCAAAACCTATCATCACGAACCTCACCGTTATTGCTCACGATCATTCTGCTCGCATGTCGGCCGTCGTTGCCAAGTGTCTCGACGACCACATCATGCAATCCCACCCCTCGATCCGTCTTGCCGCTCTCTACACGCTCGACTCAATCTCGAAGAACATCGGTCATCCTTACATACAGCTCTGGTCTGCTCGCATCGTTCCCATCTTCCTCGAGACATATCGTTTGGTCGACCAGCCCACCAAGATGCGTATGGAGGAGCTCCTGGCGACATGGAAGACTGCTGGCCCAGGTGCCCGTCCTCTCTTTGGCGACAACGCTCAGTGGAGCATCGAACGCGCTCTGTTTGGCAGTTCAGGCATGCCTCAACCGAATGCATCACCAGCTCCTGTCGCGGACCCGCGTTCCAATGCTTCGCAATCTAAGGCCAAGGCGATTGAGAACATCGACAAGCTGTTGGCTGTAGATGGTCAGTCTCTGGCTGCGAACCCTTCAGATCAGGCTTTGCACGAGCGAGTTGACTCCCTTGCGCAGCTCAAACAAGTCATCCTCACTGCTGACCTGTCGAATGAAGAAATGGCCCAGATTCATGCTCAGCTCGATAGTCTTTCAGCTGCGGCGCAAAGAGCCAATCCCACCGGCCATGCTGCTGCTATGCACGGCCAGCCACTTCCGCCGACTGCAGCTGCTCCGATATCGGTCAGCTCCCCAACTCCCGCACATCAAGTACCTGCCGCACTCCCGCAAGGTTGGTCGGGAGCATTGGCCAATCTTTCGGCGTTGGCCGCTCAACCTGCCACAGCGGCCGCGTCGGCTGGGCAAGCACCGCCTGTCAACAACGCTGCTTCTGCGCTATTTGCATCTCTGATGCAAGCGGGCTTGCTTTCTGGCTCGAACTCGAACTTGGCCGCTGCGACTCCACCGCCGGCCGCCGTTGAGCGAGATCAAGACGAAGACTACATCAACGCCATCCTTGCTCTCGACATCAAGACTTCAGGTCCAGAGTTCAACCGCGAACCCGCCTCCTCATATGAGCTCATTCTTCACAAGCATCTTCCGCTGCAATGTCGCCAGTGTGCTAACCGCTACCCGACCGGCAACAAGGGTCAAGGTCGTATGGACGATCACCTTGATTGGCACTTTACTCAAAACCGACGTGCGAAAGACTCCGCAGCACGTGGTCAGTCACGTTCATGGTTTGACCGTCTAGAAAGCTTCATTCGTGGTGGATTCGACGACTCTGTTCCAGCATCCAAAGGTCCAGGCGCTGGAGGGGCATCAGGCGAAGGCGAGAGCAAATCAGGCATGACAGCAGCTCAAGAAAAAGCATTGAAAGAAAAGTTTTCCAGATCATTCGTAGTAGCTCCCACAGATCCGGATCTGGCAAGCAAACCCTGTCCGATCTGCAAAGAAGCATTCAAATCACAATGGAGTGAAGATGAAGAGGAATGGATCTGGTTGAATGCAATCAAGGTTGAGAACACACAGGCTGAAGGTGCGGTTGGCGGTGTAGTGTACTATCACGCGAGTTGTCACTATTCGGCAAAGAGTCTGACGGATAGTGTTGCAGGAGGTGAGAGAAGGACCGCAAGTGTGGGTGTGAAGAGGAGAAGTGCGAGTAGGACTGCGACGCCTTCGTTGCCTGGTGGAACGAAGAAGCGCAAATCTGGGATCGATGAGGTCGAGGAGGAAGAGGAAGAGCCACCAGCGAAAAAGTCGGCCACCTGATTGGCCTGTTGGCGGAAGGTGTGGGAAAGGAGAAAGGATAGACTTCGGGACCTTTCTGTTCTTAGCATTGCTCGTTTTCCATGTACTGTCATCGTCAATAGCATCATCTCCATAGAGGCAATTTCAATTACACATCAGAATCTGGTCCTCAGGAAGAGCTGGAGCATGACGAAAGTAAGCAAATACAGGTTTTGCATATGAGAAAGTCTAGAATACAAATGTGTGGCCAAGGCGCCAAAGTTTATGATGCGTAGTGACTAGAAAGGATGATCGAAACAAGTGTTGGATATGATCAGTTGACGAGCTTACGCACCCTCTCGATGACATCGAGGTATGCCTTTGTCGCAGGACTGTCTGGATACTCGTCAGTAAAGCTGACACCCAGATCACAGCTCTTGCCGATCCTTGGGTCAAGTGGGATGCTACCGAGGAAGTTCAAACCTAGCTCCTCGCATAGCGCCTTTGCCCCGCCAGTGCTAGGGTAGAAGATCTCGCTGTAACCTGTGCAGCTTGGGCAGACGAAGCCAGCCATGTTCTCGACAATGCCGAGAATAGGGACGTTCATCTTGCGGCAGAAGGAGATCTCCTTGCGTACGTCCTGAAGGGAGACTTCTTGTGGGGTGGTGAGGAGGATGGCGCCGGTGATTCCGGATTCTTTGAGGTAAGAGACGATGGAAAGGTGCTCGTCAGATGTACCGGGCGGTGTATCGATGAGCATGTAGTCGATCAGTGGTGGTTGAGTTGTGGCAACATCGTTTGTGGCAGATGCGGGTGCAGATTCTTCCTCTTCATCTTCGAGACCAGCTGTCCAGTCGACATCTTTGAGGAATTGCTTGATGAGACCGTTCTTCTTTGGCCCTCGCCAAATGACTGCAGATGAGGCCGAGGGGAGCAAGAAGCCGATGCTCATTGCGCAAAGGTTGTCGGAGACGTAGACTGGAGACCAGCCCTGTGATGTTGAGTGGATGCTTTGACCTGCCAAACCAAGGATTGTCGGAATTGAGGGTCCGCAGATGTCGATGTCCATAATCGCTACTTGCTTTTCCGCTTCGTCGTGTCCCTTTTCCTCGGCCGTGGTCTCCTCTGTATGCTTCTCTTCTTCCTCCGCTGCGTCGTAGTCAAAGTTGCCGGAGAAGCGCGAACTAAACGCCCACCCAAGCTGAGCTGTGAACGTACTCTTTCCAACACCCCCTTTGCCGGACATGATCAAGATCTTATGCTTGATTCTCGACATGCGCTTTTTGATGATTGGAAGATCCGGATCTGGACCTTTGGGCGCTGATGCACATGCATCTTGGTTGGGACAGCCAGCACAGGCGTCTGCTTTGCCTGCTTGTTCAGATTCCGTTCCTGGGCAGTGTGCGGGTGCGTTCTCTGGGACCTGGTCGGGTAGGGCCCTTGCGATGCCCTCGGTGGGTAGGGCTGTGGATGCTACTGCCGCACTTGGTGGCTGCTGTACCGTCAACATCATAGCTGTCGTTCAGGGATGGGGGCGAATGGGTGTGGTATCGAGGGAACGTCTGTGCCAAGTGTGTCAATCACGGTAATCCAAAATCTGAGCTTTATCTCCGATCTCTTTGAGTCGACTAACTTATCTTGCCGTGCGAGTTTTTTCCAGCTGTTGTATCTCAGGGTGTAACAATATTTTCCTTTCGGCTCAGGGTCCGAAGGGCCGAGCCGAAGTCAAGTTGCCGTGCATGGACATGCCCTGTGACTTCAGAGCGCGCTGCTGTGAGCTGTGAGACTGCTGATTAGTGAGGTTTCGGTAGTAACGTCCACGCCGGTCTCGGCCTCGGCAAGGACCTCAAAGACCGAGGGCCTGGACGCTGACCAAGGCCCTTTTCCATTAGTAGCAAGTTCGGTGTTGGCATGTTTTTGAGAGGAATGTAACATATATTGCTTACTAATGATGAGTGGAGTGTGAAAGTATACTGAGAAATGAGCCAGCCGAGGTGATTCCCCCATCCTCGGCTCACCTCCTTTGCCCTCAATTCAGTCTCCCCCTCCCCACACACTCATTCAGGGATCTCTCATTATCTGGACGATTTCTATGGTGCATCCGAGCTGGGTGCACACCCTGCAGTACCTATTCAGATACTGAGCTTGGCCACAGCCACTCTTGGTTTTCAGCTCAGCCATCACAAAACAGTCTGGGATACAACATGTCAGTGGTTGCATGCCTGAAACCTGAGATCGGTAGTAGTATCGATACTATTACCGATTCTGTCGAGTTATGTGACAACACTAGTGGTATTATGATTCTTGGTGAAATATGTGATAGAGCTGTCTCTATCACTTTTCTTGCTCAAATCTGTAGTTGTAGTAATGCTATTGCAGATTTCAACTAACTGCTGTGGACACTCCATCCAGAGGTAGCTCAGCATGATCAATATCAATACTTCGGCAGTGAACTTGATGATGACACCAAAGGTCTGGTGTGAGTGTGGGTACTGGTGGCATCGACATGAGTGTCCAGTGTGTCAACTATCGCTTGAGGTGATCCCCAGACCACAGTGGACTACTGCCTTCAGTACTATCTTTATCCAGACTGCTGGTTTGCTATGAACTGCCTTCAGATGTCAGTGAGCAGTGATACAACACATGTGCTACAATGAGGAGCAATCTATTGATTACTACTATGCTGACTGAAAACTAATGTATACTTATGCTGAAGTGATAACTAGTTTTATATGGTGTGTAGAGTGGATGAGGATCCACTCATCCACCTATGACAAGAAGGTATGCTTATATACATCTTTTGCAGTGTTGCCTGTGCCACTGCTCCAACTCTCTCTCTCCAGAGAGTACCTTCTTTGTCAAGTGCTATGCAGGAGTCCCTGTAACACTACTCCTGTCCCTCTTGAGCTGCGTGTCAACCTCCTCGACACAGCTCTTCCTCCTCATGAGCTACACACTGGTGTCCATGACACAGCTCTCCTTCCTCTTAACTGGCAACTGTTCTCTTGACTCCTATCTTGTGAACCCCTGAGTGGTAACCAGCTGCAATTTACTGAGCTTGGTCCCTGTCTTGGCAGAGCTTGGTCCTCCTCACCTGTGAGCTTGGTCCTCCTCACATGTGAATTCATCATATGAACATCCTTGTCACTGATCTCCACGGAATCTGCTATATGACCTCTCCTACTACTGATCTCAGCAGGATTCATGATATCATCCTTGTTTGTACTGATCTCACTGAGATCTGTCATAGAGCTGATTATACTGCAGATCTCAGTGAATTCTGCTGCAAATCCTATGATCTGCCCAATCCCCTGATTCCTGCACTCCCTTCATATGAGCTAGCAGGTCTTCCTGCTTCCTGCGCATTCAGGCCCATGACACAACACACTTGGAGATCCTCGGCATCGAGCTCAACTCAGTAGCGCAGACCACATCCATAACTCACCACCACCGCCAACGAATACTTAGGCTTTGCCTCCACATCCTTGAGCATAGGCGGGTGTCTCTCTTAGAACTCCAGCAAGTTGCCAGTCACTTGCAGTTCGTCACCTGGGTGGTTCCTCACGGCCACGCCTTCCTTCATCGACTCTACAATGTGTCATGGGGCCAGAAGCATGTGCAGGAAGGACTGGTTTCATATGAAGGAACCATGTGCAACAATTGTGAATTGGGCCAAAAGAGAGTTCTGACAGGGTTCAGCAAGATCAGTAGAATTTGGGGCTCTATGACAGAACTTGCTGGGATTGGCAGAAGCAGAGACTTATTACAGAGTTTGTCAAGATCAGTAGGACCAAGCTCGTAATGACAGATTTCATGGAGACTGGTTTGAGGTTGCATCTATCACCAATCTCATGGCAGGTGAGCAACAGATAAGGAAGGGGCTTGACATCTGATGAATTAGGGACCCCATATGATGATGAAGGCAGCACAAGAAGGTGGGCATTATCATCAGGAGAATGTGATGAAAGGGGGGGGTGCCTTCCACTGGGATGAGGTGGGGGTGACCCCTATCAGGAATGAGGTGGTGCTGGCTCTCCATGACTCAGAAGCAGGAGAAGCAGGGCCTGACAAGGAGGAGACACCTCAGTAGATACCTCTGACACAGTACTTGACAAAGAGGGTACCCTCTGGAGAGAGAGTTGGAGCAGAGTCACAGGTGACACTGCAAAGATGTTATATAGTCATACCTTCTCGTCATAATAGTTGAGTGGAGCTCCATCCACTCTACACCTTACATTACTAACTATAGCTTCCCAATAAGTATATTTAGTAGATTCGTCATCAGTGGCAATTGCAGAGCATTGCTACTATCTTAGTGTGTGTGTTGTATCACCACTTGACACCATCCAAAGGCAGCTCATCCTGCAGTCCAGATATTGATCAACACCAAAGGCAGTCCATACTGTGGTCTGGCTCTCTCAATCATTAGAACCAAAGGCAGTTGTCCACTTCTGTCCAGGGATCACTCAATCAGTCAGTCAACACACTGGACACTCATGTTGACACCAGCTTCATTAGCACCAGACCTTGGTGCCACTTCAGACAAAGTAACTATCAGACCTTGATTGTGCCAAGCTACCTCTGGATGGAGTGTCCCCAGTGGTCAGTCAAAATCTGCAATAGATACCAGTTACAACATATTTGAGCAAGAACAGTCATAGAAGGTTTCTAAAACAGATTTCAGCAAGAACAATAATAGAGGGCCTCTATCACAGATCTTGCTAAGATCAGTAGTAGTTGCCTTTCTACTACAGATTTTGGGTTTCAGGCATGCAACCTCTGACACAATGCAATAAAAGCGCACTACAAGGCGCCTTTCAGCCGACTCCTCAACAAAGGAGCTTGCAACGAGCTGTCATGGTGGACATCCATTCTAGCTGCTTGGGACAGTGTATCTCTTCTGCAACCTTCCCCCCTCGCCATCAAGTATCTCTAGACTGACACATCCAAGTGGTGTGTTGGGGGTCACTGTTGCAGTTCTGGAGGCTCTTGCAATTCTGGATGCTCTGCGCAGTTTCTCGCCAAGCTGGACTGGCCCCCGCCACATTGTCATCCATACCAGCAATGAGAAGGTCCAGTATGGTCTTCTGAAAGGTTCTATCTGGGATCCAGCAACTCAGGTCCTTTTTCACGAGATTTTCTCTTTGTGTTTAAAGCAACACATCCACATTCACATTGCGGCCATCCACTCACATTCACATTGCGGCCATCTGCTCAAAGGATAACATCCTTGCTGATGCTCTTTCTTGTTATTGTTTCGACTTCATTTGACAGCATTACCCACAGGCATACCTGCTCCTTCCCTTTCAACATGGCAAGGCATCTCTGCCCTGCCCCACAACTTTGTCACCAGCTCGAACCTCTCCAAACCGGCTGCCTTCCTCCTATGGAATGGTTTGGCGGCCAGCACCCAATCTTGTTCCAACACCACCTGCAATGACTTTAACAGCTTCGCCTCCAACACCTTGTGACTTCTCCACACCCTCCCAGCCTCCACCAATGTGCTCATCAAATGGGCCAGCCAGCTCCATCATGCCTCCAAGGCCTACCAAACCATCATGTGCAACCTTGCTGTTCTCAAGTCCCTTCACATTGATCTTGGCCAACCCATGACCGCCTTTGATGCTGCCCGCCTTGCCAGAGCCTTGCAAGGATACAAATGCATGGCCAGCAACCCAACACCCACAGCCAAGCTAGCAATCATGCTGCCTCTCCTCACCCAACTGGTCAACACTTTGCCTTCAGTCTGCCCATTGAAACATGACTGCAGAATGTTCTGGGCTGCCTTCTGTCTTGCCTTTGCATGTTTCCTTTGCTCCAGCAAACTCACTTGGGAAACCCTATCTTCAAGCCCCATCCTCACTGTTGGCTCCATTGGATTTGCAACAGATGGTACCTTTGCAACCATCTTCTTACCATCTAGCAAGACCGACCCTTTTGGTGACAGCATCACCCTCACAGTGCCATCAGTCCCTCACCAAATGTGTGCTGTCAAAGTGCTCAAAACCATCTGCAAAGGGCGCCCCCCCACCCTGCTCTTCACCCTTGCATGGCATTTGTTCCTTGAAACCTTATCCTGTTGCCTCACTGCCTGTGGCATCTCACCCAATGGCTATTCTGGACATTTGTTCCAACACAGGGCTGCAACTTGGGTGGCAGCCAATGGTGCTGACAATGCTACCATCCCAGGCCTTGGATGGTGGCATAGTAAATGCTTCTGCCAATATGTGGACAAGCTAGCAGCTGATCACACAGCTTCAACAGCCACAGTCCTCTATGCAAATGCAGACCAACCTCTCAATCTCTCCACCCCTGCCTGGCATGATTTATGATCTTTCAGATGGCCCCTGTGTGGGATCACCCCTTGTTTCTCTCCAGCCTTAACTCACAACCATCTTGCCTGTGGTACACTACTTGCACTATAGTGGCCATGGCTGGGAGCTCACAAGTGACTCTCTTGAGTAAGGCAATCTTAACATCCTTTTCCCAAATTATCAGCGTGATCAAGTGCGATAACTCGCCGTTGATTCACTCTTCCTCGGCTGGTCCGTGGAAGTGGGGTCTGCGCAGTTCAGAGTTGCAGGCGAAGTGAAGACATTCCAGCTCATCGTCACCACCTAAGCGCTCTCCCCACCATCTTACCCTCACGACCGCATCTCTGCTCTTGTCGTCTCGAAGGCGGAAGGCGGAAGTAGACCGATACACATCATGTCGGAGCAGGAGCAGCGTCAAGGCATCTTGGCGCTACCGACCGAGCTCATCCACAACATCCTCCTCGCGTTACCGCCGCTCTGCATCGAGCACTTCTCGCAGACATGCAAGCTTGCTCGTCGTCACGTCTACGGCGACAATAGCATAGGCGATATGCATCTATGGAAACAGCTCTACCTACAACGCTTCGATGACTTTCCTGATCTCTGGAAGGCAAGCAACGATTCTTGCTTCCGCGAACAAGCGCAAGAGATCCAGCATGAGCACGAGCAAAACGTGCTTGCTTCGACTTCCTCCTCGACATCAGCATCTTCTGTTGCATCTTCCTCCAAGCATGCGGCCTCGTCGGTCATGTCTCTCGTCCAGCTTAGAGATCGCGCAGCACGCCTGTATGCTGGAGACCCTACCAACCATGGTCCCATCGCTCTCAACTTCAATGCTGTCCTGTCAGCCTTGCTATCCGTCATCGACACTGCCGTACCTCATGCCTCAGATCCGTGTCGCAATTCGACCTGGCTCGACGACTCTGTTCTCTCGTCAGGTCAACCCACCTGGAGTGAGTGGGTCTTTCCACGCTCCGTCATGCACAATCTGTACGAGTTTAAGCTCGAGGCCGCTGCCGCTGCTCGCTCCAACAAACGGTCTCAATCTCCACAGGAACGCAAGCGCCGACGCCTGACCGCAACAGAACGCCGCACCATCGCTGGTAAGGGCAAGGGAGATAGCCCAACTCAATCACCAAAAGGCAGCCCATCCCGTCGCAGGTCTTCCTCGTCCAAATCCACCAGCGATGACAAACCAGGCTCAATACGTAGGCGATCAGCACGCCTTCTCAAGTTCATCTACCCAGAAAGCCTGCATGGTCTTGTAGATGAGGGTATCGATATCGATACTCTCGCACAGCCACAGATGCGCTTAGCGGCAAGGATACATTGCTTGCACGGCATGAGGGCATGGAAAGACTCGCAAAAGCAGCGACTCACTGCCAGCCCGCAAGAGATCGCCAATCAGCGTCAGCAAGACGGCCTTGCCAACGAGGGCGCAGCACAGGCCGCTTCAAGTCAGATAGAAGAGCAACCTCAGGATGGTCAAGAGGACGCCGCACGATCACCTACCGAAGGACGTGACGGAGATGGACAGCAGGCCACCACTGCCGACGCGAACGCCGCGAACGCCGACTCATCAGAAGCCACAGCTGAGGATGACTCCAACGCCGAAGATGATGATGTTGACGACACTGAAAGCTTCGACGAACCACCAGCAGCCATTCTCCGCTTCCAGCCTAGAATGTTTGGGCCCAGCTTTGGCTTCTGCAATGCGCCAGACGAGGAAGATGAGGTTCGCGCGCGTATGAGGCATCGTGTCTACGACTCCGGTTACTACGGCTACTCGAACGGCTTCGGGCCTCTGCACGCCTGGCGATACGATCCTCACGCTGATGAGGACGAAGATGACGATGACGCTGAAGAAGGGCCGGAGGGTGAGGATATTGATGATGACGATGCCACGATGGGCGAGGCTGGAGGATTCGGCAGTGAGGACGGTGACGACGATGCTCTTCGAGAAGCAGCCGAGCTCAGTGATGGCAGCGACGACATTCCTGCTAACCCAGTTCCCATCGAGATCGAAGTTGGCAGAGACGAAGATGACAGGCGTACCTTCCAGGTCGCTGATCGATACGGCAACCCAATACAAACGACCGCTTCCAGTAACAACGCAGCAATCCGAGGATGGGACTCGTCCGACGACGAGGCGGACGAAGGACGCGAGACAGATCGCACGCCCTTCCAGCAGCCCGACCTTGGCACTTATGATGCTGACACACGCACCTATACATACGAGGGTCATCTGTCCATTGGCATCGTCACAGGTGACCGCGACATCCAGGTCACTGTCGGCAACACCGTCGACTTTGTCGCTACGGGTGCAGTCAATATTCGTTTCATCCGGCCAGGTATGCTCGCTGAGACTATGCGCGTCACCAGCGGTGATGGACACGCAATTGAAGATGCAGACGAGGAGCCGGTCAATGATGAAGTTGACGAGGACGACATGGAGGACGATGACTACGATGAAGATGCAGACGACTTTGACGACTATGGCGGCGAGGACGAGGACGACGACAACTTCGGACCATTTTTTGACATGTTCCGGCCTTTGTCCGGTGCTGCAGGTTACCGTGGGTGTCGTGCTGATGAAGAGATCAAGCACCTTGTCGAGCGACATGAAGCAAAACGTCAGGGTGATGAAAAGGACCATGCCGCAGCTGGCCGACCTCGTAAGGTCAGCTTGCGACGCAAGTCGATCCATTGGGAGCTCATCGAGGCCATCATGGTCGTCATGTACGCCAACCTGAAGGAAGCGATCTGGCTGGAGAATTGGGGCGTCGGCATTCGCATCCCCAAGATCTACGATGACGCAGGCATCATGACGAAAGATCCGATGGAACGTCGCGAGTTTCTTGATTTCCCCACTGGCTGGATCTCGTCCATGCCCAACTCAATCCCGTCGAAGCTCCATGTAGAAGACATTTCGGACCAACGTTCAGGCGGCAAGGAGGCGACACCGATGGACACAGCCTCTCAAGTTCAAGAAGGGGCTTCGTCAGACTCGCCAGATGCAAAGCCACATGACTGGGCTCGATGCGAGAGCTTCTGGGCTGGCACATATGCTTTCCTCGACTATTCACACTTCGTTGACTTCAATGTCCGCCTGGCGAGACGAAGAAGGGAGGCAATCACTAGAGCAGAAGCTGCAGTGAACGGTAAAGGCAAGCAGGCAGGCAACGGCAACACTCACACCCAGTCCACGCCGAAGCCAAGCCTGGTCGGACAAGAAGAAGCGGTCGGCGACTGTCTCCAGCTGCGTCTCGAACTTCTACCCAAATCGCAGCGACCGGCATACAATACAGACGAGGAGGGTCAAGAGGACGACGAAGACTACCCAACACTCTTCTTCCGCGGCACCACAGTCACGTATTGGGGCAACGAAGCACTCATGCCACGAGGCGGTGTACACGGCAAAGTGCGCCCAGTTTACGCTAGAGAGGAAGACGTGGACGAGATCCTCTCCAAGGGCCGACGAGGCAAGAAGAAGGTCGAAGGTCTACATTGGTCACTTACGCATGTATACGAGGGAGAAGATCGATGGCAGCTGGAAGGCATTCAGCCTGGTCCTCCCGGCACTAGAGCCCCGATCTTTGGTATCTGGACCGATGCGCTACACGAGGAGGAAAGCCCAAATGGGCCGTTTGTGTACTGGATGATGGACGAGAGGCCGTGGAAGGAGATCGAGAGGATCAACCGACAGGAGGCACATGATGCTGCTGCTGCTCGAGCTGCAAATCAATGAGCTGACCATGTATTCTACATTAATCAAGTCTTCAAATAAACAATGATTGCGACTGTGGAAGTGTGCTAAAGTACATGTGTGTGTGTGTGTGTGTGTGTGTGTGTGTATATATATAAGGGTCGTGCCGAGAGACGTTCGAGTATAGTTCGGAGCGCAAGCGAAGGGAGGCAGCCATTGGTGTCGTTGGCTTGTTGTCTACTCGTCAACTTGATGCTTGAGCTCGAACTGAGCTCGAACTGAGCTTGACCGAGAGGATTGGTGGCGAATTCTCAGCTAAAGTACAATTGTAGAGTCACGAGTCCGTGAGAAAGCGGAGGATGACTATAGTTCGATGTGAGAAGACGGGAAGTTCGCAGCTTCTGGCGTTGCTGACCAATCGTCGAAGTCACCTGCTTTCCTTTGTTGTCCGAATTGATCCTGGCCGAACTGCTTCTCTCCGCTCTGTGACGGAAGGGTAGATCGACCTCTACCCCAATTCCAATTGGCCACTGCTCTTGCTGTATCGCCAGCCCAGCCAACACCTGTTATACCCAGAGCCGGTGCCACTACTACTCTTGCGAAGATCTCACCGAATCCTAGCATGACTCCATTGAGGAACGGCAGACCGAGGTTGATGAAGATGGACCCTGAGATCAGGGCCAGACGTCGCGACAGTGGTACAGTGGAGTAAGGGTTGAAGGCTGCTAGGGTCAGCGAGCCTGTGGGAGGATAGGGTGGTTTCGACTGCTCGTCTCCTGCTACCAGCTCTTCGTCCTCGTCGTTGCTGGCCTGGAGCTCGGTGGGTGGGGACCCGTCCTTTTCGTCGATCTCTTCTTGGTCGGATCTGTCCTCTTTGTGTCGATGGATGATCCTGGGCATGCCCGTTGCCGAGGCTGATGGAATGGCATCGTTGTCCCCCGTTGCCTCCGTTCGTGGAGCATTCTTCTCTTCGTGGGACGACATGTTGCCAGAGAGAAGATACGGCGAGGATGATGGAGGCAGGTCGGCAGGAACGTGAATCAGGGTCCAAGGTCTGAGCATCGAGAGCCGCCTGAAAGCGCCCTTGTGCTTGAGTCGGGTCCGATCAGCAATACAATGTGGAGGTCACAGTTCAATGTTAGATCGGGTCTTGTTTCGAGGCAAAGTCGCATAAAGAGATCAACACATCGACACGACTCAAAAAGAGCAAGTCCATCACGTCTAGACCCTTCCACCATCACTTTCCCCTTTCCGCACCGTCTCTGGACAAGCCTTTTCGTTGCGGTAATGGTGCCCGGCGATGCTGCTTCAAGTCCCGGCTTCCCCTTCCACAGCCCAAAGCCTCGGCAGGTGACTAAGCTTGCTGTTGCCGGACAGTCAGGAAGTCGTTCCGCACCTCAGTCTCCACACACTCCGACCAATCTCGGGCAGCAGACTCTTGGACCCACCACCTTGAATCCGGACGGAAGCCTCAGCGTCATCCGCAATGACGACGATGCCAACAATAGCGGACTGCTCGACTTGAGTCCCGCTCTAACAAGGGTTATCAAGTCAAGACCCAACAACTTTGCGTTTTCACCCTCGGCCAAACGGCAACGGACAGCACCGGCCAAGTCTCGGCTCAGCAACCATGCGACCTTCCAAGATGCAGTGCTATCCTCACAACCGACAGAAGACTATCTGCATTCCGATCCGCTTGCTGCGAATGGCCTTCCCGCTGAAGAAGCAGATGGTAACGATTTGCTTGAGGACGATCAGTCCTCGTCGACGACCCTGACCCGCTTACGGAGATGGCGGCAAGATGCCATGCAGCAGCACCTCTACGATACCGCCATATTCTGGGGTACAAAGGTTCTGTCGCTCGAGACATCTGCTGCCGCCTTCAATGATGCATACCATCTGGCACAATGCTACTTCTACACACACCAGTACGCACGTGCGGAACAGCTTCTCACCACTCCTCTCCGCAATGGCAGATCAACTGCAACAAACCACGACTCGACTTCATATTCAGCGAAGCATACAGGTGCGGAGGGGTTCCTAGCTTCGGACAATGTGCAGGAGGACGATGACGCGCTGCACGAGGTGTTACAACAGACCCGCTCCTCTTCTATTCTTCCCGCCTGCATCATGGCACGCTCAACGACCAAAGACAGCATGTATTCCGCAACATCGTCTACCATGGGCAAGCGGAAGAAGCGCGACTTCAATGTGACAGCGACTGGCACAGGCTCTTCGGAGACGGATAGCAGCGGCGGAAGAGATGAGTCCGACGACGAGTTCCTCAAAGACGCATCACATGACGCCCACCACAATGGATCTGTCATCTTTCGCGATGTCTCCGGTCCGCAGCACCCACAAGGGGAAAAGAAGTTGGCGAAAGGCAAGGAGAGCATTGACCTGCAAGCAGACGTCGATGAAGTCAAGAATAGCAGTCTCGCTCCCGCACACGGACCAGTTCTCGTCAACCACAGTCTGGCATGTCGCTATCTCGCAGCACAATGTCAAGTCCGACTTGCAAAGTACCACGAAGCTCTCGACCTCCTCGGCGAGACAGAACACTGGGGTTCATCTGCCAGCAACAAACGCCCTTCGAATGATGGCGGCATCAAGCTCGGCTCCTCTGTTGCTTACCTGCGCGGTCAGATCCACCTTCGACTCGAAGACTTGCCACGAGCACGTGACTCTTTCATGGCTGCACTAGCACTCGATGTCAAGAACTACGAAGCTTTCTCAGCGCTCATCGATGGAGAGATGCTTGGAACGGAAGAGCAATGGAACTTCGTACAGAGTCTAGAGTATGCCGCTCAAGCAGGGGATGAGCCGGGTGCGTTAGATGACTACGAGCTTGTAAGGCTGCTTTACACTACGCAGCTGTCGAAGCAGGGCAAGGCTTTGGTCGAGACGACGAGCTTGGCGAGGCGGAGGTTGGCGGATGAATACGGGCTTGCAGATGATCCCGATGTGCTGCATGGATTGGCTGCTGAGCTGTTCTCGAGGTTACGGTTTGCAGATGCTTTCGTTGTCACAAGTCGGATCTCGGAGCTGTCGGCTGATCATCCAGCAACGCTGCCGATTCATATTGCCTGCACGTATCACCTCAAGAACCTTCGTCCGGCACTGTTCATGCTAGCACATCGACTGACAGAGCTGCAGCCCGAGTCACCCGTTTCGTGGTACGCTGTCGGCACATGGTATGCTACCACACGGCGATGGGCCGAAGCAAGACGGTACTTCAGCAAAGCATCCCTACTTGATCCACGCTTCGCACCGGGATGGATCGCATTCGGTCACACCTTTGCACTCGAAGGAGAGAGCGACCAAGCGATCATCGCATACTCCACCGCAGCTCGACTCTTCCCCCAATCGCACCTGCCCAAACTCTTTGTCGGGATGGAGCATCTCCACCAGGACAACCTTTCGCTCGCACGCCTCTCCCTCGAAGGCTCAGCTGCTATCTGGCCAAACGATCCATTGCTCGCCAACGAACGCGGCATAGTCGCTTTTCAAACAGGCGACCTTGACTCGGCAGCAACCTTCTTCTCCACTGCCATCGATCTAGCTCGTGACACTCAGCATCCAGCATCCAGTTGGAAAGCGTGCTATCTCAATCTCGGCATTGCATTGATGCGCGTGGAGAGGGAGAAGAAAGCGAAGTCAGCTTTTCAATCAGTGGTAGAACTGGATCCGCATAACTATCAAGCACATCTGTGTCTAGGAATGTTAGCTCACAAGGAGGACGAACTTGATGATGCGATCCAACACTATCATGAGGCGCTATCGATTAATCCGAGGGATGCGTATGCTACGGAACTGCTGGACTTTGTGTTGGAGGAAAAGGTGCATTATGGTGTAGCGCAGTTTGCAAAATATGATCCTCAGGGACGGTTGTTTAACAAGGGCGGCAAAGGATCGTCGCAGAGAAGTTCAATGATGGATGCTGCGGCTGAAAAAGGAAAGCAAAGGCAAATGGAGCCTTCGCCGACACATCCTTCGGCGGCAGGTAGACCTCATCTTGCGTCGATTCCAGAGGCGTCTTCTCCTTCACCTGCTCCGTATGCCGCTCGGCAACTGCAAGAACAGGAAAGCTTTGCGGATCGATCAACAGCGTCTTCTCATCCAACGCAGACGTCGATCCGATTCCAGACGCCAGTAAGGACAGCAGCGATGGCAAATGCTGCGGACGTGTCGACAGCATCCGCAACCGAAATGAGCCTGGACAACTCGGCTTCTCTTCCTGACGCTTCGCAGTCGCAGTCACAGACTCAGGCAGAGTTTCAGGATCAGAGCAGTGTTTTGATGGACGAGTCCACGTCGTAGAAGCTCCGACTTGGCATGGGCATTGCTGACACGCATGAGCTACATTTGTATTATATGATCTGCAATGGCGGTCTTGCCAAGAACAAAGCCGCCATCCCGCTCTGAAAGCGCTTAGTACCGCACTGACGGAAAGAGCCGAAACAAACACACCCAAAAAAAAAAAAATCTTTTGAGATCGGAAATGAGGCGCTTGAAATTGGGTCTCTCTGAGCAATATGCATGGGGTAGATAACAACAAAACTACCCGAAGCAACGAAGGCCTCTGCTTCAGTTGTTGGTCCTAGTATCAGCAGGCACTTTCGCTTCTCTGCTCTTGTCAACGAGATGCTTGAACTGCTCAAAGAACAAGAAAAGCAATGTAGTTTGAGGCTGAAGACGCAACCATGCAGGAGTCCAACCACGGAAGAAGACTGTTGGTCCGTCCTTTGCCAGTGCTTCCTTGATGACATGCGAGACGCCAATGTTGGCGCCCGCACCCTTCTTCAGGTTCTGTACACGAGACTTGACGACGTCGATAGGGGTGCAGAGGGTTGTGCTGAGTGTACCTGCGCAAAAGCTAGCTGCGGTTTGGAGAACGGGTCCGTCGGGGATAACGTCGAGTTTCTGAAGGATGCCTTTGAAGAGATCGTACGAGCCGAGTTGGGAGATGTTCATAACGACCGAGCGGAAGACGTTGGGTGAGAGACCACGGAAGAGTGTTCCTGCGCCATCGTCCTTTACGATGCGGACGAGACCGTCGATGCAGTTCTTGTAGCCATAGCGGGCGTCTTTAGGCAAGTTGAGATCGGAACACATTCGAACGAGGACAATTTCGGCTGGGTTACCAACTACGCCGGCGACAGCACCTGCGGTCCCGGAGCAGAGAGCAAGTTGGCCTGTAGTTGGGGCTTTGCCAGAGCTAGCAGTGACGCGAGTCTTCATATCTTCGTAGACGGCGAAACGGGTGACTGAGTAGGTGAATTGACGTAGCAAGGTTGCGGTCAAACCGTGCCAGAGACTGGTGACACCTTCGGTGCGGACGGATTGGACAATGGTTCGGAACATGCCTTGCTTGACGGTGGCCGTTTGAAGTCGGTACTTGGTCAAGTCGAGAGGATGTGTGATACTGGCAGCGCAGCATCCCGCAGCACCTACAGAGCAAAGGTAACAAAAGGTATGGCAGAAAAGTTGTCAGCGTCAAGCTCACTCTCAAAGGTGGGGCAGGCTGCATTCGGAACTCACCTCCGAGCCAGAAGGGATAGGTCTTGGGAGCAGCTTTGTTGTTGCTGGAGGCTGAACCAGCTGCGACACCAGCACCAGCGCCGGCGAGAGCGCCTTTCGCGGCGTTAAAGGTGCCAGCATTAGCACCCGATGCGGTGGGGATGCGAAGCGTCGACATTGTGTATGGAGATCTTGGGGTTGCAGTCGAAACAACAACTTATTTGGGCGAATAGGCTTGAGGATCTTGTCAGGAGCGGATATTAATGGTCGGAATAGTCGGTAGTGGCGAAGACTTGTCGATGGAGACAGACGACGAGATTATGATGGCGTCTATGTGCTGCAAGTGTTCGAATTGATGATGACGGACGCAAACGTGAAGATTGCTGAAGGTAGGGAGGACGTCAGGGTAACGGAGGAAGGCAACAAAGTGTTGGTCGAGATGCGGTTATATGTGGCCACTGAGGAGGGTGCGGAGAAGACTTGTCCGGTGAGGCAGAGGGGAGCCACGAGTCAGAGAGAGCTCAGCAGAGGTTGCGCAAGTCGGATAAATGAAGGAAGAAGCCGGAACACAGCCTGGCAAGAAGGGTCAAAGAAGCTGGATCAGGATCGGCGGAAACTGGGACGGAGAATGGACAAGAGGGATTGTCGAGGAGCGCCAGGGGAAAAGCTTGATAACGACTTTTCTCACGCTTCACAACTTGATCTGGCTCAGCGGTCAAATGCCGCCGACGAGCATCTAGATGGACAGGCTAGACGATGGTCCTCTGCCGCTGCTACTCTCTGTCGATGTGGTTTGTGCGAGTTGCTTGGGCAGTGCCGCGTGACCTTCTGAGCACTTGGTGTTGGCTGCTCCCGTGCTGGACGGAGCGAAAACTGAAGGCTGAAGCCATCTCGCAATTCGGCCCTGCAGCAAAATGCGGGGTAAAGTCAGGGTCTAGCTCTAGAGCAGTCTGTCTCGAAGAGATAGCTATCGCCGATTATGTCAAGGAGCAGAAGAACGTATCGCGATAACCAGTCCGCAACTTGCGTGGCTTAAGAAAAAACCATAGAAGCGAACCAGACGTAAGTTACACCCTCGACGCAACGGTCTTGCGTATATCAAGTCGAAGACAAGCTGCGAGGCTGGTCACTTTCCGACGCTCCGGTGACAATGACGCCACGGAAAGATCCGCAATGCAGCTGCGAAGAAGCTTTGATTTTGTGTCGACAGCTTTCGTTTGCTTTCAACATCATTCTTATCGATGATGGAAGCACGATCGAGTAGAACTTCCCAAAGCAAACCTCGTCGCTCAATCCTGATACCCATTGTTCGAGGCGCTGGGCTCGTCATCTCACTCGCTGTGGCTTTGAAGTCGACACTCAGCCTGGTCAAGATGTCAGCTACAAACTTTGGATTCCGAAGGAGCTGGGTCGCGACACGATGACAAGGCCGTGAAAAAGGACCGAGCCTGCCGAAGGAAGCGATCCAATATGATGATACGTGCTGACATAAACATAATCGGGATCTGAAGGAGCAGATCTGTACAAAGATCGGGTACAACACAGTCCCCGCTTGTTGTCAAGCTGGATCATGAAGTAGGAATGCTCCCACCTTTGGTATGTGCCGCACCTTTGTATTGAGAAAGTTGAGGTCATATGAGGTCCCAATACTGGTGATCAGGGATGGTCTAAGTACAATGTCACTACTTTGTTACAGCAGAAACATATACTAAATTGACCTAAGGGAATGTGGTGAGAGCCTAGTGCTCTCTGTGAGATATATATACATGTGAGCAGCACAAGCCAAAGGTGGGACTGCTCCTACTTAATGATCTAGCCTGACAATGAGCGAGACTTGGTTGTACCCAATCCTCAACAGGCTCAATTGTCCCCAATCTCTGATCTTGTTGCCCTAGCATCACTTGTTAGCATCATCACTGGATCATTACTTTCAGCACCTCCTCTCGATCCAGTATGCTCCTTTGACACTATCAGACCAAACAGCTCCCATATGTGCACCAGTGTCAGCATCATGAGCAGCTTTGTCAATATGTCAGCAATATTCTCGCAACTCTGGACTGGGGCAATCATGAGTCACTGACTAGCCACTTCATCCCACAAGAAGAAGTGAGCAATATCGATGTGCTTTGTCCTCTTGAAGTGTTGCAGGTCGCTTGCAATGGCATGCACTCCTGATGAATCACTGTACAGGATTGGAACATTTCGATTGAAGGCTAGCTCACCCTCTTGTGAGTAGATGGTTGTAGTTCCAGTGCTCACACATATTCTAGTTGTCAGTGGTGTTTGTTGTTGCAGCTTGTGTAGGAACATCGATGTCCATAGTAGCTCCCTAGCAGCTCCTGCTAGGGCTACATATTCAGCTTCCACTGAGCTATTTGCCACTGTTGGTTGGAGGTGTGATGACCAACTACACACTAGTCCCTTGATCATGAAGATGTATCCTGATGTCAACCTCCTGCAACTGTGTGATCCTGCCCAATCACTATCTGCCCACCCAGTGAGTGTTTGTCCACCAGTGTGTGTTCCTGCAGAGAGGCTGATTCCTATCGTTCCCTTGAGGTACCGTAATATGTGTTTGGCAGTGGTGAGGTGTTCACCATAGGGGTTTGTGACAAATTGGGCACAGTGGCTGACAGCAAATGCAATATCAGGTCGGCTGCCTTGAGCAATCCATAATAATGATCCTACAAGTGATGTGTAGTGATGAATTTCTTTGGCACTAGCTGGATCACCTTCCCATGGTCCAAGAGTATTAATGGCTTCAGTGGCTGGTGTCAATGCTGCCCAGGCTTTGTCCATCCCAAACTTCATTAGTATTCCTTCAATGTATCCACTCTGATTTATCAATAGCATATGAGCCTTCCTATTGTAATCCACATTCAGGCCAATGATATGTGACACATTTCCTTGGTCCATGATATTGAAGACACTTGCAAGCTGCTGTTGTACAGATTTGACACATGATTCTGTCACCCTGATGACTAGGAGGTCATCAACGTAGACCATGAGTAGTATCATTGCATCATCTGATCCATGCATGTATACACAAGGTTCGGCCCTGCAATGCTTGAAACCAAATGCTTGAAGTTGTTCATCAAGTGCTGCATGCCACAATCTGCCAGCCTGCTTGAGCCCATAGAGAGCTTTCTTCAACCTATAGCATTTGTTCTTGGTCACTTCTGTTTCGAACATCAGCAGGATCCATATGTACACATCCTTATCAATCTTACCATTCAGGAATGCCATACTGACATCGAGTTGAATGGTGTGCATTCCATATCAGTGGGCAACAGTGAGTAAGATTCATACTGTTTGTAAACAAATGACTGGACTGAAGGTCTGGTCATAGTCTAATCCCTGGCACTGAGCATATCCCTGTGCAACCAGGTGTGCTTTGTATTGTGTGGCACAGCATTGGGCATCAAGCTTGAGTTTGTATACCCAGCAAACACCAATGAGTCTGCCATTTGCCAGTATGTCCACCAGGTTGAAGACATTCATTTTATGCATGCTGTCCATCTCACTCACCATTGCCTCTTGCCATTTCAGCCAGTCATTGTGTGCTTTAGCTTCATTGAGAGATAATGGTTCCAACAAGATACTGTCAGCACTCTGAAGGTGTTGGCCACTAGCAATTAATGCAGTACCATCCATTATTGTAGCTGCAAATGCCATGTGGTCCAGATGGTGACTGCTGACTATGGGTATATGGGTAGCAGGGTTTGGTGCAAGTGAGCACATTGTAGCAAAAGCCATGTATTCAAGGTCAATTGACAGGTCCAGTGGTTCTGTGTGGGTGATGTTGAGCACAGAGACATCATCATACATGTCTGCTGTCATATCACTTTGTGGCATATCAAGTGGGGACATGTTCTCATGATTCTCATCATGTGGCAAGCCTAGTATCATATTCCCCCTTTTGGGTTGCACCATGTTGAATTCCACTCCAAGTTCTGTAGCAATTGCATCTATGTCTATAATGATCTCACCAGCCTCTTCAATGTCCCCCATCATTTGGTCCCATTCACAGCTGTAACTTGAGATGTTTGAAGAACTTGAATTGGAATTGATGGTATGCTGATGAGAATACATTGGTTGTGACAAGTGAGTCATAACACCTGTTTCCATTTCATCTGTCACTTCATCTTGGGGGAACCAGGTGTAGGAACATAACAGCTCGTGATTGCCTGCAAGGACACATCTGTGGAGAGGTTGAGGATCTGCACCCAGCTGTTCGAGTTCCGAGAATCTGACATCTTTTGCAACAACCATGCAGTCAAGCTCTGGAAGCCAGACTTTGTGGCCTTTGACCCCATGTGGTTTGTCTGAGAAACCCAGATATGTGCCCCAAAGAGCATGTGGCCAAAGGTGTTTACTAACCACTGGATGATTTCGCAACCATGTTGAGCATGTGCTTCCTTGGAGTATGACGTAAGCCATGCAGCCGAACCAGCAAATGTGGCATAAGTCAGGGCGATGACTGAAGAAGAGTTCGAGGGGCATAATGCCTCCATGTGTTATACCTGCAAGTTGATTGTGGATGTATGCTGCTTGTAGCATGGCATGTGGCCACCATCATTCATGTATACCTGAGTCATAGATGAGACTTCAGGCAATCTTCTGAATTGTCTGAATTGCCCATTTGGCAAATGCATTGTTGGTATGTTGTTGGGTGGGCAAAGCAGAGATCTTCACACCCATTGAAGAGCACAGCTCATGGAAGGTGGCAGACCAAAGTTCACCCTGGTCCACCCAGACCTCAGATGGTCTTTGATTCTTGGTGGTGTGAATTTTGGATAGCCACCAGGCTGCTTCCTGATATGCAGCCCCTTTGTGTGCTAGCCCTTGCACCCAAATCATACTAGAATGGGCATCATGAATGATGAGCACAAATGAATATTGGGTGGTGCTGTGTAGTGGACCCATGATGTCCATCAACACCAGTTTGAGCGGCTTATTGATCTGCCAAGGGTGAGCAGTAGTCTGTGCAATTGCCTTGCTTTGTGTGCAAACATCACACAGAGTGTCAGGGTGGATTGCTAGGGTTGAGGGTATGTCATGGAGGTTTGTAGCTGCTCTTGTCCGTAAGATTGCATCATGACCTGCATGCCCCAGTCTTTGGTGCCAGATGCTGGCTTTGCTGCTGGCCCCAAGGGAACGCTCTGTGCTGGTTGCCATTCTTGTTGTGGCAAAAGCTAAGGAGATGGCTGGCTCAGGCATGGTATCATTCCATATGAGCATGGCAGCAGCAGGGTAACAGTCTCCAGTCATTGGCACTCAAATGGCATGGCCATGCTTGTCTTGGACTGTGACAAGTTCATCCTCAAAGGTCACTTTCCCTTTGGCACACATGACAGATTTGGTCCCAATAAGGTTTGTCACCAGATTGGGAACCAGTAGGCAGTCCTGGTATGTCATTCGCTCCCATCGCTGCATCTTGGGACTAAAGCTTAGTAGACTAACTGTACCTCCCATCTTAGATGCTGAGAGTTGCCCACTGTCAGCAGTAGTAATACTAACTTTATGTTTCATTTCTTGCCAACCTTTCCCATAGCAAGCACAATTGACCATGACACAGGAAGTGCCAGAGTCAAACACAAATGGCACAAGCTGAGGTGGTAAATTGATTGGTGCTGGCTTGACCTCTGTAAAGAAGGCCAAGACTGGTGCTGCATCCTATTTTTCCCGAGAACCTGCAAGTGGTAGTACAATACATGTTTTGGCATGGCTTTTGGGTGGTACCTTATGTCAGGGGTCTCGCGCCTGAAACCCAGGTCGGTCTGTCGAGATACTCGGTGACTATCAAACTGTGTGACAGCTATTGTCTCAGTATCGGTCTCGATGAGCTAGTTGCTCAGTGACTATCAAGTTGCATGATGACAGTGGGTGGCATTTGTTGTATATACTATTGTAGGTTTTGGCTGACCTCTGTGGACACTCTGTTCAGGGGTAGCTTGGCACAATCAATATCAATACATAGGTTATGATGACACCAAGGTCTGGTGTGAGTGTTGATGATGATGAGGTTGATGGTGTTGGTGATAAGGTTGGTGGCATCAACATGAGTGTCCAGTGTGTTGACTGATGCTTGAAGTGATCCCTGGACTGCAGTGGACTACTGCCTTCAGTTCTATCTATATCCGGACTGCTGGTTTGCTATGAACCGCCTTTGGATGTCAGGTAGTGGTGATACAACACATGCACTACAATGAGGAGCAATCTTGCTGGATTGCTACTATGCTGACTGAAAACTAATGTATACTTATGCTGAAGTGATAACTAGTTATGGTGTGTGTAGAGTGGATGATGATCCACTCGACCTTTGATGATGAGAAGGTATGGTTATATACCTCTTCACAGCATCGCCAGCAATGCTGCTCCTGCTCTCTCTCCAGAGAGTACCTTCTTCATCGAGTACTGTACAGGGGGCCCCTCTAGCACCACTCCTGTCCTCCTTGAGCTATCGACTCCTTCGACACTGCTCCTCCTCCTTGCTATCCTGCTTGCTTGGCACCCCTGTGCCTCCTGAGCTGTGTCAACTCCTTCAACACTGCTCCTCCTCCTCAGGACTTGCTTGCCAGTTTCCTATACACTGCTCCTTCTCCTTTGACTGGTGATGGTTCCTTTGACTCTTGTCTCTCGAGCCCCTGAGTGGTAACCATCTGCATGCTCCTGAGGTTGGTCCTCTTCATGGCTGTGCCTGGCCCTCCTCACATATGGGCCCAGTCCTCCTTTGCATGTGAGTCCATGGAAGTCCATGGTCTCCATGGAGACTGCACTACAACCATGCTCTCCCCTGGTATCGACTAGATCTCTGATACCTGTGCTCCTTCCATATGAACCAGTGACCCTCCTGCTTCTTGAGCATTCAGGCCCATGACACCTTACTCCTGCTTTCTTTCCAGCGCGCGTGGGCTACATCGTTGGGACAGTGGTTGGCTGCATGACCTAGTTCACCGCATGCCCAACAGTTGATGAGGGTGGCAGCCCACAGTGCAGTGAGTTCAGACTCCTCAGTCGCATGGCGATGTCCTGTGGGAGTGACTTCAGCAGCAAGTTCATAACACTGACATAGGATGTCTGATATGCTTTTGGCAGTTTGTTCCCTGCCATGGATCTTCTTGTGTAGGATAAACACAGAGTTGAATAAGGCATTTTGATCCAAAGGGAGTGCTCATTTAAGGATCCTGTAGCAGTAATCTGGCTTCCAGGGGTCCTGTAAATACTCATGCAGCTCTGATATGTGAGCTTCCCACTTGACAAGAAAGTCATATGCATGGCTCCCTACTTGGTCCCAGTATAGGTCAAGGGTCACCACAGACAGCTCAAACTCTTTGACTGTAGAATGTACTTTACATTTATTCACTGCCCAATCAAAGAGGTCTATGGCGATAGGTATTGGTTTGTCTCCATGCTCAGTGAAGTATTCGATATGTAGCTTATTAGAGAAGCTCTGCATGAGGATTGAGCTGAGTATCAAATCAGCATCCTCAAATGTTGTTGATTTTCGGTCAAGTACATTTTGTGCAAAAGGAATGATGGATAGCATTGCAAAGATATTACATTGCCATGTGTGCATAGAGACCACTCTTGGGTCAAGAAGGTTGTGTTCATCCCACTGCATCCTTTCATTCAGGCTTGAGAGGGTCTTGAGGTGGTGGTTTGTGATAGCGCTAAGTTCAGGAGTGGGTCCTGGAGTAGCATCACAACTGATCAAATGACAGCAAGTGGTGCTGCTCACGTTGGAGACAGGAGTGTCAGCTCAAAATGGTGTATCCATCTTGTTGATGTTGACTCTAATTGGGCTGGGCATCTCTGCCTTAGTATGATGTTGTTGCTCAAATGGGCCCTCAATCTTGAAGGCAAGAATGTGACCAGCATTCCATTCTTTGTTGGCAAGGAAGTTATTTACTCTGGTTTGCATTGCTCTTCCTAGTTTGATTTGGCTCAGGAATGGGCCTAGGTTGTGCATTCCATAATACAGTTCACTGACACACTCAATCATTATGGAGAGAGGTGAGATGACTTGTTTGTTGTCACTGGTGATGGTGAATTCTAGAAGACTCCCATCCTTTGGAGTGTTGGGTGTGCCATAAACTTCACCAGCTATCATATGATTGAACTGATTTTGAAGCATTTTCAGTAGTCATGGAAGGAGGTCTTCCATCAGACTAATGAAGTCATCATAGAGGGAGTAGTTTACATCAGTCATCATTGAGGGTGAGTTCAAGGATGAGGTAGGGCTTTGTTTTGGGCTCATAACCTGAGAAAGTTGAGGTCATATGAGGTCCTGATACTGGTGATCAGGGATGGTCTAAGTACAATGTCACTACTTTGTTACAGCAGAAACATATACTAAATTGACCTAAGGGAATGTGGTGAGAGCCTAGTGCTCTCTGTGAGATATATATACATGTGAGTGGCACAAGCCAAAGGTGGGACTGCTCCTACTTAATGATCTAGCCTGACAATCAGCAAGACTTGGTTGTACCCGATCCTCAACACACTCGATTGTCCCCAATCTCTGATCTCGTCACCCTAGCATCACTTGTTAGCATCATCACTGGATCGTTACTTTCAGCATGTATATGTGTCTAGTGGGGAGCTTGAAGCTCCCACTAGATTCTTTCTTCGAGTCAATTGAGTATATATGTTTCTGTCTAAATACTAGCAGTGACATCGTACTGAGACTCTACCCGATCGCCAGTTATCGGGACCACACTTTCTCACGGCCAGGTGCCGAAAGTGGGGAACAAATTTAGAGCTCGGCCTCCATCTCGGCTTCTTTCCCAGCTTCTTCTCGCAAGCCTAGAGCGCCAAGCAAATTGTTCATCGTCATATCAGCCATGGCTGTTCTCGTTTCGGTAGTACCGCTGCCAATGTGTGGCAGCAGTGCCACTTTGTCTCTGCAATCAGGAGCAAGCAGTGGATGATCGGCATGAATAACTGTAGCAGGATTGAAATTTGACGAGACGTCGAAAAAGGGGAAGCAGAATTCGCCAAGAGAAATTCAAGGTCAGAAAAAAGCTGTTCTGGACATCGCGGATGAGCGGATAACGCGGAACAACGGCAAAATCGGAGCTCACCACCAAATGATTCAGGCCAATATCATACCAACATATGAACGACATCGGTCATCTTTGAAATCGCTTGGCATCCTCGGATCTTGCCGCCCTGGCTCTTTCCGTCGCTGTTTGGGTGGGGAGATGGACTTACCCGGTTCGCCTTCGATGACATCTAGACCTGCTCCGGCAATGGTGTCGTTGCGAAGGGCTTCAACGAGTGCTTCTGTGTCGACAGTTCCACCTCGTGAAGCGTTGATAATGTAGGCCGACTTCCTGTTGCGTCTCAACGTCACATCCGGTACAGAAAATGAAAAGGAACATGCCCTCACAGCCGACGGAGGCAACCGACCAAGCAAAGCGGACAAGCAAGTAGCCGAGATTCTTTGTCAGTGTCTCGAACACATTTTCTTCCTCAAACAGATGCTTCTTGATAGCTCGACTTACTTCATAGCTTGCAGGAACTGCTTGTTGACAATGTGCTGGGTACTCGGGTTGAGGTCAACCAGCACGAATACCAGATCGGACGACCTTGCCAACTCCATCAGATCAGGCTGGTTCTCCATAGCAATCCTGTCAACTGGGAACCCTCCTCGCATCAGCGAAGCAAAGTACTTGTCATCCCTGTCAAACTTCCTCGCTGTGCTCGTCGTGTACTGGATCTTTGCAGGCTTGAATGGGACAAGCAGGTTGCTGAGCGACTGAGAAATGTTGCCGAAGCCAAGAAAGCCAATCGTCTTGCCGCTGATGCTCGGGCCCATGAAGCAGGTTGGTGTCCAAGGGAAGTTGGGCCATTGACCTTCTCGAACCGTTCTTGTTGCGATTGGTACTTGCCGTGTCACCATCAATGCTAGGAGAAGGCAGAGTTCCGCAACTGCATCGTCGAGTACCCGCGGTGTGTTGCCAACACGAACGCCGCGCTTCTTGACGAGAGCGAGGTCGATGTGGTCGTATCCCACGCTCATCGTGCTGATCACCCTCAAAGAAGGACCTGCTGCGTCCAGGAACTCTTCATCCACTCGTTCCGTGAGACAGATGACGGCCCCATCAACCCCTTTCAAGTTGGACAGCACCCATTTGCGCGATGGTGCCTGCTCGCCTTCCTCTTCTGGTCGTGCGATCAGCTCCACCTTGCCTGCTGCTTCTGCTCGTTTGAGCATTTCGGTCGGCATAGAGCGACATACGAGGACCTTGGGAACCGTCATGCCGATTCTACTGTTGCTGCAACAATGTCTTAGTAATGTCTTGAGACGATATCTTGCAATGTCGTGAAAGTCAGTCTAGAGGTGATGAGGCTTGTGAGAGACGAAACTTTCGAGCTTCATTTCGGATTGCGGGGAACAAATCAAAGTTCCAGCTTGACTTGCACGGCCGCACAAGTGAGGATCAGTCGGACGATACATAAACAATGTTAGATTGCGGGTGCTCGCTGGCTCAAAGGCTCCCAGCCTGCCGTAAGGGGCACGGTCGAGCGCAAAGAAGAGCTAAGATAAGGTAAAGATAAAGAGTAGTTATCTACTATGGTGAAGTGAAGGTGTATATATATGTGAGTACAGTGTTGCCTGCGACACTGCTCCTATCCCTCCTGAGAGATGTGAGCACTTCCTCAACACTGCGTCACCCTGCAGTCGTGCGGCCTCCGCACGAAGGCACTCGGGAGTGAAAGCACCTGACCCCTGCTCCGGGAATGCAGCTTCTCCGAGCATGTGACCCTAGCTCTGATTTCACACAAATGACAACTTCACTTACTTGGGTATATACACACCACCCAGGCCAATTGCCAGACTTTAGAGTACTGGCCTTTGGACACCATGGCAACTGTTGGGCTTTAGAGCACCAACCAGTGGATAGCTGACACATATCTCTGTAATCTCCATGCTGGGCCTCAACCTCATTGCTCTTGTGTAAGCACACAGATACACAGGATGCCGAGACACATATATACACTAACATAGTTCACATACATGTCAAATTCACGTAGGTCTCGGATTGGAAGTGGCCGGGGGACTTGGGAGTTTCTGGACTCAAAATTGCTGAAACAGCCAAGTCCCCCTCTCAATCTCGAAATTTTGAGGCAGCAGCTCCACTATGATTCTCACACTTTTCTTTTCTTGTCTTGAGCTTGTCTTGATCTCATCTCCATACACTCCTTTCTTGTCAGCACTGCTCAACATACACCACTTTGACATCAATGGTCAACATCTCACCTAGGAAGAGGGTTGCAAAAGCCCAGCTGCAGACTGACAGGGACCAGAAGGAGCATGAGATCCAGGAAGCTCTTAGTGCATTCCAAAAGGGTCAATTCAAAGACTTGAAGGCCACTGCTGAGCATCACAATGTCCCTTACAACACCCTCTGGGATTGCAGCAAAGGGCACAAGAGCTGCACTGCTGCCTTTCAACATCTGCAGGCTTTACCACCAGAGGCCGAAGAGCTCTTAGTCCAACATATACAGAAGCAGGCTCACTATGGTTTCCCAGTAACACCACAGAATCTTGTCATGGGACAGGATGTGCAGGAAGTAAGAAGATCTGAAGTCATATGAAGAGGAGTGCAGAAATCATGGGATCAGGCTAAGCGAGAGCTTAAGCCAGAGTTCACTGAGATCAGTAGTAGAAACAGCTCTATGGCAGAACTTGTCAGGAACAAGGTTGTTGCTACAGAGCTCAGTGGGAATGGTAATACCATGCTTGTACAACAGACCTCACAAGAATTGGTTTGAGAGGCACCTCTATTGCTGATATGGCGAGAGGAGGATACCAAACAAGGAGAGGACACCACTGGATGAAGTAGGGGCCTTGCATGACAATGAAATCAGTGCTGGCAAGTGGGTACCAATGACAGGAGGGTGATGTAAGGGTGTGAGTCACCACACAGATGAAGTGGGACTAGCCCCTGACAATGCTGAGGCAGCAGGAGGACCATCCATCCACAGGAGACAAGGGAAGTGGTGCCAATGAGCAGCATCACAAGGTGGATGGAGAGGATAGGAGGGATGAGGAGGAGGAGCAGCATCACAGGCAATGTTGCAGGAGTGGATATATAACCATGCTCCTCATTATAGCAAGTGAGTGGATTGCCATCCACTCTACACCTTATATTACTAGTTATCACTTCAGCATAAGTATACTTAGTAGTTTCCATCAGCAAGTTGCAATCACAAGTAGATTGCTTCCATTGTAGCACATGTGTTGTATCACCACTCACTGACATCCAAAGGCAGTTCATAGAACCAGCAGTCTGGATAATGATTGACACCAAAGGCAGTTCATAGTAACCTGTGGTCTGGCTCACAATCATAGAACTGAAGGCAGTTGTCCACTGTGCTCTGGGGATCACCTCAAGCTCTCAGTCAACACACTGGACACTCATGTCAGTGCCACTAACAATCTCAGTCACACCAGACCTTGGTGTCAGTACCAGTTCATATAAGTTATTAATCATGCCAAGCTACCTCTGGACAGAGTGTCCACAGCAGTCAGTTGAAACCTGCAATAGCAAACCCACTATCACATATTTGAGTGAGGAAAGTCATAGAGGCCTTCTACAACAGATTTTGACAAGAATAATAATAGACAGCATTTTACCACATATCTCGACAGGATCTGTAATAGAAGTGTTTCTACTACAGATATCAGGTTTCAGGTGCGCAACCCCTGACAACAGCCTACATCAAAGCGATGGTGAGCAAATGGTTACAAATGGCCAATCAGAAGTCCTGGGTACCAATGCAAGGGGTAACAAGTATCACAGGGGATGACAAGTGTGATCCACCACAAGCAAAGCGATACCAAGAACTGGTGGGACAGCTGTTATGGGTATCCAACAATGCACAACCCAACATATCATTCACCATAGGAACACTGGCAAGGTTTATGTCAAGCCTGACCAATAGCACATGGAAAGCAGCCATTCACATGGTGAAATATGTCATGAGCCTGAATGCTCAGGAAGCAGGAGGGTCACTGGTTCATATGGGAGGAGCACAGGTAGAGATCTAGTCGATACCAGTAGAGAGCATGGTCGTAGTGCAGTCTCCATGGAGACCATGGACTCCTATGGACTCACATGCAAAGGAGCACTGAGCCATATGTGAGGAAGGCCAGGCACAGCCACGAGGAGGACCAAGCTCAAGGAGCAGGCACAGCCACGAAGAGGACCAAGCTCAAGGAGCATGCAGATGGTTACCACTCAGGGGCTCGAGAGACAAGAGTCAAAGGAACTGTCACTGGTCAAAGGAGAAGGAGCAGTGTATAGGACACCAGCAAGCAGGTCCTGAGGAGGAGGAGCAGTGTCAAAGGAGTCGACACCACTCAGGAGGCACAGGGGTGCCAAACAAGCAGCAGAATAGCAAGGAGGAGGAGCAGTGTCGAAGGAGTCGACACATCTCAAGAGGCACAGGGGTGCCAAGCAAGCAGGAGAGGCCCCTGAACAGTACTCGATGAAGAAGGTACTCTCTGGAGAGAGAGCAGGAGCAGCATCGCTGGCGATGCTGTGAAGAGGTATATAACCATGCTTTCTCATCATCAAAGGTTGAGTGGATCCTCATCCACTCTACTCACCATACAACTAGTCAATACTTTAGAAACATAAGTACTCATTAGTTTTCAGTCAGCATAGCAGCAATCTATCAAGGTTGCTCCTCATCATAGTGTGTGTGTTGTATCACCACTACCTGACATCTGAAGGCGCCCCATAGCAGGTTAGCAGTCTGGATATAGATAGAACTGAAGGCAGTAGTCCACTGTGGTCCAGGGATCACCTCAAGCATCAGTCAACACACTGGACACTCGTGTTCACACCACCAACCTTATCACCAATGCCACCAACCTTATCACCAACACCATCAACCTCATCATCATCAACACTCACACCAGACCTTGGTGTCATCATAACCTATGCATTGATATTGATCATGCTGAGCTACCCCTGAATGGAGTGTCCACAGAGGTCAGCCGAAACCTACAATAGTATATACAATGAACGCCACCCACTGTCACTGCACAACTTGATAGTCGCTGAACAACTAGCTTGTCGAGACAGATACCAAGACAATAGCTGTTGCACAGTTTGATAGTCACCAAGTATCTCGACAGACCGACCTGGGTTTCGGGCGCGAGACTCCTGACAAAATATCTCAACCAAACCAGTGAGTACAAACTACTTTTTGGGGACAGGTCAGGCAAGCATTCAAGACAGCCAATTGTTATGTATACCAATGCAAACTGGGCCTAAGACCCAACAAACAGACTGTCACAGGCTCAGTGGGTCAGCGTATGAAGGGGTGCACCAAATTGATCAGTGGCAATTATGGTAATGTCACAGGGTCAGCAGATCAATGTATGAAGGGTGCACCAAATTGATCAGCATCAAATCATTGGGGATTGATGAAGCTAATCAGGTTGGTAGCACATATGATTTATGAGACCAACTGAACTCTGGGGTCCAGGTTAATCTCACAAGGATTGATCAGGATCAGCCTGATCAGCATGTCTCAGCAAGTTGGCTGACATGAGCAAGCATCAGGAGATTCAGGAAGGAAGATACCAGCATTAGAAGGAGAAGCATATGGAGATAACCACATGTAGGAGTGGGGGACTGAGCTCAGCATCATGCAGATGGTTACCACTTGAGGGCTATGTGCATATAGCCACACAGGACCAAGTGCAGGGGTGACCACATGACCAAGGGGTTTGGTCACAAGGTCCAACAAGTGGCTAAAGGGATTCACAAGATAAGGTCAGGAAGGTGGTTGCTGGTGAAGAGAGATGGAGCTGTGTCAAGAGGAATGGAGATTGGTTAAATGAAGAGGAGGAGCTGTGTTGAAGGGGTCGTCACACATCATCAGGCAGAAAGAGAGCATGAAGGTGAAGGGGCAGTGTTGCACAACCATTATGCTGTGCAAACAGTAGAGGCACAGCATCGATGGGGTTGATGCCAGCAGGGGAGATAGTGTCAAAAAGGGGATGAAGGTCCCTCAGGAGGAGCGGGATAGGTGTTGTGGGTGACACCAATCAAATGCATAAATACTCTCATTCTACCATAGCATACAAGTGGATCCTCATCCACTCTACTTACTTTATACTTTACTCTTTACTTGACTCTTAGTTACATATCATTGCAATAGCAGTGCTTTTGCAATGACCCTCAAATGTGTGTGTTGTATCACTGTTAGGCATCAACTGTAGGCAGTGTTCTCTGAACACTTGTGGTCCAGTTCTTCAACTGTAGGCAGTGTTCTTCAACACTTGCAGTCCAGTCCCTTACTGTAGGTGGTGTTGCTTGACACCTGTGGTCCATTCAGTTATTGTAGGTGGTGGCTCACACCTGTGGTCCAGTAACTCCCATCCTCTGTAGGTGATAAGTATATCACAGTCCAGACAACATCCAAGAGCATTATCAACAGTACTGTGAACACTTGTACTGTAAGGAGAGGGTATCACTCACTCTCCAATGAACAATGAACATGCTGTGCAACCTCTGAATGAAGTGTTCAAGGCAGTCAGTCAAGACCTACCAGTATGAAGATGTCTAGTTATGTTTAGTTGAAACATACCAAGTAGATCTTACTCAAATCAATCCCATGTATACCAATTGAAGAACACCCAAAACTAGTCTCTGGCACGCGACCACTTACACAGACAAAGAAGCACATCAGGGGCGGTGATGTATGTACATGGGTGCCTGGTTAGCTGGAGATCACACATTCAAAAGTGTGTGGCATTGTTGGTGGTGGAAGCCAAGTTCGTCGCCACCTCCGAGGCAGTGAGAGAGGCACTGTTCTTTTTGTACCTCCTCAGGGATCTGGAAGTCGAAGCTGCTCACCCAGTATTGCCCACAGACAGCCAGGGATGCATCCAGGTGAGTAAAGATCCTGCCAAGCACTGGAAGCTGAAACACATAGACACCAGGTATCACTTTGTCAGAGATCACATTCAGGAGGGAGAGATAGCAATCAAATTTGTTGGGACAGCCAACAACATTGCAGATATCTTAACAAAACTATTGAAGGGTTTGGCAACATCCTGGCCAGCTCAGTTGATAGGGTTGGCAATGCTGTTGAAGGGGGGAGTTGAAAATGTGTTGGCATTCCAATGGGATTCATGGGGTCCACAGAGCACAAGCAAGACACTGATGAAGCAAGGCCATATATATATAGTATGCATGTGGGATGCATAAGCATTGCCATAGCAACACTCAGGAGTAGTACAGGAGGCAACAACTCAGGAGTGATATGAGGAGTGACTCATCACAGTCCAGCATGTCTTGGAGGCAATGATCAAGTATATATATGCTCACACACTTAGCATCCATTGATAGAAATGACAAGTATTATCGAGAAGTCATACACCTGTGAGCAAGAGCTTGTTAGTAGCTCAGGACAAGCGTACAGTCCCTGCCCAAAGTTTGGGGACAGAGTCCAATAGACAATAAATCAACCATCTGATAGCATACCTTCCATCTGCTTGGAGGAGTGATCTCTCATAAGTGTCAGACTGAGCAAAACACACAGTGAGCAAGTTCAAAAGAAGAGCTTTCAATTGCAGTGAGTCTCGGAGCTGACTAATACTTGAGCAGACCTCCATGCTTAGTAAGCACTTGCTCCATGCAATGCTCCATCAACTCGATCACAGGATTGATATGTTTGAGCATGATCTGGGTGTTCCACACCTCCTCTGCAGCTCTGGCAAGTTCATCCTGGGTTTTTGGTACTGGCAAGTGCTTACCAAGCAAGTTTTTGAATACATACCATATGTTCTCAATAGGGTTAAGGTCTGGCAAAGCTGGCAGGTGTTCCTGCATCTTAATGTGGTATTTGGCCCACTGTTGCTTGCAGATAGCAGCCTGATGACAGCTGCTGCCATCTTTGACAACCAACAGGCCATCAGGGTATGCACTAACAGCAGTTACAGCATCCCAGAGCAGGCTGTTGATGATCCAATCATGATACCTGACAGCTGTGAGGTTCTCTGTGGGATCCCATTGATTAGCCAACCCTGGCCACTTCTTTCTTGGAGCCAATGGGAGCACAACCAACAGTGTTTTAAGGTTGTATGCAATGCCAGCCCATACCTGGATGCTGAAACAGCTGGAATGGAATGTCAGAACCATGTTGTTGATGTCTTCTCAAGTGTTTTTCCAGTGACTAACCCATGTGCATCCAGGCCAGTAGCCAACCTCGACAGCTGCCTCATCTGTGAACAGCACACCCCTCCAATCAGTGGTGCTGTTAGCCTTGGCCCATTCTAGACATTTATGCCAGTTTTTGGCTGTCAGAAATGGCTTTTGAAGTGCAATCCAGCAGTTAATACCAGCCCAGTATGCTGCTTTCCAGAGCTGTGTAATTGGAATGCCACCAAGCAATGCTGACAGCTGTTGCCATGATAGAAACAGGTTTTTGATTGGCAGCCCAGTATCATGCATTGCAATGATTGAAGCATGCTTGCTTGGAGAGAGCTCATTGCCATGGACCATATCAGTGTTTGAAGTGTTCTTGATTAGTATGATGGTAGTGCTATTGCTCAATGACAATGATGACCCAAATGCGGGGTAACCGGCTAAATTGGGAAATTACCCGATTGTCCTCAAACTTATGCACAGGGACTGTACCGTACGTTGTAATCTTCAATTGATTGAGTCCAGGCGGGATTTCGCTTTTACAAATGAGAAGTGGAGTTGTGAACATTTGTCGCCAAACGCCGGCAGACACAGTTGAGTGGCTCGAGCAGTTGAAGATTGCAGGTAAAACGCGACCGATCGGAGCCACTAGCAAGCTCTCATATGCAGTTGTATTACTTCTTGAAATGCTTGTGTTATATTCATGTGATGCTACATACATGGTCATATATATACTTAGCAATCTCCTTCAGCCTGTGCCAATGTGCAATGTGTCACTCCTCATGTTACTCCTGAGTTGTCGTCTCTTGTGCATTATTGTAACAACTCCTATGCATCCCACATGTGTCGCCACCTATATGCACCTTTACTTAATTATTAGATCGCTTAAATTCTGTGGACCCCGTATGGTTCCGCGGACCCCGTGAATCCCGTTGGGATGCTGACGCATCTTCAACTGAGCACACGGCAAAAGCCGGCAATTATCACGCGAGCGGTTCCTGGTTGAACAAACATCACCTTTCGAACCCTACAAGATAAGCTTCAGTACCACCATTCCATATCTCAGCCACAGCATCTTTTGAGCTATGTCAGGACCCCTTGTACTCATCACCGGCATCACCGGCTTTCTCGCCGCCCACGTGCTTGATGCCGTGCTTGCATCACCAGCCAACTACAAGGTCAGAGGAACGCTCCGTTCAGTCAGCAAGAAGGACGAGATCCTCGCTCGTTTGGGCCCAGAAGACAGAAAGAGAGTCGAATTCGTCGAGGTTGCCGACACTGCCACTTCAGACCTCCTACCAGCTGTTAGAGGAGTCGAGATCATCCACCATGTTGCCTCACCATACCAGCTCAACGTCCAAGATGCAGAGCGTGACCTGCTCATTCCAGCTGTTGAAGGCACACTCAACCTTCTCCGCTTCGCAAAGCACGAGAAGAGCGTCAAGAAGATTGTTATTGTCTCTTCTTTCGCAGCTGTGACCAACTTCAAGGAAGGAGGACCGAACCGTCCAGGCTTCACATACACTGCAGAGCACTGGAACCCTTCGACCTACGACGACGCCATCCAAGCCGGCGGAGCTGGAGCATTCTCTTACTCAGTCAGCAAGAAGCTCGCCGAGCAAGCTGCTTGGGACTACGTCGCCAACGAAAAGCCTCACTTCGAGATCGCCACTACCAACCCACCCATGATCTACGCCAAAACCATTCAGCCCGGAGTCAAGCTTTCGAATCTCAACACCTCAAGCAAGACCATCTACGGCCTCATCAGCCATGCTGAGCAGATGCCCGAGGATCGACTTCCTCTGTTCTGCAACGCTCGTGACGTGGGAGATGCTCAGGTTGCTGCAACCGAGAAGCCTAACGGCATGGGAAAGCGTTACTTGCTTTGTGGAGGAAAATTCACTTGGGCACACGCTGTCAAGTTCATTGCTGAAAACTACCCGGAGCTTCAAGACCGTCTGCCGAAGGGGTGGAAGGAAGCTAGCAGCGATCTGAGGGATTTGGATAGCATCGCAAGCTTGGAGACTGAGAAAGCAGAGACTGTATTGGGAATCAAGTTCAAGGACTGGCAAACAACGCTCAAGGAATCGCTTGATAGTTTGTTGGAGCTCGAGAAGCGACCTGATTGGAAGAACTGATTTGGTCGCGGCTCGTGTCTTGGCACGTTTTTCGTTGTTGGACGAGGTCATTCTGGTATCTTTGATGACGAACTCGCGCATTCCACACGACTTGCTTCGCCAAACGACGTCAACCACAGCATGGATCCGAAGATGCATTGCTGACTTGCGAAATAGAAGATATTGTACATGTTGGAACGGGACTGAAGGGGATAAGATCGATGAAGATCCTACGATAAAAATCATGAGTAGATAGCCTTCTCTACGGCCTTGTATGGCTTCTGGCTCTTTCCACCGAGTCGTCTTCTTGCTGCGTTGAAAGGTTTGGCCACGAATCTGGCAATCGTTGGCACCAGGGTGTGCTCAAAGACCATACCAACGACAAATTGAGCAACGACAACGCCAAAGATAACCCAGGAGAAGGACTTTGGCATCTCTACGAAACCAAAGAGGGTGAAGAAAGGTCCACCTGTCAGGAACAGGAAGTAGAAGGCGAAGATAGAAAGGATTGCCAGCGTTGAAGCCAGCAGCCAGTTGAAGCATAACAGCTGACGATGAGGGGGTCCGAGCGAGTATGCGAATCCTGCGATGATGTAGGAGAAGATCGAAGTGCGAAAGAGGGCGGTGTTGTCCATGTCGTTAAGCGTCAGGTTCTCTGGGTCAAACTCGGGAGGCTCATACCAAGACTTGCTGTGCAGGACAACGTAGACGACGGTTTGAGCGATGAAGCCCAGAATGACTTGACCAAGCATCGACACAATTGGCCTTAAGGAGGACAACCTTAACTCGGGCGGGATCCTGAACAGCTTTCCCGCTGGTTTCGAGTTGGCCAGACCAATGGCAACTGGCAAGATGCAGAAGATATCGATCATGAGATACTCTGCGTTGTCCAGAGACGTCGCTTTTCCATATAACAAAAGCACTGTGTAGTACTCAGCAAGACTGTAGTTGCTCATGAAGAGGAACATTGCAAAAGAAACCGAAAGTGTCGACCTTCCCTCCCTGATCAGGTGGATGACGGCTGAGATATCCTTGAGCTTCGACGTAAATGGCGCTGCTACCGATGCCTCTGCTTCCGATAGACTCAGTCCTACATCCGCCGACTTAAGCGCTCCACAATCATTAGCACCATCGCCCGTCATTGCAACGACATAGCCAAGCGCTTGAAGCTGCTCGACAAGCTCTTGCTTCTGCTCTGGTGAGAAACGAGCAAATACCTTACAGTGGATGAGGATACGGGCCATCGTCTCAGCAGAGCACGTCTCTAGCAAGATCCGCAAGATCTCGCCAGAAACTGCAAGGTCGACGTTCTTCAACTTGCTTGCGCTGGCTGCACTTGAGCCCTTGCGAGGAAGAGGGTCAAGGGTGTAGGTATCGAGCCTGTCTTCTTCATGGTCCACACTGATCCACTCGACGACTGTTTCAGAGCCTTCCTCAAGGGTTTTGTGGGCAATCCTTGGTGTGTAGACGTGAGCATTGGCGGAGAGGATGCCACACTCCTTGGCAACCGAGACTGCGGTCAGCACCGAGTCTCCAGTACACATCTTGATGGGTAACCTGGCATCGTCACGGATCGTGGCAATGGAAGCGGTTGTGGCAGCCTTGAGCTTGTTCTCGAAGATGATTAGACCCAAGAATTGCAGCTCGCTTTCGGCTTGATGACGGGTGAGGTTCTGCGCTCCTTGCCATCCCAAGGCATCTATTGTCTTGCCAGCAACAGCCAAGACACGGAAACCCGCACGTGTGCAGAGATCAAGGATGGCATCGTAGTCGGATGGCAACGAAGCGGGATCGCATAGAGTACTGATCGACTCTGCAGCACCCTTGCAGTAAATCTGAGCAGAGACCTCGTTCTCACGCTTGACAATGACACTCATGCGACGGAGTGATGCAGTGAATTCGAACGTGCGAACGACAGCCAGAGACAGAGCCTTTCCACGTGAGAGGATGACAGGCACTCGAGCCAGGAGACCATCTTTGGTCAATGGTTGGCGGTCCTGGACAGCCTCAGATTCGGCATTGCCGTCCTTGGCAGCTCCTGACAGCTCCGTTGACAAGCGGACCGGAGCCAATGCGGCATCGTCCTGAAGCGTTCGGCCGGTCCATTCAAGCATCTTGACCTCAAGAGGCTCTCCAATGGGTTTGCCGTCCAACAAGTTCAGGTCGTGAGCTGTTGCCATGGCCTCGATCAGGTCAAGCTCGCAAATGCCCTTCTCCTCCACAAGAGACTTCTCCTCCAATCGATCTTGCTCTTCTTGCTGAACGAGGTCCGTGAACCTGCCATCTTTGACCATTCGAATACCGAGCACGTCCAAGCCCTCCTCTGTCAAGGTGCCGGTCTTATCAAACACAAACATGTTGACCATGCCGGCGACGTTGATACGCTGTGGACTAAGGCAGAAAATTTGCCCACGCTTGAGCCTAGCAATTGAAAAGGTGACGCAGATGGACAATGTTGCTGGCAGAGCAGGGGGCACCGCAATCGTAAGCACATCGAGTGAACGTAGAGCGATCTCTTCACCGCTGACACCAATGATTTTGAAGTAGATAATGGTAGCAACCATGCCAATCGCTGCAATGACGAAAAGGTTGCCGATGAAGTAGAAGGCATCTCTGTAGAACTTGTGGCTGATCGGTCGAGGGAACAGCATCTGCCGTACGAGGGATCCTTTGGCAGTCGAGAAACCTGTGCGAATCACAAGAGCTCTTGTGGCCTTGGAAGCTCCGGGTCGCACACGGACGAGCTTTGTGCCAGAATACAGGATGTTCTTGTCAAGACGGGCAAGATCTTGACCAGAGGCCAGAACACCAGCCAGGTCAGCTTTGGAGATCGGAGCTTTGACGACGGGTACAGATTCTCCTGTTAACATTGCCTCATTGACGATGCAATCACCCTCGAGCAGCACTACATCGCAAGGTAGCGTCTCAATGAGTCTGTGCCCGTTGTTGGAAGCTGTTGCGTCGATGTACAACGCGCCAAGATCGATGATGTCGCCGGGAACCAACTGCTCGCTGTTGTTCCTGGGCCAGCTTGAGGTGGCTGCCATGGTTGGGCTGGCGGGTTGCTTGTTCTCTGAGCTTGCCGTGTCTGCGGTGACTTGCTTTTCGTCCACATCTGAAGCCACTCTTGCGGCGGACGTGCGAAGAACCGACACGTCGCAGTTGAAACGACTCATCTTCTTCAATTTCTCGATAGCAGCCTTCGTAGTGACAGTAGTTGCCACTATACCAATGATAGACACAACTCCGATGACGATGGCATACGGAACGTACTCATCGTTGCACCATAACACGATTGAATAGATTTGAAAGATGTAAAAGGGATGTAGCACCTCCTCGATCATGATGTTGGCCACTGACCTGCCCTGGACTGAAACTTGGTTTTCGCCGAAGAGAGCTTGCCTCTCCTGAACCGCCTCGCGTGGGAGGCCTGACGAAGCGAGACTGTCTTCTGCTCCTACTGCTGAAGCCCAAGAGGGATCACGCCAGGAAGCAAGGAGATAGAACTTGCCAGAGACGGGGTGTAGAAGGAATGTGGTGGCACGATACTCGAGCACATCGATGTAGCTCAGCGGTCCTTCCTTACTAATCCTTGTAGCGGCGCCAAAAGCTTGATGAACTGCAATCTTTCCAGTAGCGGCAGCAGCTGCATCTTGAGGCGACGTATGAGGCTCATGAAGGCTAGGCGGGAACGCCTTTGCCAAAGACAGCGGCGTTGAGAAGTCAACACGCTTGAGAGATACAATGTCAAGCTCTCCATGCTTGCTCTTGATTCGAATGAGCTTGTCGCTGTTCTTTTTTTGGCTCTTCAAGCTTGTTGGGACGGCGTTCCAACGAATCCAGAACTTGTTGTTGGCCCAATTGTCGACGATGAACCAGATGCCTGCGGTGACGATGCAAAGGGTATACCACAGAACCATCATGAACATCCGTCTGCGATAGAAGCGAAGGTGTAGTTGAATATCTTCATCGACCATGTAGATGGATTGACTGGTATCTTGAGGCTTGCTCGCGTCTTGGGTGTCTTCATCGGAGGCAGAGAACAACACACGCGAGTCTCGCTTCTCTGAGAAGTTGAGCTCCGCTGCTTGGACTAGCTCCTGAAGCTCAGGACGGGGCGGGAGATGTCGATCGGATATCTCGTCTACACCATCCGAATCCGTGTCTGCTGCTGTCTCTGTCTCCTTGGATTCGGCACGGGACGAGACTCTGGGAGAGTCGTCATGATCGTCAATGTCCAAGTGCAATTGCTTCGAGAGGTCAGAATCGTGAAGCGGCTCTCGGAGGGTGAAAGGTCTAGCAGCGACGACACCATCGGGTGGGCAAGGCTCGAGCGGGCTAGTGTTGGACATGATTGGTGTTGACAATGTTTAGGGGAAACGGATGGAGGTCGTCCGAGGAACTGTGGAACTGTAGAGACAGAGGATGGGATGATGGAAAAGGTCGCGCTGTCTGTCTGTGGTTTGTCGTGTGAGCGTTCCGCGGATCTAAAGCTGGTGTAACTATCGTTCAGTTTTTTAGTTTTTTAGTTTTTTAGTTTTTTTTTTTTTTTTTTTTTGGGTTGCTTAACCCAGAGGCGGACCATGTGCCTGAAACCTTTTTCTTCGTATCGCGTTTCGAATCGATTCCGCTTCCAGAATCTCTCGAAGCGGCGGCTTCCATTCGCTCCCGACCAGCGGAAACAGTAAGTCAGCTCGCGTGTTTCTGACTCTGAAATCAATATTTATGAAATGTTAGGAGAGCTTGTCTAACAACGTCTCGCAATCAGTCGAGGTTTTCGATGCAATTCACCTCATCCAGACAGGTATGATAGTTATGTTCCTGGAGGCAATTGTATGACAGGTGTGAGCAGGTTACAGTATTGAATACAATGATTTGGAATCGCATGACAAGTCTAGAATGGGGTCGGAGAGATCAGTTTAGTGCTTCTTCTCATCTTCCTCGTCGATGGACTTCTTCTGGCCATCGGCAGAGTAGGCCAAGTCGCCAGCATCCTGAGCCTCGTCGCCAGCAGTGGACGACGCCTTTCGCCTGTTGGCTGGCCTGTTCTGCGTCCAACCGATCGAATACCATGGCTTTTCGAAGAGCTTGTGGATGTCCTCAAGCTGCATGCCTGCAGTTTCGGGCATGGAGAAGAAAACAAAGAGGCAGCCGGTCAGGGCGATCATGGCGTAGAAGAGGAAGGTGCCGAAGTTGCCCCAGGCTAGCAACATAGGGTTAAGCGTTCTGGTGGCAACGTACTGCATGCCGAAGTGGACGAGGGAAATAATGGCTACACCAAGAGCTCGGACGGTGATGTCGAACATTTCGGTCTGGCTGAGGTACTGAACCGAGTTGACACCGATGGCCCACGCGAGACCAGACAAATAAAAGAAGAAAATAGCACCAGTGGCAGCCGATTTGTCGGCGTGGGTCTCGTTGGCCTTGGTTACACCAGCAGTGAACTTGAGGAATAGCGCAAGGTAGAGCGAGCAGATACTTTGGAGGAGGAGACCAGTGGTGACAGCCGTCTTTCGGCCAAGCATGTCGACAAGGAAGAAAGCAGCAGCAAACGAGGAGAGGAGCTTAACAATACCGAAGATACCAGTGGTAAGAAGCTTGGTCCTCTGTCCTCCTGGAACACCGAGAAGGCCAAAGATCTTGGGAGCAAATACAGTGTAGACACCGCCACCGCTGAGCTGGCCAAGCACTTGGATACCAAGACCGAGGAAAAGAATGTACTGGTTGTTCTTGTTGGTGACAAGCTTCTTCAGGATCTGGAAGAGGTTAAGACCTTCAAGAGCCTGCTTCTCGGCCTCGATCTGCTGTTCCATCACTTCAACCTCGTTAACAACAAAGGCATGGTCCTCGTCAAGGTTGCGAAGGTAGCTGAGGACCTTGCGGCCTTCCTCGTAGCGACCCTTCTTGATCAGCCATCGGGGCGATTCCTTAGCAAAGAGGCATGCAATGAAGGTCAAGCCGGCAGAGATAAAGTTGATAGAAGCGGGGATGGTCCATTGCTTTGAGTCCGTATAGTGGATGCTCGTTCCAAGGTTACTCCAGTACCCGAGCAGGATACCTATGTAAACACTACCGCTGAAAATGCAAACGCAGAGTCCTCTGATGGCTTTGGGAGCAATCTCGGCAAGGTAAACGGGAGCGACAACAGGAGTGAAACCAACACCAAGGCCTGCAATGAAGCGGCCTGCAAGAAGTTGGTTGTAATTTCCGGCATGATGGGTGCCGTTGACGCCAGCAGAGGTCATCCAGATTGCAGTACCAAAGATCCAGATCAAGCAAGCAAGCATCGAGGTGCGAAGACGTCCAAGACGGTCACATAGGAAGAATGCAATAGCAGAGCCTGCTACGGATCCAAGTTGGAGCTGGGATGCAATGGTGGCCTCTTGTGGCGAGTTGTCATCGAAGCCGAAGGTGTCGATGAAACTGTGCTGCTTGAGGACACCAGAGATGATACCTTCATCGAGGCCACGGGAGATACCGAGGGCACCGACAGCCCAGGCACTGAACCAGAGCCTCCAGCCTCTAGCTTCGCGAGGAGTGTCTCGCAGGTGTGATAGCAACATGGTGTGATGGGGGTGAAGAGAGAAGAAAGGAGTTGGCTTGTCGAGGAGGATGAAATGGGATGTAGAGGAGAGTGCAACCCGTCAGGTACTTATAGTTTCCACACATTCGCGGGGCCCAAAGGTAAAGGACCGGGTAGCTAGGTGGAGCCCCACATGGTTGGTGGGTCTCGAAGCGTGGCATCTTCACCTTACCATATTCGGCGATGGCCTCGAGGTTGTGGGGTCTAGCACTTGTTCCTGCATGCTGAACCCAACATTCTGTGATGCAGGAGCGAGGAGCAATAGCAGGAGAAGAGACACGGACCTGTCACCATTCAGAATGCCATGGACCAGGGACAAGTTACTTCGAACTTTGTCCTGTATTTTGGTCACCGACGCAGCTATTGTCCAGCGGTTGTCCCTCGAACTTGTGTTGTAGAGATGAAGCTATGGAGCATCCCTACCGCATGCTCCTACCACCTCGCTGCAATTTCTCTGCTGCATTGCAACCAACTTCCTCGGTACCATCCTCGATCTGACTCATGCAGCTAGTTACTTCTCGCGGGGTCGAAGAAAAAGCCGTCAAAAGTGGGGTAGAAGAGGGACTGGACGACTTCAGAATCAAGCGAATCGGTGTGATCCGGTTGCAACGTATCTCTCCGCCTTTCTTTGAGTGCATGAGAGCACTGATAATGTTCCTCACTGCTTTACACTGCAGAACGGGGAGCAGTACTTTGACAAGTGGCTGGCCACTTGTTATGAACCATGCAAATACGGAGAATTAGGCGAAGCCCATGATCTTTGCCTGTACAGCTGCGGGCGCCTTGAAGTCTTCGCAAAGAGCCCCACCCTCAGACTTCAAACTGGGCTGAGAGAGCTCCGATCGAGGTGGGCGGTCGCAAGCAAGGTGACCGGTGAAGAGGAGGACGTTGCATCGAGAGAGGAGAAACATCGAATGAGCTAGCGCTGATTGGCTGAGAATTTTTTGACAGGTTCGCGTGAGTGTGGCCCAATTCAGTTCTCAGCCAGGGCAAGACATACTGAGCTGACTGTTCTTCGTTAGTCTGAGTCTCGTAGTGAGGTTCCCTCCCCTTCCATCTCCCACCATTTCTTACCTTGTTCGGCGACGTTCGAATTCATGCAGACTGTGTTATGACTGGCGAGTTGGCTTGCTGAGCTCGCATTTGGCTGACCACATACATCACGGAGAGTTCCTTCTGCAAGCCTTACCCTTTCCGCTGCCCATATTGCATGAAAGATCATTCTTCTTGTATTCTTGCCTTCAAGCCAGTATCTTCGGTCTGAATGTGGATTAATTCACCGAGATTCGATGCGGAAAGGTCTGTCCTTGATACAGCAGATTGTTCACACGGAGAAGGCCGGATGTGCATCCTCGAATGTGCTCTAACCTGGCTGGCTTAGTGTGGGCGTCTCTTACTTCCGTGCAATATACCGGGTCAAATGATGCCTCTTCTTTCGTTACTTGAAATCCTCCAACTGAATCGACCGTGCTGTGGGCCGCGTTGAGTGAGAATGTGTTGCTTGTATTCAAGAGAGGACATGCTGAATGGCGAGATGAACAGCCTTCTGTCAAGTTGCATCTGAGCGCTTATTGTTACAGTGTTTGTCTTCGGATGGCATGTTGTAGATTGTGATCTAGTCCAATCTAGGGTTAATGTTGATCAGATCTGTAGATGATCGGGTGGAGCAGATTCAGTCAGCAATCAGATAAAGTAGGACTGATCAGGATCGGGTGAGGCAAATCAGACTTGGAATCAGGCTGAGCCAATACAAGACAGAGATCAGATGCAACCATGTCCCACTCGTTGCTACACACTGTCATTAGGTAGGATACACCCACAGTTGGGCATGTGCCACATGTTTGAATATACAGCTCACATGTAAACTGTCCCATGAATTTACATGTCACCATACATCACTCTAATGCTCAATAGCCATAAGTTGTATTGCCACACTGTCTGATATCATCTGAAAGCCCTGCTTCTTCTCTCCAAGACTGTGTAATTGATATTGACATTGACTAAGAAAATTGTGCTATGAAGAAGAGCCAAATTTTATTATTATTGTGGGACAGTTTATGGAGCACTCCTTGAGAACACCTTAGTACTTCATATTCCCTCCTTTGGCCTTCAGAACCACCTTGATGCAGTCTGGCATACTCTCTATTAGTGTCCTACATGTCTCTGGAGTGATCGCTGTCCATTCAGCTTCGCATCTCTTGAGCAGTTCATCCCTGTGTCATAGGAGCTGGTTGCGCAGGAGGAAAGAAGAAGTGGAAGTCATATGAAGGAGCACAAGAATCACAGGATTGGGCTACACGAGAGCTTACAGGAGAATTTGCCAAGATTGGTAGGAGAAGCAATCCTATGGCACAATTCACCAGGATATGTAGGAACGAGGTTGCTACTACAGGTTTCAGTAGGAAACATAACATTATGCAGAGTACAACAGATCTCATGAGAATCGATCAGCAAAGGCACCTCATCACTGATACAATGGGGAGAAGATACTGTAAGACATGAGGACACCACTGTATGAAGTAGGGACCTTGCATGACAATGAAGTTGATGCAAACAGATGGGTGCTAATGACAGGAGAGTAATGAACAGATGCAAGTTGCCACTCAGATGAGGTGGGACTGACCCCTGACAATGATGAAGTAGCACAAGAGCTGTCTGACTGTACAAAGCAAGAGAAGCAGTGAAGAAACAGCACCAGGAGGGTGGACAGGATAGGAAGGATGAGGAGGAGAAGCAGAGTTGACAAGGTCTCCCAGGGAAGGAGCAGTGTCACAGGCAATGTCACAGGGATGGTTATAAACCATGCTCCTCATCATTGCAAGTGAGTGGATCCCCATCCACTCTACACCATATATTACTAGTTATAGCTTTATGCATAAGTATACATTAGTACTCAGTCAGCAAGTGGCAATCTCAATAGGTTGCTTCCATTGTAGTGCATGTGTTGTATCACTGCTCACTGATGTCTGAAGGCAGTTCCTAGCAAACCTGCAGTCCAAATAAAAATAGAACCAAAGGCAGTTGTCCACTGCAGTCCAGGGATCACTTCAAGCATACAGTCAACACACTGGACACTCATGTTGGTGCTACCAGTCCTCTCACTCACACCAGACCTTTGGTGTCAAGCATTACATTCAAGTTATTGATTGTGCTGAGCTACCTCTGGATGGAGTGTCCACAGCAGTTAGTCAAACCTGCAATAGCAAAGCCATTACTGCATCTTTGAGCAAGAAAAGTGATAGCAACATCTCTACTACATATCTCACCAAGAATCATAATACCACAAGTGCTATCACATATCTCGACGGAATTCGTAATAGATGCGGTTCTATTACAGATATCAGGTTTTGGGTGCACAACTGCTGACACCCTGGACTTTGCAATCGTACTATACCGTGAAAGTCGCATTTTGAGATGGTGCCAGAGGTGTTCAATCAGGTTTAAGTCTGGCGACTGTGCTGGCCATTGCATAACCTTAATGCTATTGCTTTCCAACCATGTTGTTGTCTTCTTCGACATGTGTTTTGGGTCATTGTCTTGCTGAAACATGATGTCGGTGTATGCATGCTGAAGCTGCAAATCTGAGATTGTTTTCACAAGCTTGTCATTCAAGATATCAATGTATTGGTCTGAATTCATTGAACCCAGCACCAAGCGCATACCTCTCACACCTTCCCATGTCATACAGCCCCAGATCATGATGGAGCTGCTGCTGAACTTGACTGTCAGCCTGACAAGCTTGCTGTTGAAGCCAGCATTCTTAATCCAACAGAACTGCTTACCATCTGGTCCAAAGAAGTTGATCTTCATCTCATCAGACCATACCACATTCTTCCAATCCTCAACAGTTGTGTCCTTGTGCTCATTAGCAAATTTGCTATGGGCTTTGTAATGTCTCTTGAGTAGCTTCAGTTTTTTCACTAACCTTCATGCTTTGTAATGACAGTAATGAAGTGCTTTTCTTACTGTGGTTGGGCATGCTTTGATTTGAAATGTCTCCTGCATTGCATGACATGCTTTCCTGACTGTGGAGGTTGAATTGAGCTTGAAATAGTGGTCCAGGAAGCAAACATGACATGGCTGGGGTTTTCTCAGCCAGCCCCCCTTTGACTTTGGAACATCAGCAGAGGTGCTTTTGCTGATGCAATTCACAGTAGACTTGCTCATACCAAGTTGCTTGGCAACTGAATGGGTAGATTCCCCATTTTGGATGTGAAAGAGTGCCAATTGGTGCCTCTCTGGGGTGGTTTTTGGCATGATGGTATAGATATGATGGTGTCAGACTGGAAGCACCACTGGATCACTCACAGTCATCTGATTGAGCTGAAACTTTCCATGTCACTACTTTCAATGTGTATGAAGGTGCCTGTCAGGGGTCCCGCGCCTGAAACCCAGGTCGGTCTGTCGAGATACTCGGTGACTATCAAACTGTGCGACAGCTATTGTCTCGGTATCGGTGACTATCAAGTTGTGCAGTGACAGCAGGTGGTGTTCGTTGTATATACTATCATAGGTTTCGGCTGACCTCTGTGGACACTCCATTCAGGGGTAGCTCGGCACGATCAATATCAATGTTATGAAGACACCAAGGTCTGGTGTGAGTGTTGATGATGATGAGGTTGATGGTGTTGGTGATGAGATTGGTGATGTCGATGATAATGAGGTTGATGGTGTTGGTGATAAGGTTGGTGGCGTCAACACGAGTGTCCAGTGTGTTGACTCAATGCTTGAAGTGATCCCCGGACCGCAGTGGACTACTGCCTTCGGTTCTATCTTGATCCGGACTGCTAACCTGCTATGGGTGCCTTCGGACGTCAGGTAGTGGTGATACAACACACACACTACGATGAGGAGCAACCTTTGATGGATTGCTGCTATGCTGACTGAAACTAATATATACTTATGCTGAAGTGATAACTAGTTATGGTGAGTAGAGTGGATGAGGGTCCACCCGACCTATTGATGATGAGAAAGCATGGTTATATACCTCTTCTCAGCATCGCCAGCGATGCTGCTCCTGCTCTCTCTCCAGAGAGTACCTTCTTCATCGAGTACTGCTCAGGGGCCTCTCCTGCTTGGCACCCCTGTGCCTCTTGAGCTGTGTCGACTCCTTCGACACTGCTCCTCCTCCTCATGACCTGGTGTCGACTCCTTCAACACTGCTCCTTCTCCTTTGATCAGTGACAGTTCCTTTGGCTCTTGTCTCTCGAGCCCCTGAGTGGTAACCATCTGCATGCTCCTTGAGCTTGGTCCTCTTCGTGGCTGTGCCTGCTCCTTGAGCTTGGTCCTCTTCGTGGCTGTGCCTGCTCCTTGAGCTTGGTCCTCCTCGTGGCTGTGCTTGGCCCTTCTTTGCATGTGAGTCCGTAGGAGTCCATGGTCTCCATGGAGACTGCACTACAACCATGCTCTCTACTGATCTCGACTAGATCTTCGATACCTGTGCTCCTTCCATATGAACCCATGACCCTCCTGCTTCTTGAGCATCCAGGCCCATGACAGTGCCCACCAAGTTACATTGCAAGTTTCATTGTAGTCAAAAGCCCACAAGGTCAGGAATGGAGTGGTGTTGCTATTTGGGAGCATGCTCCATAAACTGTCCCACAATAATAATAAAATTGGCTCTTCTTCATAGCACAATTTTCTTAGTCAATGTCAATATCATTTACACAGTCTTGGAGAGAAGAAGCAGGGCTTTCAGATGATATCAGACAGTGTGGCAATACAACTTATGGCTATTGAGCATTAGAGTGATGTATGGTGACATGTAAATTTGTGGGACAGTTTATGCACGAGCTGTAAGTCTAGCAGGGAGCTTGAGGCTCCCGCCACATTCACTTCTAGCATGTCAATATAGTATAGTGTTTTGCTCTTTAGCTTGAACACCGTACTTTGGTTGATATCTCCCGATCATCGTCGCCGAGTGACTCCTTTATTACAACATGGCAATGCTGTCTGCGAATGCGATAGTGGGGTATGGCGCACATCGCCGTGTCACAACCCGATCTGCTCAATTTCACTTGGGAGCCAGGGCTGCATTGGTTGACACATCTAACGCTGAAACAGCGCTTCAAGCATTGATTAAGTTCTCGCACAGAGTGTCGGTTGATTAGAGGAACGAGCAAAAATAGTGTGTGCAAGAAGCGAGTGAGGTAGCGCTCGATCAAAAGAGCCTCCGACGGCTTCGACCTGGAGCTGAAATCGGGAAAGTTGAAGAATGTCGTCGAGGTCAATCAAATCGTGCGTCAAAGTCAATGATCACAAGTGTCGATTGCGATGATGAGTGCATGCTGAATACGGGATGATTCGAGTACTTATATACGTCTCAATACCTGTCGCATGCGAGTATGATGCTTGGATAGTGTGGCCGAAAACATGATTGTGAAACTATGAAGGAAAGACACCGTCTATCTATTGACCGGTGTCTTGATGCTCGGTGATCGGTCCGGGCAATGCGCCAAGCCCGAGTGAGCGAGGTTGGAGTCTAGATGTGGGTTCGGCGTTGGAGCTGCATACTCGGAGCGGTCGCATGCTTCAACGCCGAGACGCCACATGCTTCAACTGGGAATCTGTGGCCTAGATGGTCTTCTATCAACAGGATAACACACATCTAGCATCAGGCTGTGCGGCGATCATTTCACTTCAAACATTAGTGCACTATGTCGTTCAACATTTGGTGATGTTTACCAGAACCCTCATTTGCACGCATGTCATAACCCTTGTCATAACCCTGAACTGTGAGAAAGGTGTTTCGAATTTGATTTTGTGCAGGTCTGACATGCATAACGACGTGTATCAAGGTCACCGCAACACCGATAGGAATAGCAACGAGCTCAAATGTAGAGGAACTTGCCCTGCGAGGCAAGGTCGTTGGAGATAAAGGCAGCGTAGCTCCAAGTGAGATCTCTGGCACCCTGGTTGAAGCCAGTGTCCCTGTTGAACTGCTCGTTAAGCGATCCATTGGGCCAGGAGTGGGAGTTGACAATGTCGACGAAGCCGTTGGCCATGGCCTTCATACGGGAGGTGAGAGCATTGTACTGGCTGGAACCAGAGCTGAAGGTGCCAGCAGCAGCCGACGAAGAGAACTGTCTGTAGAAGGGAAGGGAGGTCGAAGTGACCGAGAGGCTGCCTCGAGAGTTGGCAACCGAGACAGCGGTGTTGAGCACCTCGGCAGCAGCGAGGGTACAGATGTACCATGGGTTGCCCTGCGAGGTGCTGTCGCCATTGTACGTATCCTCTCTGTAGCGACCAGTGCCCACAGCAGCAGGAGCAGCAGCGTTCTTGTTGATAGAGTAGAGGGAACGGAACGAGTCGACGTACTTCTTGTGTGTGGCGAGGACCTTGTCCGAGCCGGGACCGAAAACGGTCGCGTCGACAGCAGCAGTGCTGTTGGTTGTGTCCCAGCCCTTAAGAGCGCCCAGCATGACAGAGCAGTCAAGCCCAGATCGACCACTGACATCTTGATAGGCCTGAATGTAGCCATTGCTCGAGTCCCAGAAAGATTGGAGCTTGGACTTGATAGCAGTTGCCTGTTGGTTGTAGTAAGTGGCGGCTCCAGGGTCGTTCATCGAAATTGCAAATTTAGCACCATCGATCAAGCAGCGGTACTGGACCATCAGGTTGAAGAAATGAGTGCCTTGGACCTCCTCCCAGAGATCGAACGAAGGGCTTTGCCAGTTGTGGGCGACATACTCAAGATCGTTTTTGATAATGCTGCCACCGTTCAGGTTAGCCTGATAAAGGGTACCGGTGGTGAAAGGGTCGTTGAGACCGATACGCTTAGCAAAGGCCATAAGAGACGAAGCCCTGAGAGCTGGACCGTCGTTCTGCGGGCGTCCCCACGGACCAGTGAAGAGAGAGCCATCGACGTTGAACTTGGGCTCGCCCTGGCTCGAGCTGGACCTGGCAGCGTTCTGCTGGTGGACCTTCTCGGCATTGGCGTAGTTGGTCAGCAATGTACGGTCAAGGGTAGGCTGCGAAATGACGACCTTGATGATGAGAGCAGCGTCACGCACCCAACTGTAAAAGTAGTCGGGTCCGACAGTGGATGGAGAAGCAATCACACTGCCAGAATGAACGCCAGGAACCTGGTTACCTCCAGCAGAGCTGCTAACTCCTCCAATGTTAGCGATCATTCGCTGGTAGGCGTAGGACGAAGAGACTGCTCGAGACTCGAGACAGTTGGCCTCCTTGTCGAGGCCGATCAGGGACCTTGCGAACGAAGCAGCGCTTGCATTGCTGCTGAAGGCACAGAGGCAGATGAGGAGGAGGGCAAGACCGGCGCTGCCGAGCAGCACCATAGGCTTGGAATGCCTTTCAGAAGTGTTCTTGGTCATGGCTTCGAGGTCGAGAAGGCTTTTTTGGGAGGAAATTGAAGTGAGGGAGAGATACCGTGAGAAGGAGGGCTCTGATGATGAGACGGAGATGAGAGGTGAGGATTCATGGCTGGCTTTTATGCTTTCAGCCGCTATCATATTGAGGCTGTTCGCTGTCTAGAGTTGTGATTCTTGAGGTTCGATAGTCAAAAGTCCGACACCGAGTCAAAAAGATCGTGGCAGCTGTTGCAGCGCCTCGTGCCAGCCGAAGCAATGCAGACAAGCGAACACTGGAGTTGATGATCAAGCAGCGCTGCGAGCCAAACTAGTCTAGGAACGAAGTCGAGCTGAACAAGGATCGTTGCGGGAGGGCACGCAGCTGTAGAAACTGGATGCAATGGGATCGGGATGCAGTCCGAGGTCGGCTTGTTATGCTCGAGTTGTGAATTGTGTGCTTGAAGCCGAAAGTCGGAGCTACAAGGGTGAGTGGCAAGCGAAGTGATGCCACATGAGGCAGGATAGCGAGTGAATGTCAGAGATGAGGCGGCGATGGTCAATGTCTCTCACTCGTGAGCCATAGTCGCAGGACAAAGCATGGTTGGAGCCTTTGAAGCACTGCGGCTGCTCTGGACCCTTTTGCCCCTTTCGGTTGCCCAGGGAAGCCTCCACACTAGTACTCTATCACTTTTGAAACTACTTAATCCTCCAATCGACCGATTTGCTGGAACCTGAACGCACGAGCCCAAGCGGTTCTGATTCGTAAGACTGCCTTCTCGAACGGGATGTGGCAAGCCGTACACGAGCAAGGTTTCTCCTGCATGCACACACTTCGGGTCGTTGTGGCAGGTGCAGTCTGACAGGATATCGGGAGATGGATCGGGAAATGGATCGGGAAGCAGATCGAAATGATGTTAAGTTAGTTCCGTTTAGCCGGCACCCGGCTCTCTTTCGCCGTGCCTTGGTCCGTGAGCCGGTCACTTAGAACAGATCATGTAGCTGACTGACACCTCCGATTGGACTTGTGGACGCATATCCTTTCACTCTGAACCCGAACAAGAAGTTCAGCAAAAGCACTGCCATCGCCATAATGCTGGACGTGATAGCGTCACGCTTCTACACAACACCGTTAACCACACCGCCTACAAAGCCGGACGCCACGCCGACTCAACGCAGGTATCATTACCTCGATCATCGACCGCCTGCAGGTGTACCAGAGAAGGCAACTCTTCTCCTGCTACATGGTTTTCCTGACTTTTCCTATGGCTGGAGGAGTGTTATCGCTCCTCTCAAACTAGCAGGCTTCCGACTGATCATCCCGGATCTGTTGGGCTACGGTCTCAGCTCGGCACCACCCACGTCAGCTGCTACAGCAGCTCCCGGCACTGAACCACGACTTGCCGAGTACGGAGGCCGAGCCATCTCGATCGACCTGAACGGACTTCTGGATGATGCTAAAGCAGCGAAAGGATCAGAATACGGAGCAGAGCATGTAACCTCTGACGGCAAGAAGGGTCGTGTCATTGTACTGTGCCATGACTGGGGATCGTGGCTAGGCTGGCGGTTCGCACAATGGTATCCAGACCGAGTAATGGGTGTTTGCGGTCTTTGTGTACCTTTTCAGGCACCAACATCAAAGGTGATTCCCATCGACATGGTTCTGCAGAACGTTCCCAGCTTCGGGTACCAAAAGTTCTTTTCTGAGGAGCGAAGCACCAAGATCGTCGAACAGCATCTGGATCGGTTCCTGGCCATCATCTACATGATCCCCGGTCTATTCAGCGCAGACTCTTCGAACGAAGAAGAGATTCGTGACTGGCACTTGCTTGGCAAGCTGGAGAAACTCATCACGATGCCAGAGTTCTCCGACATTCCACTCAAGTATCTTGGCCGTACGATCCTGGACAAGGACGATCTGGACAAGTACATTTCGGTCTTCAGGAGCAGAGGAATGGAAGGACCTTTGAGCTGGTACCGAACACGCGAGATCAACTGGCAGGAAGACCGCGAACTGACAAGCAAGACGCTGCCAGAATCGCTGCCGGCGATGCTGATCATGCCAAAGGATGATGTAGCCGTTCCGCCGGCGCTGGGCAAGATGATGAAGAAGCACGTGCCACAGACCGAGTTTGTCGAAGTTGCCAACAGTGGCCACTGGGTCCAGAACGAAGTGCCTGGTGTTGTGGTGCAGACGTTTAAGCAGTGGATAGAGCGCAGTGTGTTTCCGAACGAGAAGAAAGGCAGCGGCATGCTCGGGTGGCTGCGCAGCAAGCTGTAGGACCCGCGATGCCGATCACAAATGTCAATAACAATGTTCCCGATCGATCCTCTATCTACTGTTCAAATTTGCCAGGCTTAGAGGAATATGTGAGCTGCCATGAACATGGACGCAGAAGATATGGCAGTGCGGGGTAGATATGAGGTACCGCTGTGACGACGTGCGGGGTTGGTCGAGATGAGATGCAGCAAGGCGAGGTGTGAGAGATGTCTTGGCACAACAGAAAGGCGGAGACCATGTTGCAGCATGAAAAGCTTGGCGTTGCGTTGAGAGGCAGCAGCCAAGTGTGCGCCTGCTCGTCCGCTGCATAAAGCTGGGCCACGCGATCAACACCAACGTGATGAGGCTTGGCATTGTGTGGTACACAGTCAAGCAGGAGCCGCTCAACGTCGTTGGTTTGGCAGAGGGCATGATACGTAGGTGTCCGTCAAGCACATCGTTACGGTCACGCTGTGGCTGCGATAGAAAAACGAGGAATTGAATATGCGGAGAGATTCAGACATGACAAAGACGATCAGAAGGGACGCGGATCTCTTGCTAGATTGCGCGCCAGTGTAACTTGGTGTGTTTGAAGGAGAGAGAGATGGGTAATGAGTTGCAGTGGGGCTAGCGAGTGTACTGTTGCAGAGGTCAACGAGCTTGACAAAGCGAGCCAAATTCAAGTTCCGATCATCTCGGACGTATGGACGGTAGTCGGCTAGCAATGCTCACGCCGCACAGGATGAGAGATCTAAGGCTGAACTCGAAAGTGAAAAGAGCCCCTGAAATATGACAGGGCTGCTGAAAGGTCAAGAGCAAGCAAAGCAACTCGGCTCAATCAAGAGTAGCTGTGCTGTCGCTCACTTGCAGAGGTGTTTCCATGTCCGCTTGGCAGATTTCAAGTGCCAGGAAGGCGGAGGTTGCAGCTTGAGAAGAGAGTCGTTGATGACGGAAACTGTATGGCGTCGATGTCTGTCCTTGGCATATGTTGTTCTTCATGCCTTGCCTCGTGAGAGAGTTAAGTGGAAGCTTGAGGAAGAAAAAAGCTGATGTTAGCGTGGCCGTGGTCGATGAGAGGGTCAAGTCAAGTGACAAACGGGACAGCTAAATGCGATCGGAAGCAAGCCAAGGGTCGGAACAGCGGCACACGATGCTTTCGCTGCAGAGAAGAGATGTGCTCCAGCAGCATGATGCAGGGTCAAAGAGGCGACCGTGGTGGTGTAAGTTAGCGCGCTCTGTACCTTTCTTTATGCTCCCGGCTTTGCACGACGAAAGCAACAGATCGAACCATGCCGGTTAAAGGATTGACGGTTTGTGTTTGTGACCTCGAGTCATCTCTATGGGCATAATGATGATGACCTGCATACCACCATCTCTCATGCTCACTGCTAGTAATGCTTTATCTCGAGGTCGAGTCTAGCTAGCCTAAGTTGGCGGCTCAGGCGATGCTTTCAAACTTGAGCAGGAAAAGCAATTTTGGCGCAAGAGCTTTCTTTCGTAGCTAACTTAATCTCGCACACTGATAAACTGCCGGAAACGATCCTCATGTCCTTTGTTCGAGTCAAGCTGGTCGTCATTCATTCACAATGGCCCTCTGCCCTGCCTCTTGTGCATCTCTGCGTCTCACCTTCTGCCACCTCCCACCGCTATCTATCTCTCTTGGCCGGCCGCTTCTTTCCTCTTGGCGACTTGGCTTCCGCTCGGCCTCTTCCCATCGTCGGCCTGACCTGCTTCGCTGCTGTGTCTTAGAGCTCACTCGCTCCGAATCCAACCGATTCGACCATCTCTCGCCGCTCACCTGAACAAAGCTTAGGTTGCGTTTCGAGATCCGCTTACCCTCCTATCCACCATCTAACAACCACATCTCCCGACGCATATTGCCACCTCTGCAAGTGCTTATCCTCCGTCGCATCAGAAACAACATTGCCAATCATCGCCGTTCAAAGGAACCCGACCTTTGGCAGCCAACATCTGCGATTTCCTAGCTGAAACTCGGCATCTAACATCAACGCAGTTTACACCTCGTCGATCGCCTGCCCACTCGCTGGGCCCAAGATTGACATCATGCACGCCACAGAGGGGAGCCGCAATTCGACTTGCTCCACAGACAATGGCTCGTTGCATCAAGACACCCGTCTAACTCAGGTGGTCTCCAACCAATCCGCCATGTCCCAAAGTCCAAAACACAAGGAGGCCGAGCCAGCCATGTCCCAAAGTCCAAAGCAGAAGGAGGCCGACCCAGCCATCTGGCTATCAACCACCGATGCACCGGATGCACAAGCTCACCTCGGCTCGCAATCACAAAACTCGACATCTCGAGCCGGCAATCTCTCTTCAGCCGCAGCAGTTTATCTCGACACCCTTCTCGTTACTGGTCAACGCAAATCATGGAAGTTTGACCCGAACGACACTGTCGAAGCCGTTCGAACACACATCTGGCAGAACTGGCCCGGATCGTGGCCACAACCTAAACCCGAGTCCTCTGCCTATTTGAGACTTCTCCATCTTGGTCACATCCTAGACAGTCCAGACATCACACTTGCTTCCCGAGGCTGCAAGGCCGGCGCAACCACCGTTGTTCATATCGTCATTCGCTCCCTGCCCCCACCGGAGCCGGTCAAAGTCGAGCAGGGTACGTTTCCGTTGACCTTGTCATCTGATTTCAGATGAGCATTCGCTGACATCTTGCTCCTTTCTTATCATTGCTATCTCTGGCTTTTTTTTTTTTTTTTGTTTGGTCTTCTTCTTTTTCTCCAGAATCGCCTGTCAAGACAACCACAGAAGCTCGCCCAGCGCAACGCCATCACAATTACAATCGCAACCGCGACCAAGAGGACACGCCCGGCTGCAGTTGTGTCATCTGTTAAGCTGGTCGCCCGTTTCCTTGACCTCATTTCCATTCCATGCTACCTTCGCATTTTCAACATCTCGATTACGCCCCGGTCTCCCGCATCGCATAGCCTCTGCATCTGTACTCAAACCTCCAAGCATAACAATTTGCGTCTGCTTCTGACGACGCTGCTTCCTCAAATCTCCATCCTACTGTGTTTCGTCAAGGTCGTCTCCGTGTCGCCTCATCTGCCTTTCTGACTTTGTTTCTCTCTGCATTCCAGTCCCAATCTGTAATTTTAGTCCTGCGTCATCTGCCATGCACGGTGTTTTACTGTGTCCTGTGTGAGCAACTATGGTTCATCAGTTACCCTGAATACGTAGCTTCAGCTGATAAGATCGGCAGAGTTGCATCGACATGAGATTGCATCGAGATGAGATTGCATCCGCATGACGCCGATTAAATCTGCAGAGAATAACTCCACATCCGAGTTCCGAAGAAACAGTAAGAAAAAAATGAAGATAACAATTAATATACGGCGTTATCGGGGTCACGATCAGACTCCCTTTACCACAGCCGTATGTTCTATGTAATGCTTAGTTTTCATGATGTGAGACTGAATGACAAACACATATATATACTCCATTCACTGCTCTGGTCCTATTCGAGGCAGGATGTGTCTCTTCATTTGTACTCCTGTGTTGCTATGATACCGGGTGCCACTGTGCTGTCACCATGACAACAATTACGTACCTCATTGTACTTCTCGCTTACGTGAGCCTCCCGTGTCTCAATGTCTCGGCCGTAACATGTGCATCTTACTTGAGATGCCGATGCATCTTCAACTCCCCCCTTCGGCGGGATCTCCAGTCCTATCATCCTAGCCAATCGTGAGGTGTTAAGACCCTGTAAGGGTTTTGTCAAGACATCTGCAACGTTGTTTGCCGTTCCGACATATTTGATTTCCACATCGCCCTCTTGTACGTGATCGCGAACGAAATGATACCGTGTGTCGATGTGCTTTAACTTCCAATGTTTGGCTGGATCTTTACTCACCTGTATGCACCCCTGGCTATCTGTGTATAGTACGGGCCGAACGTCCGTGGTCTCCAAATCCCGGAGCAAATATGAGAAGAATAAGGTTTCTCGTACCGCTTCGGAAGCGGCGACAAACTCTGCTTCGACTGCCGACAATGCCACACACTTCTGAACGTGTGATTTCCAACTCACTGGACACCCATATACATATGTTATCGACCCCGAGGTGCTTCTTCGTCCATTTGTGGGGTCGGATGCCCAGTTTGCGTCGGTATACATCGTTACCGGTGTATCCGAGTGCTCGTTTGTCTCCCCTCCTAGGTGCAACTGATATTCGTTCGTTTGGTTCAGGTACTTTACCACGTGGATGGCTGCCTTCCATGCACTGTCGATCGGGATCGACATATATCGCGCCAATACGCCGACGGCAAAGGCAATATCTGGTCGGGCTGTGTTGGAGACCCATAATAGTTGGCCGACCAATTCTTGATACTTCTTTGCTCGCTGAGGTTCACATCGCTCGCCTCCGGCAACGTTCGCTACACTCAGCATGGGTACCCAAGATTTCTCGTTTGCTCCTCCTAACCATTTGTTCACCATTTCCTTGATGTATGCCGTTAGACCCAGAGATATCCTCCTCCGTCTTCTATCACGTGTGATCTTGATACCCAGAAACTCTTTGACCCTTCCATTGTCTTGCGTCTCCCATTTGTCCATGATCTCTCGCTTTGCGCGATCTACTTCATCACGACTGGGTGATGTTATTAGCATGTCGTCCACGTATGCTGTGATGATCGTGATCTTGTCGCCTGTCCCTCTTGAGTATAGGCATGGTGCGCTCGGCATGCAATGGAATCCGATCGTCCGGAGATGTGAGTCTAACTCAATGTTCCATTCTCGGCCCGATTGTTTCAGACCGTACAGTCCTTTCACTACCTTCAACACTTTTCCGGGTGGCATTTCGATTCCTACTGGGGGCTTGAGGTATACATCATGGTGTATAGTGGAGTTCAGGTACGCTTGCTTTACGTCGATAGAATCCATTTCCCAATCTCGTACTGCTGCGACAGTGATCACCCCTCGAATGGATTGGATGGGTGCTACTGGTGCGAAGACCTCTGTATAGTCGATGCCCTCGCGTTGAGTGAAACCTCGTGCCACGAGCCGGGCTTTGAACTTTGTCGGCACGAGGTTTGCATCGGTTTTGATCTTGAGTACCCAACGTGTGTCGACAGTATTTGCACCCTTTGGGAGGTCGACTATCTCCCATGTGCCCATCGCCTCCAATCCATCCAGCTCCTTTCGCATGGCCTCCTCCCAGTGTTTTCTGTCCTTTCCACTCATTGCTTCATGTATGGTTGGGTCCAGGTTCTTTCTCCATTCCGGTCGCGTCGCTACGAGTCCATAGAATTTGCTGTCAATTTGAGTTTCGGCGATTGGTCCTTGTTCCATCACCTCCGCTGTTCCTTCGCTTAATCTTTCTTCCGAATCTGTCTCCATATCCATGTATTCTCATAGTGGCTCTTCATCTGTTTCGTCGAATATATTTTCTTTATTGTATCCTAGATCTTCGAAATTTTCCTCTGTCATCATCATTGGGGGTGCCTTTGTGTCAACCGGTCGCCACTCTGTTCTGTCTGACCAGCACTTTGATTCCATGAATTTTGCTGAGTTGCTCCAGAAGATGTTCGGATTGTAGTCCGGGCTGTAGAAGAGCCAGCCCTTCCTTTCTAGACTGTACCCTAAGAAAATGGATGCGACGGCTCGCTGGTCCAGTTTCTTGTTGTCCCGTTTAACTTTGGGTACGTTTACCCATGCCAGACAACCAAACACTCGTAGGAGCTTTAAAGCTCGTTCCGGCGACTTGCCAAACATCGCTTGATAAGGGAATTCATTATCAACGCTCGGAGTGAGGTTTATTTTGAACGCCGCAGCTCTGATCGCGTATGGCCAGAACTTCTTCGGTAGTCTCCTCTGCATTAGCAACGTTCTCATCTTCTCTCCAAGGGTCCTGTTCATTCTTTCTACCCGTCCATTTTGTTTGCTGTTGTACCCTACGGTGGTTTGCCACTCTATGCCCTTTTCTAACGACCATTCTAATGCATCATTGCTTTTCCATTCCGTTCCTTGATCGGATCGGATCGCTTTTAGCTTCGGATCCGTCTGTGTCTCCAGGAACAAAACAATCCTTTTGAGTTGCATAAAGGCATGACTCTTTCGTGTCAATGGCTGTGCATACACATACTTGCTATGATCGTCGACCAGCACCAACGTGCATGTGTACTCCGTCACGTGGGACGAGTCTATTATTAGATCGACGTGGATAAGATCCAGGGGCCCTACGGCTCTTTCGCCGCTACCTTTCCCCATCCGAGCGCTTGTGCTCTTGGATCGTACGCACTGCTCACACGTCAGAGCGGTGTTTGGATCCAATTTCATGGTATGCTTATCCTTTAACTTGGTTGTGATCGCCTTAGCTTTATCTCTTCCTGGGTGCCCGAGACGCTCATGCCATAGTTGTTGTTTTGAAACTTTCGGCTCATTCTCAATATGCTCGAACTCCTCATCAACACCTTCAAACAATGGTGCTGATGTGGCCATCGCGCTTTCTTGCCATGTGTCGCCTCGGAACTCCAGAAGTCCTCGCTCGCGATTCTTTGCAATCTTAAGTGTCATGCCGTTTGTTAGAAAAATTTGGCCGCCGGTTGTGTCCAATATCACTCGTGCTCCTTCATCCATTAATGAATTTGTTGACAGAAGGTTAACATTAAGGTGCTTTACATACAATACATTTTGCAGAGAGATTTCCCCGTAATCTGTTGATATGCTTGCATCTCCTATAGCTGCCGCTTCCAAGACCTCGCTTCCGGCGGTAATTATCCGCTTTCGGCAAGTTCTCGGGTGGATGAGCATGCTGTAGTCGTTCACCATATGGTAACTCGCCCCCGAGTCCAAGATCCAATGAGCTGTTTCTTTTGTGTTCGAGGGGTCCTGCCATTTCATTGGGAGGGTGAGGGAGCACCACGCTTCCTATTTAGATTCAGCGAGGGGGGAGTCCTTGGGAATGGTAACCAAGGCGTCGCATTGACTGATACCATGTCCCGGTCGCTTGCAGACCCAGCATCGGATTCGGCGTGACTTGCTTGCGTTCCTCGAGCTCGCGTGGCTGTTGTCGGCTTCGGCTTCGGTCTCTCCGGCCCGTTCGTTTTGATCGTCGTTGCCGGCGGTTCTAGCACTGGCTTGTCAAGGGTCGATCCTTTGTGCGGGGACGCTCTCGACAGCGGTCTGCCGGATGCTTAGTGCGGTGGCAAGGGCGTTGAAATCGATTTGATGGACGGTGGCAACCGTCTCCTTGTACACCGGATGCCGGATCGTGCATTTCTGCAGAGCCGAGAACAATGTATCATCGGCGAATGGTTTGCCGAGGAGGCTGCTTTCGGTTTGTATGGACCGGATCTCTTGAATTAGCTTTCTGGCGTCCGAGTTAAACATCTTTGTATCGTTGAGTTGCGAGATAAGCGCAAGTCTGTGAGACGTCTTGGTGGCTTCATTCGTGAGACCGTTTTCGATCTTTCTCCACACTTGGTTGAAAGTAAGGTACTCCTTGATTACATCTAGAACGAGGTAATTTACATTGTGTTCTCCGGTAGTGTCGATTGTTCCACGCAGGGCGTTGATTAAAGCATCGTCGAGGGAGCGGCTCCATTTCGGGTGTTTCTTGTCGTACGTTCCCTCGAGATGTTTCATCGCATGAGGCACGGATCGGAGGAAAGATTTCACGTGGGCGCTCCAGCTATGATAGTTTCGTGACGTGAGCTTTGGCACGGGTTCGAGGAGCTTTGCTAGGGTGCGAAAGTTATATCGCTTGTCACCATCATCAAAGTCGGAGTCGGAATCGGTGTCTTCGTCGGCTTCATCATTGATGGCCTCCGGCTCGTTCTCGCTCGTGGCATTATTATCGACCCGAACCTGGGTGTTCTTGCCTTTTCTGCCTCCTTTGGTCCTCGTTTCGGTGTCTTCTACCATGGTTGTCGGCGAGTTTCGGTTAGCTCGGTGATAGCTTCTTCAGACTCTTAATCAAATGAAGATAACAATTAATATACGGCGTTATCGGGGTCACGATCAGACTCCCTTTACCACAGCCGTATGTTCTATGTAATGCTTAGTTTTCATGATGTGAGACTGAATGACAAACACATATATATACTCCATTCACTGCTCTGGTCCTATTCGAGGCAGGATGTGTCTCTTCATTTGTACTCCTGTGTTGCTATGATACCGGGTGCCACTGTGCTGTCACCATGACAACAATTACGTACCTCATTGTACTTCTCGCTTACGTGAGCCTCCCGTGTCTCAATGTCTCGGCCGTAACATGTGCATCTTACTTGAGATGCCGACGCATCTTCAACTGAAAATCTGGAAATTTTCGTTACAGACACGCGGAAAAGCTCAGAGGATTTCAGAACAAGACACTGTCCAACCGTGCGAAACTTGGAGACAACTCTCCATCACCACATACAAAGTGCTCATCATGGCGGGACAGAAACGAGCTCGATCTAACGACGGTCCGAGCGGCTCGAAGCCTGCCGGAAACGGCGGCGGGCCTTCGGCTACCGTCTATCGCAAATCAGCAAAGAAGCAACGATCCGATCAGCAGCAAGAATCAGCAAAACCCGTCAAGAAGCCAGTACCGCAACGCACACGACCCAAAGACGAGCCCAAACCCAAGACAAAGCACGAGTTCATCCAGGCAAAGAAGGCTGCTGCTATCAAAGAGAAGGAGGCCGCTGTCGCAGCTCGATGTGCCGAAGAAGCTGCTGAAAAGCAAATGCGCAAGAGGCAGGCTGAGCAACAGAAGGGCAAAGGTGCTTCTTCTAAAGGTGCGGCCCAACCATCGACTATCTTGGTCAAGCCACCGCAGCCGACTTGTACTTTCAAGATCGTCGCCGGGTCGTACGAGCGACTTTTATACGGACTCGAGGCGACAGTGCAGGCAAGCACGGAGAGCGGCAGCGATGCTGCGGAGGCCTCTTCTTCCAGATCCGCTTCGTCCTCTTTCAATGTTTCACTCAGACCCATCTTCACCTTTCCAGCACACATCTCATCTATTCGCACTGTCGCTACAGCAGGTGCAGACTCAAAGTGGCTCGCTACGGGTGGCACTGATGAGATCGTCAAGCTGTGGGATTTGCGAAAGCAGCGAGAAGTCGGTCAGCTCACAGGGCACCAAGGCACCATTACTTCTCTCGTCTTTGCATCTCGTACCTACCTTTTGACCACCAGCGCTGACTCGAATATCAACCTCTATCGCACACGAGATTGGGCACTTGTCAGGACGCTCAAGGGTCACATCGGACGCATCAATAGCGCATCACCGCATCCCACGGGTCGATTGGCATTGAGTGTGGGAAGCGACCGCACAATCCGCATGTGGGATTTGATGCGAGGACAAGCAGCTGCTTCGACTCGAATCGGTATCGAGGCGGATCTGGTTCGATGGGACACAACTGGCTCGCGCTTTGTCGTGCTTGCCTACAGACAAGCGATGATGTTTAGGACCGACATGACCAAGATTGCCGAGCTCGAAGAGAAGCGACGCATTGGCGATGTCTGCTTCTTCCGCGCCAAAGATGCATCAGGCCAGGAGCGCGAGCTTTTCTTTGCTGGTTTGGAAGAAGGCACTGTCAAGGTCTTTGATCTTGATGCAAAGGTTGCACAGAAGGCAAATGGCACAACAGCAGGTAAGGTGAAGGAGGGCAAGCACGCCGAAGCAGAGGAGTCGGATGCGGAAAGTGAAGATGATCAAGAGGCAGATGAGAGGGAGGAATTGACACCGCTTGTTGAAGTGGGCAGGCTGGTGGGACACAAGAACCGAGTACGATCGGTCGCTGTATTGCCAGTCTCGATACCATCTCCTTCCAGCAAGGGCAAGCAAAAGGCCCAGGATGCGGCCAAATCGTACCTCGCCGTCACCATCTCATCGGATGGATTTATCCGCACCTTCGATCTCAGCCCCATGATCAATCAGCTTTCTTCGGACGAGCACACGCTGGCAGAGTACACCGAAAAGATGGTGTCGGTGGAGAGCAATGCTCAATTTGACACCAAGGGCACTCGACTCACGTGCTTGGCTGCAGTGGGCGTGGCAGGCAATGCGGATGAAGAAGACGAGGCTGATGTCCTAGGCAGTGATGATGAAGAGGATGCCGCTGGTCTGCGGGACGAGCAAGAGAGTGAAGACGACGAGGTGGACATGGAGGCTGAAGATGAAGAACTCAAAGCACTGGAACGGGCACTCAAAGATGCTCAGGAGAAGGGACTAGATCTGGAAGACCTCGAAGGCCTGCTGAATGGCGACGAGATCGATGTGGCGGAGGAAGAGGACAAGGATGACGAGGAGTTTGGCAGCGACGACGATTATGACCTCGAAGCTTAAGAGGAAGATGAAGACAAAGACGAGGGAGAACTCGAGTAAGCGGGGATGTTCTCTGTTATGAAAATGACACCCGCACTAATACCACGATGATATCTGTCTTGATCTCGTCTCCATCGCCAACTGAACATGACGCGCGCCAGCCTGAGCAAGAAGAGCATGGTCACTCCGTTCATGGAGTCAGGATATGTAGGGCTCGATTGCGTGGTCAGTGCTAGTTAGCGCTTGGACCTAAAACTAGCTTGAGGCAGTAAGGTGCTAGCACAGACCAGCCCCGACCGCGGCTGTAAAGAAGCATGGCTGCGACGCGTGAGTGACGGGATTACGAGGCCGTCATAAGCAGGAGCGAGAGCATAGCGCACAGGACAGCTCAGCGAAGAATGCAAGACATAGGGGTCGTGTGCGGGGTCGCCTGGCAGACTTGGGCTCGGCCTAAGAGGCAAGTTTCGGTTGGTGTCAGCCAGATTTACATCGAGGCAAACTTGGCAGAGATTTGTACAGCCGGTGCTCCACAAGTAGTATGCCCAGCTGCTTCGCTACCAAGCAAGTCGGAAGTCATCCGATGGAGGGGTTAGGATCCTTGGTGTGATACGATACGAACCAAATTTCGAAACCACAGATTTAAAATCAAGAAGGAGACAAAAAAGGAAAAAAAAAGAAAAAAAAAGAAAAAAAAAAAGAAAAAAAAAAAAAGGAACAATAAGAATTTAAATTCAATGTCACTGCAAAAGAGAAGGTCACAAAAAGGAAAAGGGTAGCACTTGGCCTGTGTCCTTCGTCCTTTCCAAGCCACAGTAGGGTTCTGTGAGACACCTGTTTTGATGTTACTGTACCTCCTCTCCATCAGCGTCGAACCAGGAGGAAATTACTTTCTCTTGGAATGCTGACTGTTTTTGAACTTTGATCTTACAGTAGCTGCAGCCGTGATTTTCTTCTTTTCTTTGCTTCTTTTCTTTGCTTCTTTCCCTCTGAACTGAGATCTGCGCACCGCAGCAGTGGCTGCAGAAGTGTGCATGAGAGCTGCGTGTTTGCTGCATGCATACTCCTCTGCTTGGTTGCTGTGCTGTCGTCGCTGGCGTGGCGGCTCTTCCTTTCCTGTTGTATTGCCAGTAAAAAAAGTCTTCCTTTGTCGCTGTCGCTGCGGATATTGTTGCAGCTGTTTCGTTGGCAAACTCGGTAACGGCAGTGTCCGCCTTGTTTTTGTGTGAGCGGTTAGGGTTAGCCTCGCGATGCTCGAGATCGTCTTGGCCGAGGCCTACACTCGTCCTTGCTCAGAGCCTTGCTTGCTTTTTCATACTGTTTCATTAGATTTCCGATCGTCTGTGTCTAACGCGCTACACAGGCTATGCTGGGAGGAGCTGAGGACTTCAGCTATGATTGCAAACAATTTTAGCGACCGACTGTCTGTGAGAGAGTGTCAGAAGATCAGCAGCAACAAGGTTGAGGGAGTTGATGATCTTCAAGGGTCCGCACCAAGGCACGCTTCAAATTCGCTGCTAAAGTCGCTGCAAATACTTCATCTCGTCCTGCATTGATTTACCCCTTACCGTACCTTTTGCCGTTGGAGATTTTGTGACTGCACCGATCCGACACTGCTCCTAAGAGCTTCCGAAGCTTCTCTTTCGTTCAGAGCTACCATCGTCTTGACCGTCGACGAGGCTTTTCCTTACGCTCTTTGCTCCTCTTTGCTCCTCTTTGCTCCTCTTTGCTCTCTCGGCCTTTGTCCCTTTCGACCTTTGTCTCCTTCGACATTTGTCTCCTTCGACCTTTGTCCCCTTCGACCTTCGTATCCGGCTTCTTCTTCTGCATCCATTTTTCGGCCCCCATCGCAGCTTCTGTTTTACCGTCTTGTTCCGCTTCCCGTGATCCAGCTTGCCCTTGTTCGGTTGCGTCGCTCTATCTGCACTCTCGGTCCATCTCTGTCACCATCTCTCGAGCAAGTCAAACAACGGAAGGATCCGATCCCACTCCTCTCAGCTGTTCAAGCGTTGACCAAGAATCGAGACAGCTTCTCGGCACATCCGAACAGCAGCAACGCCTTCTCACCTTGTTATTTCAACACCTTGTTTTATTTCAACAACTTGTCATTTCAACACCTTGTTATTTCAACACTCTGTCATTTCAACACCCTGTCTGATAACTTCGGACGATCCGACGTTCGATGTCAGCATCTCGCATCTCTCTTTGATAGAGTCACATTCACAAGCAACCAGCTCATGCGTCTCGATTCGAACGATCACATCAGGAAACACCTAGTTTGACGCGCGGGCATGTCGACCTCGATACAGGCACGCCGACACAGTCGGGGCGTTCCGCAGCCATCTTTCGAATCATACGATCTTGCGCAGTCATCCCGTTCTAGAGCTTCTTATCGCAGAGAAGACGACCTCTTTGATACTCTTTTCCCACAACCACCACCACGCTCTCGTATTCAAGCCGAGCGTCTAGCTCGCCCTTCACTCCCTTCGCTCAAAGCTTCACTGCAGGTCGACTCTGCTGATTCCTCCAGCTCCACCGCACAGCTGCTCTCTTCCTCCAACTCCATCGAGTCGGTCAACTGGTTAGCATCCAACCCATCTTCCACTTCATCCCTCTCGCTGTTGCATAGCATACGCCCCTCCAAGCAAGGCTCTACCGACAGCTCCATAGACTACTACAGTCCAGCCGTCAGCGATGTCAACAGCGCAGAAACAGATCACAGCCTGTCCAGCAGCCATGCCCATTCGCAGTCATCCGAACTCGATCCACACGAACACGGCGCTCCCTTGACACCACTTACGCCGAATGGCGCTTCACATCCTTGGCGACCCAAGCAACTCAATCTGCTTCGTAAACGTCAAGTCGCTGCTCCTGCTGAATCTTGTATTCCAGCCTATCAAGCGACGCCCTCATGGAATGCCACTCCAACCATCAGTGCCGACCGCAATGCTCTCCTCATTGGCTTGGGTCTTGCAGGTATCGCACTCTCCTCTTCGCCTGCCGCACCCTCTGCTACTTCAGCCTTGTCAAATGAGACGCTAATGCAGGCTAGCCAAACAAGGGCTCTCATGCGATCCAGGTCGCCTCAGCTCGGCTCGAGTGCCTCTTCTTCTCGAGACAGTCAAGCAGCAAATGCGCCACTGCCACAAGGTCCAAAGCAACTCCTTCTCGTGTCTTCTGGTGGTCCACCAGGCATTCGTCGCTTTCCTGGTCGCAGGCCAAGCGAAGGTCTTTTCGAAACCTTCACCTCGCCAATACCTGCTCCTGCATCCGAGCAATCCTCTCGCAGTAACACGCCCCAGATGCGCTCCGCAATCCCAGTCATGCCAAGCGGACCCGCCTTTGTCGACGCACGAGCATGCTCTCCCGATCTTTCTTCACTTGCCCATGGCGAGCAACAGACAGGGCTTTCGGCGAAACAGTTTTTGGCACAGATCGCCTCGACGCCAGAGTATCAAGCCAGCCAATACTTTGAATCCACAACAGCCTCATCAGCATGGCCTTCAGGCCCCGCCGAGATGCAACTTGATCCAAAGGATTCCGACCAGGACTTTGACAAACCGCTCTACACCGCCATGTCAACAGTTGCTGACCATCACTTTGACATGTCAGCTAGCGAATACCGAACCACAGACTCGGCAGCAACCAACTCATCGGCAGCATTCAACTCATCGGCAACAGCCTCGCCTGCTCTGTCCCTCTTGGCCGCGAAAGGACCAGGCTTCTGTTCGGAGCATCGTTCCACATCCGCCTCCCTAAGCAGAAGGAAAGCGCCACCTACGCCTCTTGTTCTTACCTCTTCACCGGCTACTAGCAACTCCGATACGCTTCCCGGCTCCGCGAGCGGCCGTCGCAGGCGCTCTCTGACTGCCACCATCAATTCTCACTCGCCCCTTTCTGCGCCACACTCGAACCGCTCCAGCACATGGGCTCCGTCTCCGGGTAAGACTCCCACGTCCGCTGAATCCGGAACTGGCTCTAGCTCCGTTTCCGGCTCCGATCGCCGTCAGCATAGAAGCGACTCCGACTACTCCGAGCCTCTTCGCACTGCTTTCTACGATTTCGACCCCGAGGACGACGGCGAGGTCAAAGACGACACAGCTTCCAAGCCGAGCAGCAACTTGCTGCTCGGCAGTGCCCATGCATCTGCCGCTCTCCGAATGATTTGCGCAGTCTCGACATGGACAGAGCCCGAAACGACGCCTTCAGCACCTCAAGAGACCGAACCCGTTTTCGACCGGAAGGCGAGCGAGTCGCAAGATTCGCAGCTGTCTGCTTTGAGCAGTCACGTCAACTCCCTGAGAAGCACCGCCGAGACTCGCGAAAGCACTGGATCCGAACCTGCGGCCGCATTCGAGTTTGCCGACTTGGAGACGAAGCCGTCCAGCGAGGGTTTGAGTCTACAGACTATGATGGGCTTCCTTCAGCGCCAGGACTCCCAGAAGGCTCCCACATCATCGCTCTTGCAAGACGTTGATTCCGAATCCGACGAGCAAGAAAGCGATCTTTATCCGGCAGCCGAATCAACCGTGCACCAGGCGTCCACGTTGGCAGCGGCGAGCTCACAGTACGCAGCATCATCATCGGCTGAGGCACGTGACAAAGCCGCTCTTGTCACAATGCCAACACCTGCACCTTCAGGAGTTCCAAGTTTCAACATCTCCATCTTTGGGCCTGGTCAGACAACCGAGGCAAAGCACGCACCGCCACAGCTGTCCATTGATCCCAAGTATAGCGCAGAAGCTGCCCATGGCCCCGTTCTTACACGTTCCCGCAAGCAGAGTATGGTCCCCGCCCCTCCCTCCTTCGCCATTCGTGATGCCTCGGGCGAAACACAGCAGAACGATCAGACGCCCGTCTTCGTTCCCTTCGAGATTGCCACCGCTGTCGCAGGGGCGGAGAGCAACGAGTTACCCGCTGGCAACAGTAGATGGAGTTCTGGTTCCGAATCGGACGGCGAATCCGCCATCTCGACCAAGGCAACTGGACGCAAGTCGTTCTCAAAAGGGAGAAAAAGCTTCTCTGCAAGTCGCAAGAACAGCGTTGCGATCAACAAAGAGCCCATTGCCGCGCCTCTTGTGGCGAAAGAGGTGACGCCCGAAGCTGGCGGGAGACAATCAAAGCAGTCGAGCAAGTCTCAACTTTCAGCGCAAGGAGCGGCTCCCCAGAACTTGTCTGTGCCGACCAAATCTTCAGCTACTTCTATATCCAAGCGACTCCTCCTCAATGGCCTCCCTTCGCTGAGGAAGAAGAGCTTCTCCAACCTGAGTAGTCAGTCCGCATCGCCCTCGACGCCAAGCTCAGCTGGCCCCGCCTTCTTCAACAGGACGGAACTCCCCTTCCCTCCGCCAGCAACGCCTCAGGCGTTGAGATCGCCGCCCGTCCCCAGCATTACGAGTCAACCGCTGGATGGCCACGACACTGCGGGACTCACGATCAGGACCGCTTCTGTGACCACCTTTGCATCAGCAGCACAGCTGCCAGGCCAATCCCCGCAAACGCCGGTGTCTGCGCCAAACTTTGCTTCATCCAATGGCGCCACTGGTCCGCTCACCACACAACAGATCCTGGCGCAAGCTCGCAACAACGTCTGGCCCGAGAACTACATCGGCACTAGCGTCAGTGCGGCGGGCATGTCATCGCCGTACTTGTCCGCAGCTCACGACGCCTTCAGTCACGATTTTGCCCCCAGTCGCCTTGCACCGACTCCTCCGTATTTTGCTACATCGTCAACCACTCGCATCGAAAGGTCTTCGACTCCGCACCCTCCCCCAATGTCTCAAAGTCCACGTCTCGACTCCAACAGGACTTCCAGAGACAAGTCATTGCCTTCGACACCTCTAGACGGACCTGCCGCCATGATTCGCTCACGATCTCGCCACAACGAGTTTGTCCCACCTCCCAAGAACCTTCGCCATTTGCGCCAGTCTTCCTCCAACACCAACCTGGACAAGCTTCGCAAAGACGTGCCCGCTGACGTGTTCAGGTATCACCAGAAACGAGAAGCGAGCGCATTAGATGCCGCGGAAACAGAAGCTCGGGTTACTACAGCAGGTCCCTCACCGCAGCAGGACATGGTCGGCACAGAGGAGAAGTTGGCAACAGTTACCGAGACCAACGTTGATCTGGTTTCAGCCTTGTCGGATAGTTCTGCGCCTATCGATACAGTACTAGATGCTTCACTTGATCTTCCACCACTCGTCGAACGTCGCCAGGCAAAGTCGCACAAAGCTCGGCGGATCCGCAAGCAAGGAGATCGCTTCCCACGCTACAACTCCTGGTCGGATTTCGGACTGCAATGGGTAGCCGAACAGAGTACAGACGCCTTCGACATCCTTGCCGCCGAGCTCCTGCCCGCCAAGGCCATTTTAATAGCAGCAGGAGCGTCGACCGGCAATTCGAACCGACTCGTCACAGGCGGGAGCGGTGGCGGTGGAGGCGACGGTGACTCGGATGAAAGCGACACGGATGATTATGGTTCCAGCGATGGAGGCGGAGGAGCTGGTGGTGGTGGTGGGTTCGGAGGTGCAGGAGGCGGAGGAGGCGGCAAGCAACCTGCCTCAGGCCGCAATGACGCAGACAACTCGGACGATGATCTTGACGAGGAGTCTGAAGATGATGAGGTGGCCGAGGTAATGACGGATAACGACTTCGACGAGCCCTATGAGGATAGCGAGCAGGCGGCTGCCTCGCGCGTTGCTCACGGTTCCAAGATGCCCACCGTTCCCGCTCGTGGCGCATCTACGCCGACGTCTCACGCTCAGGCCGAAGAGGTCGACAACTCGGATTCATCAGACGATCGACCGCTCGGTCTGCTGGTTGATGATCCCAGAGCTCTGCAGAAGGTTCTTCGCGCACAAGAGCGAAAGCGACACTTTGCTCTAGCCGCTCAAGCTCTCGAAGGTAAGGGAAGTTCCGGCGCAACACTCTTGACAGGGAGTCAAGCTCGTCACGCCGGTCAGAGTCAGTCGAGCGACGCTGTTGTGAATCCGAGCGACCTGGCCCAAAGGCTGGCCAAGGTGCAAGGCCGACGCGAACGTGCACAAACGCCCAACGCCGCTGTCATGCAGCGGTCTCAGACTGTTGCAAGGCAGGATGTCAGTCGTGCCTTGGACAGAAAGAAACAGCCAGATGCTGCCGCTGCATCGCGTTCCAAGTCAGTGCGTGCAACGCCAGCTGATCGATACGTCCATCCGGGCATGCGAGCAAGAACACCCTCGGAAGCCGCTTTACGAGCCAAAGCCATGGCCCAAGCGGTGCCTCATGGTCCTTCTCCGATCAGCCCGACACTTCCCAGCGTGGCCAAGATGCCAGAACTGCCATCCAATGCTATGGCGACGGTGGTGGCAGCACAGAAAGCCATGGCACATGCTCAGGCCAATCCAAGCCCTGCTGCTTTGGCACAAGCTCAAGCGCTGGCGACATCAGCCACCGCTGCCCTAAACGCAGCTACGGCTCAAGTAAAGCGGGCCGGCTCGTCGCCGATTTCGCCTTCTTTTAACCAAGGTGAACCTATAGGGCACATCAGCACATCACCGCGCATCGCCGATGGCGTCGAACCTCCCGGAGCTCGCCTTCGTGCAGGCTCGAAAGCTCACGCATTCCCTGTGGCGTCTCCTGGTGGAGCTGGCGCTGCTGCACCTGCTGTCGCCATAACTCAGCACCCGAGCATGCTTCAGCGACTGCGATCGAGATCCATCTCTCGCAATCAGGCTCCACTGACCATCAATACTGCTGCCGCGCCTCCCATGCCCGACATGCCAAGACCGAGCACAGCTTCCAAAGACTCACAGGCTTCGAGCTCGCCTCACAGCGCCCACACACAGACTTTTGCTGCCTTATCGCAAGCTGCAATAAATCACGGACGACCCTCGGTAGACGCCGCTGCTGCTCCAAGCGAGGGACACGGTAGCCAGATGTCGCGAGCAGCGTCAAACCATCCTGGTAACCTGTCTAACTCGAACGACAGCAGCACAGTTCCAGCCGAGCCACGTCAACCTCACAAGATTTTCATCCTGTCGAGACAGCGCTTTACTGTTGTCGAGGTACCCGTCTCAGCACGTGCACGCGATCTTGCGCTTGAGGTGATCGAGCGAGAGAGATTGCCGATGGACGACAGCAAGGGCGGTTGGGTTGTGTTCGACTGCTCGTCCCAGCTCGGCGCCGAGCGTCCTCTGCGCGAGTACGAGGTGATCACCGATGTGGTCAATGTACGGGCGCATCCTCAGACCGATTTCTTCCTCATCAAGCGCACAGAGCTGTCGACCTATCTGTCCATTCGCTCCTTGCCGTCAAGCTCGCCAGCGCTTGCAGGATACGTCTACGTGCAGGATCGCAAGAAGAAGTGGAGCAAACGGTGGCTCGAACTCCGCGACCATGCTCTGTACCATGCCAAGAACGAAAAGGGCAAGGACGAGATGTCTGTCTGTCAGATTTCCACCTTCGATGTGTACTTGGTCGACAGCTCTGCATTCAAGATGCCCAAGGCCAACGGATTTGCACTTCGCTCTCAGGATCCCATCACCATGTTTGAGAAGCCGGATCAGGACTATATCCACTACTTTTGCCTGACTGACCCTGCGGCCCACCGCGACTGGGTCAGGGCTATTCTCAACGCACGCACTTACATCTTGCGTCAGGAGAAGGCAGTCCTGTTCCAGATTGACTCGCCTCCTACCAGTCACGAAGCAGGTCAACCCGGTGTACTTGCAAGCGGCGGTCTTTCGAGAAAGAATACTTCAAGACGTCCAAATGGTCGACCCGCAGCGTTGTCGACGGAGGCGGGGACCAGTGGCGCGACGGGTCCATCACCTCCCACACCGCTGATCGACAGCAATGCTTTCGCTGGTCCATTCGCTAAAGGAAGCCTGCTCGCCGACAAGGCCATCAGCGATGCCAAAGAGGCTCTCCGCGGTCATGCAGCTGTCGCACCTCCCACTGGGGCTCTTCACGATCTCAGCCTGATGGACCGCAATGCTGTGCGCATGAATGAAGCGAGGAGGAAAGAAGAGATCATCGAGCGTCAACGGCGGATGAAAGCGGACGGTCAGCCATTGATCGACCTCGCTCGAAGATAGCGACGAGGGAAGCGCTGCGAAAGTTGCTTCAATGCTATCATGTGTCATTATGATGATGATAATTGTATTTTTAGGTCACCAACTTTGTTCCTTTTTATTTCATGGTGTGACGGCTTAGTCGATTACCATAATCCCTTGAGAGTCGAGACCGATGATTTTACGACAACATCCTGTTGAAGATGGCGGCAAGCTTGCTGTCAGTGTAGATATCTCGCAAGCATCGTAACTGCATCGCAACTGCATCGCAACTGCATCGCCCGATCGGATTCGAGCAAGACAAAGCGACAAAGTGAAGAGATGGGCGGTTCACCAGCTCGTGCAGAATTCGCTTGGCGCAGGGGCTCGCTTGGACGCCGCCAAAGCGAGAGGACAGAAGCGAGGACAACGCTGTGCGCCGTCGGCGTTTAAGGCAGTGCAGTGTCTAAGCGAGATGCTTCACTGTATACGGCGCGCTTCTCGGACCCTAACATTTGCGATCGGATCAAGGCTGAAAGCGGGGCCGAGCAAGCTTCCAGAAGAACAACGCTTGCTGAGATTTGATGGATCATACAATAGGTACGACGGAAGGTCTCTCGACTGATGCAAAGCCACATCGATGTGTATCGGTCTGCCAGAGCATTCGTCGGCTGCAGATGATAGAAAAGAGCATCGAAATGGCTACAACGAACAAAATGGCTACAACAAACAAAATGGCTACAACGAACAAAATTGCTCCTTCCTGTTCGGAAAGAGTGCATCACGTGATTGTCATAAAAAAAAAAGGAAAAAAAAAAAAAAAAAAAAAAAAAAAAGGCGTGCGCGTCTGGGCTGGACTCAACAATCGAATTGTTCCGCTTCTCCGCTCGGCTCTTCACAACATCATTCCGCTTCTTGCTAAAGATAACGATTCAGCAGGAAGTCGAAGTGACGAAGGATCAGGCAAGATCAATCTAGAACATAATCAGGAAAGCAGATCTGATCATGGATCAAGCAGAGCCAATCTGACAAGAGATCAGATACAACACAGTCCCACTCATTGTCAAGCTAGGTCATGAAATAGCATACTCCCACAGTAGGTATGAGCCTCACAAATGTATATACAGCTTGTGTGTAAACTGTCACACAATTTTACATGTCACCATACATCACTCTAATGCTCAATAGCCATAAGTTATATTGCCACACTGTCTGATATCATCTGAAAGCTCTGCTTCTTCTCTCCAAGACTGTGTAATTGATATTGACATTGCCTGAGAAAATTGTGCTTTGAAAAAGAGCCAAGAATTTTTTTATTGTGGGACAGTTTATGGAGTGCTCCTCAACAACACCTTAGTACTTTGTATTCCCTCCTTTTGCCTTCAGAACAGCCTCAATGCAGTGTGGCATACTCTCTATTAGGTTCCTACATGTCTCTGGAGTGATCACTGCCCATTCAGCCTCACATCTCTTGAGCAGTTCATCCCTGGACTTTGCAATTGTACTATACTTTGAGAGTTGCATTTTGAGATGGTGCCAGAGGTGTTTGATTGGGTTTAAGTCAGGCAACTGTGCCAGCCATTCCATAACCTTAATGTTATTGCTTGTCAACCACATTTTACTCTTCTTGGACATGTGTTTAGGGTCATTGTCTTGCTGAAAAATGATATCAGTATATGCATGCTGAAGGCACAAAATTACTGTTGAAGCCGGCATTCTTAATCCAACAGAACTGCTTACCATCTGGTCCAAAGGAGTTGATCTTTGTCTCATCAGACCATACCACCTTCTTCCAATCCTCAACAGTCATGTCCTTGTGCCCATTAGCAAATTTGTGACAGGCTTTGTAATGTCACTTGAGTAGCTTTGGTTTTTTCACCAACCTCTGTACTTTGTAACAACAATAATGAAGTGCTTTCCTTACTGTGGTTGGGCAAGCTTTGACTTGGAATGTCTCCTGCAGTGCTTGACATGCTTTCCTGACAGTGGAGGTGCAATTGAGCTCAAAATAGTGGTCCAGGAAGCAAACATGACAGGGCTGGAGTTTTATTGGCTGGCCCCCCTTTGACTTTGGAACATCAGCTGAGGCACTTTTGCTGATGTGATTCACAGTAGACTTGCTCATACCAAGTTGCTTGGCAACTGAATGGGTAGATTCCCCATTTTGGAGGTGAAAGAGTTTAGATTGGTGCTTCTCTGGGGTGGTTTTTGGCATGATGGTATAGATATGATGGTGTCAGACTGGAAGGGCCACTGGATCACTCACAATCATCTGATTGAGCTGAAACTTTCCATGTTACTACTTTCAATGTATATGAAGGCTCCCACCAAGTTACATTGCAAGTTTCATTGTAGTTGACAGCCCATAAGGTCAGGAATGGAGTGGTGTTGCTATTTGGCAGCATGCTCCATAAACTGTCCCACAATAAAAAAATTCTTGGCTCTTTTTCAAAGCACAATTTTCTCAGGCAATGTCAATATCAATTACACAGTCTTGGAGAGAAGAAGCAGAGCTTTCAGATGATATCAGACAGTGTGGCAATACAACTTATGGCTATTGAGCATTAGAGTGATGTGTGGTGACATGTAAAATTGTGGGACAGTTTACATGCAAGCTGTATATCAAGCTGAGAACACTAGGTTCTCACCACATTCATTAGTCAATCAAGTATATATGTTTCTGCTCTAAAAATAGTAGTGACATCATACTTGGACTCTCCCCAATCACCAGTTATCAGGACCAAATGTCTTCAAACTTCAATGCTTCTCTGCTCCTCTATTCACAAACATCATCTTCACCAAAGCCAGGTGTACTATTATCAGCCTGGACCTCGCTGGTCTTTACCCGCAATCCGCTTTGTTTTTCGTGTTATGTATATACATTTTTAGTTACGTTTGGTGCGTTTGAGTCCAGACGGGATGGCGGCTCCCTGAAGCTCCAATCTGCAACGTGAGGTTGGCCTCTCGACTTGACGGGTCCCGTCATGGATCAATTGCGTTTGAAAGGGTATGTGAGTGGTAATGCAGCACATCGGACCCTTGCAGAGACAAACTGGGCAAATGAGGAAGGCGAGGGACCTTCCTGATCTAGTTTGCCCAGTTGTCCGGTTTTCTACTCTCCAGCCGAGGCCAAGTTGTTGTGAGGGTGTGTGACAAATAGCGTTGATCACAAGTATCGATTGTGATAATGATCATGAACTAAAGTACAGGATGATTCGGATGTATATATGTCCTCCAGCATTCTGTGTACACATGTATGATACAAGGATGATAAGGGTGAAATGTAACAGGGAAACTATGTTGGATGTTTGATAACCGGTATGCCAATGCCTATTGGGGCAAGTTGGTTCGGGCCTAAGGGGTGCATATCCGAATGAGTGGAGTTGGCCAAGTATGTGAGATCGAAGTAGAAGTGACATACTTTTACTCAAGCCCCTGCATGGGAACGCCTCTTCTCGAGCAGAAGTCGATCTCATATATCTCAAATCTGTGTGCATCTGACACTAGCTTCGAAAAAGGATGATCGCGTGGCTTTGCATACAGTTGCATCTCATCGCTCACCGAATTGCTGTCTTGTGCCTTCTTTCGAGCTTTTGCGACTCCAGTGCTTCGTGGCACATAGAGATCAGTGAGATGCGATCCCAAGCCAAAGTCGGGTTCTGCTTTTTGCCTGCTGCTTTCCGTTTCGGTCGGTCCGCACTGAAGAGCGCCTTTTCGGTCGTAGGAAGCTTCTTGTCCGACGTTGGAGGCGTGGGAACACATTCCTTCCCTCTTCTTGTTGAATGCTGATGGACCACCTTGACGATAGTTCAGCTTAAGCTCTGAGCGGGAAACATTATTCGTTGTCTCGAAGTGAGCCAAAGATCGAGGGCATTCATCTCAGACCTTCTCGTGGATTGTCAGACTCCGACATTTTCGTCGTGAACACACAGGCCTGCTCGACACGATCCGCTGTGGATGCTGGTGGCAGCTCTACTCCTGTGGTCCTTCCGAGTCTGCACGATGCTCTGATTTGAAAGTGGCGTCCTGGTGCTCGGCTGTTCGGGCAACATAAGCTCGGCGAGGGTAGAGGAAATGCCATACAGCAGCGCCTCTGTCCTTGAAGATCATGCTGGACGTGGCGGACGTCACGGATGGATCGCATCACGTAACCTTGTTCTTTTCACACGGCTATACACCTGGTGTGAACCTGCAAGCAGGGTACCAGCATCTACTCTCCGCAATCTCGCCACTTCGCTTGTGCAAGAGAGGGTGGTAAGGAAGAGACCTAAGCGAGCTTCATACCAAAACTGAACAAGCGAATCGAACGCTCTCTGGAATTGAGCTCGCCAAAAGTTCTTCCCGGGCTGAAGGACCGAAGGAACGGCGTTCAACTGTTGTTCTTTTACTGATTCCTCATGCGCCGAGCTCGCCTACCGGAAACGATTCTTGTTGTGCACCCGACACACGGAAAGCCTGCAGACGTTGGCATTGTCCATGTGAGGATCGTCCATTGCGCCGTTCCTCTGAATGCGACCTTGACAGAAGGGGCCATCTTGACTTGGACGGCTGGCGATCCAAGTCTCTCGTGTTCGTAGGATGTACAGCCAGGTCGCTGTCGATACTTGGCAAGGGGCTATCGGCAAGAAAGCCAGAGAAACATAGCACACATAGCTCGAACTTTGGAGTGCTGCAATGTTCTTCAAAGCGAGCTGATCAAGAATACCAGTTCGGACAAGCCAAAACGAGACGAGCAGAGCTCGAGTTACGCGAGCATGGGCTGACACAGCGCTGGTTCGCTAAGATCTGTTCCATCTCGTGCAAGAGGCATCCTCTTCGCTCTTCGCTATTCGCGGCTGTACCTTCGTGAAGCTGATGCAAACCAGTCGACCTCTCAATCGAATCAAGTCGGGAGATTGGTCTGAGTAGGTATGCAATTCCGTCGGGATACTTGTTGTGAGGGAAGAGGTGAGGCAGCACACAGTGACGAGATATAGCATACTTTGTGCAGATCCGGTTGTTGCCTAGAGATGAGAATCCATCGTTCTGCAAACAAGTTTCCGACTCCGCTCGACGAGGCTGCACCCTTGTGCAATCCATGTCAACCTAAAAACAGCCCAAGCCGCTGTGCAACCCTTGCGAAGTGAGTCGCTGGATAGAGGACACAACAAGCCCAAAGTGGTAACCTTCTCTTTTGTTCGCATTTGACGCTCCGACTGAGAGAAATTTGTGGCACCGAAGCTGGGTTTGAGCAGATCAAGGCCCGCCCCGCCCAAGAAGCATACCTTCATCCAACTCAGCGGCGGTCTCAGCAGCAGCAACAGGTTCTACAAGACTTGAGATCTTTGATCCCACGATCTGGTTGCTAAGTAATCATGCGGTTTGTTCGGCCACTGTTTTTGTCGCTCCGCTTTGGCTTGTGCAGGTGAGGATGAAATATGCGTCACGTGTTGTCGCACTTCTACACTCAGCCAGATGCGTTGCTGCGACCCCATATGAACCTTTGTTGCATCCCCTCCATTCGAAACGTCTGTATTCCCAGCGTTTACATAACATAGGTCTGAGGCAGCGTCCAGATGCTGGCCTGGCAAGCCGGGCATGGGCGAAGCTGGGATCGAGACGTGGATCGCGGTCCCCTTCCTAGCGTGCGGCCTTGACTTGGTGTGAGGCATGGAAAGCCATGCCCAGAGATGGTTTCCGTTGAAAAGCTGCTCTGTGCAATGCCGCTCAAGTGACCGAGCCCGTCCAAGTATTGTTTGCCTCCTCCTGCCGGCTTATTTGTCAACAATGATGCCAAAAGAAGACCTTTGTTTTCTGGGCAGTAAGCGCGCTTGACATGTGGACGACCGGCATCCTATCTCCTAGTCCTGCTGGTCTTCACACTTGATCTATCGACTCAGATCATCTGGTCCGAAACAAGCAACAGACCGACTGAGTGTGCTGTATGCTGACTGTCGATCGGCCTTCTGCACCTAGATGCATCCTGCAGGACCGAGCCCATCTGTGCTGATTCGGATATCGTGTCGACTAAACCTCTTCATGCCGCTCTTCTCCTTCCTTTCCGGTCTCGTGCACCAATCCAGCACTACGCTCCTTCTATCTCGCTCCCATCAACTTGCTTGTCATCTTTCCGGATTACACTTCCTCGCGTCTCACCATCACCCACGTTCCGACCTTCTTGCTTCCGTCTATGCCCAGACCGGTCGCTACCCAAGCGTCGCTTCCGCAGAACCCTTGATCTAACCACCTCTGTTCCTCTCCTAAACAGTGGGCCCCCTTAGCCTCGGAATCTTGATTCTGCAGGCAAAGAGACCAGCGTTTTGGCTCGTCACTGCATTTCACTGACCACTAAACCGAGATCTCTGCAAGCGCTGCTCGCCTGTCGCTCCCATCTCACCTTTCCGCCGCAGCTCAGCAACGTTAGACCAGGTCAGGACGCATCTTAGGCGCTTTGTGCCATTCGCAACAAGCGACTCGGTATACCTAAATATCTCCATCTGAAAGCTCACTTTTCCGTCCTCGACACAACTCGCTTGCTTTTGGCGACCATTCCTATCCGCTCTCCTGCCCCAAGGTGTAGCTCGTGCTATACAGTTTTTACCGGTCTGACCTCGTGTGGGCTCCTAGCTGTCAATATACTTGTACAGCTTTTCGCGACCATCGCACTATATCCGACCACAGCTAAATCACTCTACCTTCCACGCCAGAGTTCCGCTTGTCGCCAACACCACAGCCATCCCTTGATAAGCACACACTCGCGCAACAGGTCGGATCTCATCCCAAGCTTCTGCATTAGCACAGTCCGACTGAAGGTCAACAGGTCAGAAGATACTCTGTTGTTCGCGTTCATGGGTTCGGGCTGACAGTGGTTATCGTCGTCGTTCGCGTTGGATCTCCCTGTCTCCATCACGACGAGCCTAGCAGCGATCATTTGCTTTGCGAGCTTCTGTTTCGCTTTTCATCAGACACAATCTGCGCACCAATCATATAGAGGCGAGAACCACCTCAGCCGAACGCAACTACACACCGCATTTGTATATCCTCTGAGCGGGCGCAGATGAGTCCGCTCACATAGCAATCAGGCTTCGTACTTCCTCTCACGCTAAATAATCCCAACATCTTGTCACAGAAGTTCTTCAAATGACAGCTACCTCTCGTCTTATTTCTCACAAGCTGGAAGACCTCTCATAGCGACATTTGCCTTGTCCTCCTTTTCACGTCTCTGAACGCTTACGCAATCATGGACGATCGTCATAGGCAGGCCAAGGTCACGCTGCCTCCCCTCTCTTCTCTCACCACCTCCATCGACATGGATCGCAGGCATGAAAGACCATCCGGTCGCCGGGATAGCCTTATCGACCGAAGCGATGCCATGCGTTTGCACGACCCGCCGATGTCCTCATCATCGTTTAGGGATGGATCTAGAGCACTTTCGGTCTCCAACGATCGCCGCTGGTCCTTGGATCGCAGTGTTGCCAGACATCCACCGGAAAGCATAGCAACGTTTCCACCTGTGCAACACAGCGTTCCAGCAGCGTCAAATCCGTCGATCTCGCCAATGTTGCGTCGGACGGCTATGCGTTCTGTTGTCGAGTCGACTAGGCCGCGTTCCTACTCGTCGCCTCACAGGTATCCTATGCCCCATCCGACAAGAAGGTCCTCCCTTGCTGATACTTCGGAGATCGATCGCTTGCTTGAAAGCCTCATCTACGTCCAGGACATCAATCGGCGGCTTGGTCTCCATACCGGATGTCCAGCATCGCCATCCATCTTTCGTAATCCCGGTGCCGCCGACTTGCTTCGCAGAAAGATTCATGAAGAGCTCAGCACCATGGCGCGCTTTTCTTACGCTCGCGCTGAATCCGTTGCAAGACTTCTAGGCATAACTGCTGACGACAATCCGTCGAGAGCACCCGAATCTTCGTCATTTGCACCACGCAGTTCAACCTCTTCAACACTCTCTTCGGGCCAAGCAGGCTACCCAATGCGGCCGCCAAGCGACTATGCCGAGAGAGCACAGTCTTCAATGGGAAGGTTGAGTCTGGAAGAGCCACGCCCTTCCGAGTACGAATACGACTCGTATAGCGAGGCGATGGAGACAAACTACGAAACAGATCAAGGTGGCTACACTCCTGGTATACCCAGTGCTTATGCTATGCATCCGACACGGGGCGAGCCTCGGTTCCGCGCTCTTTCTCGTGCTACCTCATTCGAGCATCCTCGATCTGTCCACCAAGATCAACAACACCCTCATCACTACCAGCGCACTACCACAGAGTTGCCACGTTTCGGTAGCAGCACAAGAACGCCTTATGACCAACCGATGCAACCTCCGTATGGATCCGGCGGTCTACCGCCTTTCTGTCATCCAGACAGTCGACAACAACAACAACAGATCGATCTGCTCGATCGAAGACGTCTTGCTGGTAAAGGGATGAAAAGAGTCAGGAAGCGCAAGGACGAACACCATCAGGAGTGCCTCGGTTGCCAAGCCAAAGAAACTCCAGAGTGGCGGAAAGGTCCTATGGGTCCTCGGACACTCTGCAACGCCTGTGGTCTGCTCTATGCCAAATTGACAAAGCGCAAGCTACAAGAGGCTGAAGCTGCTGCCAAAGCTTCTGGCAAGAGTCCGGAGGAGATCGTACGGGAGCGGGAGGAGTCTCCAGGCGCTAAGCAAGCTAGTCTGGAGGCTTTGCGGGCTGAGCTGAACATAGCCAACGGGATGAGGAACCGAGTCGGATCTTCCACAGCTCCAGCAGCTGGAACTCCGATCGGCGATGGCAATCCTGCAACGTCGCACCCCCTACAGAGTCACCCTGACGAGGCTCATCAGCAACGAAGACATCATCCCTACATGTAATTGTATCCTACTTTCATGTTATGCATCAGCAATGAATCGCCATGGAATTGACAGCAATGTCATGAGACGGGATGCAATTGCAAGACGCCACTGAGCTTCCGGTTTTGGCATAATTTTATTGAGTGTAGAATATGAGTACAACGGAAAACCCAGCTTCATATATGTTAGGTGTCTTGCCCGAGTGGTTAAGGGGTTAGTCTTGAAAACCAATTGTTTCAAGGCGTTTATCACGCTGGATAACTAATGCTCTCTGAGCGCACAAGTTCAAATCTTGTAGGCACCGCGAACTATTTTATTTTGCACTTTTGAAGCAAGAAGACACAGTATGAAGGAATGGCCGAGATATGGTGTTCTGAACGCAATCTTGTGTAACGTTGATCGTGTAGGAGGGCTGTGCCTGTATCGACTCGTATCATCATCTGATCACCATATCAGGGAAAGATAAGGGCCAAGAGGAGATGAGGGCTTGAGCTCTATCGCTGCAAGCTCTCTTACACTGCCTCGTTATGTTTGAGACTCATATTTCGCCTCAAGATGCTACTGAATCATCCACAGGGTAAGACGTATAAAAGCATCAGACTTAGTTAGTTCGTACTCCGTTAAGCATCTGTATATACAGTTCATCGTCGACATACGTAATAATTGTGTCCTACGATTCAAGTCTGCCACTCTTCTTAACAGATCGCGTCGTTAAATTCGCAATAATTTTATGCGACACCTGATCAGCATCGGGACGACCCTCGATTCTCCTCCACATCAGCCACGAACTCAGCCTCACGGTGAGGGTTGACAACGAGCTTCGTGGCTGCTTCGGCAGCCACCATCATGGTACACCTTCGACTCAACCACCCCGATACATCTCGTAATAGGTATATCAACTATATAACCGCTCTACCTCAGTATGCGGACTGCGAGCAGGCACGACATAGGCTGCTGCAGCTGGCAGCTCAAGTCCAGCCTGTCATGAAGAAGCACGGCTTCCAGATCAACTCTCTCGAAGAATTCGAATGGAACCGCGAGTTCGCTGGACGCAACTGGAACAATGGCGAAACCGTTGAGCTCGTGCTCAGACGTCAAGACGGAAGCTTCGCACCTCTACAATGGGTCTTGATGGTGTTCTGCCACGAGCTGGCCCACATCAAGTACATGAATCACATCCCCTCACAGCACGGAAAGCTTGACACAGAGCTACGCAATGAATGCCGCGAGCTTCAAAGTCGGGGCTACTACGGCGATGGATTCTGGTCCGCGGGTCAACGTCTGGAGGACAATGCTTTTGTCGCTGGCACTGGCATGAACTCGCTGCAAGGTCTGCCAGAGTACTCTTGCGGCGGTGCCTTCCAGAGCAAGCCGAGCAAAAGCCGGTCGAGGAAACGACGTCGTACGGCTGCAAGCCCTTCTCGCAAGAGAGGCTTCCGAGGACCAAGTCTACACACTGGAGCTCAGACAGCGCCCAACACGAGGGGGGGCAGGCGTGTGCAGACCACGATCCCAGGTCAAGGCTCAAGGCTCGATGGCAACGATCATTTGCCGAAGGCTACAGCCTTCAACTCGTCCTACAAAGAAGACAGCAATTCGACCTTCCGAAAGCGTACCCAGACAGCAACAGCTCGCGAACTCCGAGCTCAAGCGGCTATACGGCGTCTCAACGCTGTCAAAGTTGAAGCAGTACAGAACGAAGCCGGCGAAGGACAGACTGCTTCTTGGCCGGAAGAATGGGACGATAGACAAGCGGGCTCTGGAAGTTCCACACCGACTTCCGAGGGTACAGAAAAGCTCAAAGAAGAGGACCTGATGGAGTCGGAAAGCGAGGCGGAAGACGAAGAAGACAGCAAGGATGGCGGATTTGTCATTCGACTCGATGACTCGTCAGCAGACGAGGCCGAAAGGAAAGAGAGCTCAGGACTTTCACGGTCTACTAGCAACACAAAGCATAACGATTTCCTCAAGGTCAAAGAGAAAAAAGATCCGCAAGAGCCATCCACCATCGCCAGTCGAGAAACTGAGCAGCAGCGACTTGACCGATCACAGTTGTATCGACAACACGAACTCAAGCAAGGCGGCAGGATACACTCTACTAACGAAGATTGGCAAGATTTCTGCTCGATTGCTACCCTCCCGGGCACCAGCTCAACAGCACAAGGCCCCAAACCTCCGGCAGGCAAGTCGGTGTACAGCTCGAGGACTGAGCCGATCGAGGTACTCTCATCTGATGAAGAAGACACGCCAGCACGAGCGCCGCAACCGAAACCACCATCACGGCCATCGCCATCTGCATCTCCTGCACAGGAATGGTCCTGTCAAGTGTGCACGCTCCGCAACCCTGCAAATACATTGCGTTGCGATGCTTGTCTCACGACGAAGGGGTCGTCCGTAGTCGGTCAGTGAAGGAATTTCTGTTCCACTTAGATACCCCGCTCTATAGACAGCATAGAACAACATCATGATCGTATTTTTACTTTGCAGATAGAAATACTAATGATAATGATGCGAATGCATGCTCCTGGTATCACCGCTCGTGGTGGCTACTAAACGAGAAAGGCTCGGGAGCCTCTGGGCTTCAATGATATTGTACTGTACAGTCCCTGCCCGAAGTTTGGGGACAGGGTCCAATAGACAATGATTTAACCATCTGATAGCATAGCTTCCATCTGCTTGGAGGAGTGATCTCTCATAAGTGTCAGACTGAGCAAAACACACAGTGAGCAAGCTCGGAAGAAGAGCTTTTGATTGCAGTGAGTCTCGGAGCCGACTAATACTTGAGCAGACCTCCATGCTTGGTAAGCACTTGCTCCACGTGATGCTCCATCAACTTGATCACAGGATTGATATGTTTGAGTGTGATCTGGGTGATCCACACCTCCTCTGCAGCTCTGGCAAGTTCATCCCAGGTTTTCGGTACTGGCAAGTGCTTACCAAGCAAATTTTTGAATACATACCATATGTTCTCAATAGGGTTAAGGTCTGGTGAAGCCAGCGGGTTGTCACAGGGCCAGCGGGCCAGCGCAAGAAGGGTGCACCAAATTGACTGACAGCATTCATGGTAATGTCATGCAGGATCAGTGGATCAACATATGAAGGGTGTGCCAAGTTGATTGGCACCAAATCATTGGGGATTGATGGAGCTAATTGGGCTGGTAGTGCATATGATTTATGAGATCAACTGAACTCTGGGTTCCAGGTTAATCTCATGAGGATCAATTGGAACCAGCTGGATCAGCATGCCTCAGCAAGTTGGCTGATATGAGCAAGTACCAGGAGATTCAGGAAGGAAGGTACTGTCATTAGAAGGAGAAGCATATGGAGATAACCACAAGTAGGAGCAGGGGACCAAGCTCAGCATCACATGGATGGTTACCACTTGAGGGGTGCATGCATATAGCTACACAGGACCAAGCACAGGGGGCAACTGCATGACCAAGGGGTTTGGTCACAAGGTCCAACAGGTGGCTAAAGGGATTTACAAGATAAGGAGGGGAAGGTGGTTGCCAGTGAAGAGAGAAGGAAACAGTGAATGGATTGGTTAAACAAAGAGGAGGAGCTGTGTCAAAGGGGTCATCACACATCATCAAGCAGAAAGGGAGCATGAAGGCAAAAGGGCAGTGATGCATAACCATTATGCTGTGCAGATGGTAGGGGCACAGCATCAATGGGATCGACACCAGCAGGAGAGACAGTGTCAAACAGGGGATGAAGGCCCCTCAAGAGGAATGGGATAGGTGTCACAGGTGACACCAATCAAACACATAAATACTCCCATTTCACCATAGCATATGAGTGGATCCTCATCCACTCAACATGCTACTTACTTACTTACTTACTTGACTCTTAGTTTCATACCATTGCAATAGCAGTGCTCTTGCAATGACCCTCAAATGTGTGTGTTGTATCACCATTAGGCATCAACTGTAGGCAGTGTTCTTCAACACTTGCAGTCCAGTCCCTTACTGTAGGCAGTGTTCTTCAACACTTGCAGTCCAGTCCCTTGCTGTAGGCAGTGTTGCTCAACACCTGCAGTCCAGTTAGTTATTGTAGGTGGTGACTCACACCTGCAGTCCAGTAACTCCCTTTCTCTGTAGGCAATTAACATATTGCAGTCCAGACAACATCCAAGAGCATTATCAACAGTACTGCAAACACTTGTACTGTAGGGAGAGGGTATCACTCACTCTCCAACAAACAGCATATGTGCTGCACAACCTCTGAATGGAGTGTTCAAGGCAGTCAGCTGAGACTTACCAGTCAAAGACATCTGGTTACATTTTAAGTCGAAACATACTGAGTAGTCCTTACTCAATCAACCCCATCTATACCAAACAAATAACACCCACAACTAGTCTCTGGCGCGTGACCACTTACACGGGTGTGTCAGAGGTCATGCACCTGAAACCTGAGATCTGTAGTAAGACCGCTTCTATTACAGATCCTGTCAAGATATGTGATTGTATATGTAGTATTACAATTCTCATCAAGTTATGCCATAGTGATGTCCTTATGACTTTACTTGCTTGAATCTGTGATTGGGGTTGTGCTATTACAGATTTTGACTGACCACTGTGGACACTCCATCCAGAGGTGGCTTGGCATGATCAATAATGATATGAACTGTACTGACACCAAGGTCTGGTGTGAGTATGAATGCTTGGTGGTGTCGACACAAGTGTCCAGTGTGTCAACTTATTGCTTGAGGTGATCCCTGGACTGCAGTGGACTACTGCCTTCAGTTCTATCTTGAATCCAGACTGCTGGTTGCTATGAACCACCTTCAGATGTCAGTGAGCAGTGATACAACACACATGCTACAATGAGAGGCAATCTACTTGATTGCAACTATGCTGACTAAAACTAATAGGTACTTATGCTTGAAGTATTAACTAGTTGATATGGTGTAGAGTAGATGGCAATCCACTCACTTGTTGTGATGAGGAGCATGGTTATATACCATGCCTGCAGCATCGCCCATGACACTGCCCCTCCTCCTCGTCCCTCCTATCTGTCCTTCTTCGAACTAGGTGTTGATTCCCTCGACACTGCTCTTCCTCCTCATAACCTGTTTGCCAGTGTCCTTGTCACAGCTTGTCAGCGGTCGCGCGCCTGAAACCTGAGATCAGTAGTAGTATCAGTACTATCACCGATTCTGTCAAATTATGCGACAGCGCTAATGGTATTTCGATTCTTAGTGAAATATGCAACAGAGCCTTCTCTGTCACCTTTCTCGTTAGAATCTGTAGTTGTATTATCATTGTGACAGATTTTGACTAACCACTGTGGACACTCCGTCCAGAGGTAGCTCGGCACAATCAGACTATGATATGACTCTAAATGAGCTTGATGTTGACACCAATAGTCTGGTGTGAGTATGGGTTGATGATGCCAACATGAGTGTCCAGTGTGTCGGCTAACACTTGAAGTGATCCCTGGGCCGCAGTGGACATCTGCCTTCGGTTCTATTGTTATCTGGACTGCTGGTTGCTATGAACTGCCTTCGGACATCAGGAAACAGTGATACAACACATGCACTTTGATGAGGAGCAATCTGTTGATTACTTCTATGCTGACTGTGAACTAATGATACTTATTGCTTGAAGTAATACTAGTTCGTTTGATGAGTGTAGAGTGGATGAAGATCCACTCGACCATTTGTGACGAGGAGGTAGGACTATATACCTCTTCGCAGCATTGCCAGTGACACTGCTCCTGCTCCTTCCCTCCAGAGAGTACCCTCCTCATCAAGTACTGCACAGGGATCTCCAAGGAGGCACCTCCTCCATATCAAACCTTGTCCCTCTTGTCTTTCCTGAGCTGTGTCAACTTTATCGACACTGCTCCTCCTCTCCATGTCCCTTTCACCAGTGTCCTATACACAGATCTCCTTCCTTTAACCAGCGACGGTTCTCTTCTACTCCTGTCCTGTGGGCCCCTGAGTGGTAACCGACCACTTGTCACTGAGCTCGGTCCCTCTCACATGTGAATCATCGTACGGACATCCTTACTACCGATCTCCGCAGAATCTGCCACACAATCTCGCTTGCTGCAGATTCTGGTGGGATTCGTGATATTGATGATGCTCGTGCCGATTTCGCTGTGGTCTGCCATAGAGCAGATTCTATTGCCGATCTCAGTGAACTCTGTCGCAGCTCCTACAATCTACCCGATTCCACGATTCCTGCGCTACCTTCATATGTGTCATGGGCCTGGATGCTCAAGAAGCAGGAGGGTCACTGGTTCATATGGAAGGAGCACAGGTATCGAAGATCTAGTCAATACCAGTAGAGAGCATGGTCGTAGTGCAGTCTCCATGGAGACCATGGACTCCTATGGACTCACATGCAAAGGAGAACCAAGCCACATGCGAGGAGGGCCAGGCACAGCCACGAGGAGGACCAAGCTCAAGGAGCAGGCACAGCCACAAAGAGGACCAAGCTCAGATGGTTACCACTCAGGGGCTCGAGAGACAAGAGTCATAGGACACTGGCAAGCAGGTCCTGAGGAAGAGGAGCAGTGTCGAGGGAGTCGACACCAGGTCATGAGGAGGAGGAGCAGTGTCGAGGGAGTCGACACCAGGTCATGAGGAGGAGGAGCAGTGTCAAAGGAGTCGACACCAGGTCATGAGGAGGAGGAGCAGTGTCAAAGGAGTCGACACCACTCAAGAGGCACAGGGGCACCAAGCAGGAGAGGCCCCTGAGCAGTACTCGATGAAGAAGGTACTCTCTGGAGAGAGAGCAGGAGCAGCATCGCTGGCGATGCTGTGAAGAGGTATATAACCATGCTTTCTCATCATCATAGGTCGAGTGGATCCTCATCCACTCTACTCACCATAACTAGTTATCACTTCAGCATAAGTATATATTAGTTTCAGTCAGCATAGCAGCAATCTATCAAGGTTGCTCCTCATCGTAGTGTGTGTGTTGTATCACCACTACCTGACATCCGAAGGCGCCCATAGCAGGTTAGCAGTCTGGATCAAGATAGAACCGAAGGCAGTAGTCCACTGTGGTCTGGGGATCACTTCAAGCATCAAAGTCAACACACTGGACACTCATGTTGATGCCACCAACCTTATCACCAACACCATCAACCTCATTCTCATCAACACTCACCAACCTTATCACCAACAGCATCAACCTCATCATCATCAACACTCACACCAGACCTTGGTGTCATCATAGCATTGATATTGATCGTGCCGAGCTACCCCTGAATGGAGTGTCCACAGAGGTCAGCCGAAACCTACAATAGTATATACAACGAACGCCACCTGCTGTCACTGCGCAACTTGATAGTCACCGATACCGAGACAATAGCTGTCGCACAGTTTGATAGTCACCGAGTATCTCGACAGACTGACCTGGGTTTCAGGCACGAGACCCCCTGACAATATGAACTTCGGTCTTTCCTCGTTCTGCGCACCCAGGCCCATGACACAGCTCTTCTCCCTCCCACTGGTGACAGTTCTCCTGGTCTTCATCTTGTGACCCCCTGAGTGGTAACCAGCTGCATGCTTCTGAGCTCGGTCCCCTTCTTGGCAATGCTTGGTCCTCCTTCACATGTGAAGTTTGCCATATGACCATCTTTGCCACTGATCTCCACAGAATCTGCCATACAATCTTGCTTACTGCAGATTTTGGCAGGATTCATGATATCAACTTCACTCACACCAATCTAGGTGAGATCTGTAATAGAGCTGTCTCTACTACAGATCTTGGTGAACTCTGCTGCAAATCCTACGATCTGCCTGATTCCTTGATTCCTGTGCTCCCTTCATATGAATCGACAGATCTTCCTGCTTCCGGCACATTCAGACCTGTGACAGGGTGTTCCTGTGTCTTAATGTGGTATTCAGCCCGCTGTTGCTTGCAGATAGCAGCCTGATGACAGCTGCTGCCATCTTCAACAACTGACAGGCTGTCAGGGTATGCACTAACAGCAGTTACAGCATCTGGGAGTGGGCCATTGATGATCCAATCATGATATCTGACAGCTGTGAGGTTCTTGGCGGGATCCCATTGATTAGCTGACCCTGGCTGCTTCTTTCTTGGAGCCAATGGGAGCACAATCAATGGGGTTTTAAGGTTGAGTGCAATGCTGGCCCATACCTGGATGCTGAAACAGCCAGAACAGAATGTTGGAACCATGTTGTTGATGTCTTCTCTAGTGTTTTTCCAGCAACTAACCCATGTGTGTCTGGGCCAGTAGCCAACCTTGACAGCTGCCTCATCTGTGAATAGCACACCCCTCCAATCAGTTGTGCCATTAGCCTTGGCCCATTCTAGACATTTATGCCAGTTTTTGGCTGTCAGAAATGGCTTTTGGAGTGCAATCTGGCAGTTAATATTGGCCCAGTATGCTGCATTCCAGAGCTGTGTAACTGGAATGCCACCAAGCAATGATGACAGCTGTTGCCATGATAGAAACAGGTTTTTGAGTACCTCATGCTGAAGGTATTGGTCCAAGGTAGCTGTCCAGGAGCACAGATGGCCAGATCGTGCTTTTGTTTTGAAGGTACCATGCTCCTTAAAGTTATGGATGGTCTTGTGAACTGCTGTCTTGGAAATGCTGCTTAGCTCTGCAATTCATCAAATTGGCAGCCCAGTATCATGCATTGCAATGATTGAAGCATGCTTGCTTGTAGAGAGCTCATTGCCACAGACCATATCAGTGTTTGAAGTGTTCTTGATTAGTATGATGGTAGTGCTATTGCTCAATGATGACAGCAACCCAAATGCAGGGTAACCGGCTAAATCGGGAAATTACCCGATTGTCCCCAAACTTATGCACAGGGACTGTACGTGAGTATTACTCGTTGAAGCAATCTGACAGCTGATTCGCAATGACCTGGCTTGGTAGCCTCGACAAGTATGCGGTGAAAGCGTTGCGGTCGGCCTTGTCCTGTATCTTGGGCACGAATCGCATAGACCCTTGGACGTGATTCTGTTCAACAAGTTTGACGATGAAAGGCGTGTAGCCGATTGGCGATCGCTTCGAATTGGCTGTGATGACGAGAGAAGGAGAGCCGAAAGAATCAGCGTTCGTTTCAATTTGAACAGAAGGCGAGGTCTGAAGTTCAACTTACCGAAGGTCCACAACCCGTCCCAGTCCTTGCTTTGGATGAGGGTGTCCAGCTTGATGTTCCAGTATCGCTTGTCTGGCACTTTGAAGTCGGACCGTAGCTTTTCTGCCTTCTTTGACATGTTGCGGAAGAGAAGTTGACGGATCGTCTCATTTAATGACAGACCAGTGTACTGGCTGCGATGTCCATCTTCTTTTTCGAGCGCTTGCTGGAACGCCAGCAAACGAATCTGTTCGTCCACGAGCTGCGAGCATCACAGATCCAAGGCAGACAGAATGTATCAATATGGTTAGCACCACGCTTCTTTCGATTCTGGATCCAAACTCAGAGCATACCTTGGCCTCGAGAACCCTCTCTTTATCCTCTCCAAAAAACTTCATCGCAGTCTTGAGCTTGAAGATCTTGTCTGGCAGCTCGCTTTCGGAGACGTTCTGCATCGCGTTGGCTTCCTCGAGGGCGAGGATGGCCGAGTCGGTTCTTCGGTCATCCTGGTAGTAGAAGTCCTTCAGCAAGTCACGGTCCACCTCTTTGGCATATGCTTCGAGCAAGTTGGATGCCAACGAGAGGTATTGGCGTGCAGAAGCCAACTTGACTGTGGATCGCGAGCGGTTATTATTCGTCTGTCCCGGAGGTGGTAGCATGGCATCGGAAACGGGCGCTTGAACGATTCGGAAGAAGTCACCACGGGACAGCTGGCTTTTGAGGCGTAGCAAGACATGATAGATCAGGTCGGTGTCTCCGGACTCAATCGCTTTGACAAGAGCGAGCTTGTCCTCGCGCATGTTGAGCAGCAACGGTACTTGGTCGATGGCACGAGCCTCGTGATCGAGTAAGCGGGTGGCAAGATTTCCTCGTCCTGCCTTCCAGGCAGTCCAGGCAACTTCAGCAAAACTCACAGATGCGCCGCGGTCTCGGGACGAAGGGCTCGTCCCTTTGGAGGATGCAGCAGGTTCCGTTGCCGACAGAGACTGGCCAGGTGGAACGTGATCATCTTCGGGCGCACCGAGCTCGCCAACATGCTCGTTGAGGGTTGTCGCAATGCGAAACTTGTGCACGATATCTTGACACAATTGTTCCTCAGCGGCTGAGATGGCTGACGCTGAACCGCCGAGTGGAGGCCTCGTCCTTGCGATTTTGGCTCTGGCCCAATGCTTGAGGATCGGATCGGGCCTGATATGAAGGAAGCGAGCGATCTTGAGCGACAGGAAGTGATGATTGTGAGCCGTGAGCCGTGAGAGCAGTGCTGTTGGTCCTGCAGTGATGTACTGCTCGTATGATATAGGAAAGCCGATCTGATAATTGCGCGCTGCATTCAGCACACGCAGCGTCCGAGCCATGTCCACGAAGGCGGTTGAATCGTACAACTCGATGAAGCTCTTGCCGAAGGATGCAGCTTTCAAGAGACGCTTCTGCCAAGAGAGGTCCCACTCATAGGCGGCGGCTCGAAGACAACAATCAACTGCATCGGGCAAGCTGCTCCTGATGGCACGTATCCCCTCGTCTGCCCTGCTGCTCTTTGCACTGAACTGTTCAGCTGCTTCAAAGAGTAAAGCCGCCGGATCGTTGGAGCCAGGCCGGAAGACACGGCTGGACGCGTCGGAGACCTTTTGAAGGAACTCGTGTCTATCTGCGGCGACGATACGAACACCATCAATTTCGCTGACCAGATGAGTTGGGCCGGAGTAAGGATAGCGGATTGATTCACCAAAAGGACCGACCATGACTACCTCGTCGTTGAATGCCAGAGCGATGGTATTGTTACCACACCACTGAACAGCGCGAACACCACTACCTCCGATGCCTCCCTTGCTTGCGCCGGTCTCTGCGGATGTGCTCCCACCGTTCATAGAGCGGAATGGATCGTCGACGGTGGAAGCATCTTGATACGCTTCACTGGCACGAATTTCGAATTCACTGAGACTGCGAGAGAAATCGGAGCTGACGACCCAGAGGACAAGGTCGGCGGTCATGAGAGCCAGAAGCTTGCCGTTAGGTGAAGGGCGGACAACATGGAAGGGACCGCGAGAGAGGCGCATGTCCTGACATGCGGTCTCGATGGAAGAAGGGCCTGCGGCTGAGCGGGTGAGTGAGAGCAGGGTCTGCCCTTTTGCGATGAGCACTGTCGTGAGGCCTGACTGTGAGACGTTGGGTGGAACGATGGCCCAGGAAGTCGGCTGGGTGGAGTGTCGAGTTGACTGCGACTGAGACTGCGCTTGGTCAAAAGGTGGTAACAGCTCTGGAATTGGTGGGGGAGCTGTATCGTTGTCGAAAGAAGGAAGTGCATATCCATATTCCCCTCCCCCACTGAGACTGACCGCACCAGCATACTCTCCAGCTTCGGGGTCCAGATGCAATCCGGGGAAGCGCCATTCCACAAAACGTCTTGCTCCAACGTAAGCGACCAGGCCGCCAGCCCAGATACAAGCATCGAGGACACCGGTCTCTGTAGCCTCTGTGCCGAGTGAATGCTGGGTATAATACGAACTTGAAGTGGCTTCAATCGGCGCGGGCCTGTTGCGGGAAGCTGTTGTGCCTGCCGCTTGGTCGGTAGAGGCTGGGCATGGAGAGAGGAGGGTGTATAGGCGAACGGTTCCCTCTTCGAGCACTACGACGAGCTGTTCGAGAGCATTGAAGTCGAGAGCAATGATGCGCAAGGAAGGATCGCAGGGGATGCTTTCGATGAGCTGGCCAGCGGCAGTGTAGACCAAGATCTTTGGTTTGAGGAGCGACGCTTTACCCAAAGAAACGAGGCGCGTTGGATCACGCACAAGGGCTATAAGCCCTCCATTGCTAGATGCTGCAACGACGTAGTCTGCAAGACTGTCGATCCCCCAATTGAGCGCATAGAGCTCAGTGCGTCGATAGAAGGTGTCCTGGAGGCTGGTCCATTCGGCGGTCGGATGGTTGGCCTGCACCATTGGAGCCGAATCAATGCACGAAGCCGTACGGTCTGGCCGTTCCCGAAGAAGCCGCGGTCGCTACTGAAGTAATGTGGGAAGATGGTGCCGGAGAGAAGGATGGTTGCGGATCGAAGCGATGAAGATATAGACAGAAACGTGTGGTCTGTGCTGTTGTTGCTCGCTCTTAGCAGTCGAACAGCAGCAGGAAGGTGGAGGATCGCGTTTGAAATTTGCAGAGAGCCTTCAACATAGCATGAACAGCTCTCTCTCTGCTTTTTGGACATGACACCAACAACCCAGGCCGCATATCAGACTTTCTCGTCGCTCACCACTCATAAGAGGATCATTGCAGGTAAGGTCTAGCAGCCAAAGCTCAAAGAAGCACCGAAAAAGGAGCGTCAGCATGTCGTCTTCACCATCGCAAAACGGCGCTTCTTCGTCACGGAATACAGCCGAACTCACACGATCACCGCCATCAGGAAAGAGAGGCAAGCTCTCGCCACACGAGAGGCAAGCACAAGCCATCTCAAAGCTACTCGCAAACCCAGACAAGGAAGTTCACATCCCTGAGGGACCCAAGGAGAAGTCAATACGACCACCTCGGGATGTGATGAAGAATGTTTCTGGTTCCAGTGCGGGCGCAGGATCAGGCGAATTCCACGTCTACAAGCAACAACGTCGGCGAGAGTATGAACGCATACAGCTCATGGAAGAGCAAAACAAAAAGGTGCGTCGATAATCGAGCCCAAAATCTGCGCGGTCGTTGTTATGACAGAGCGATGGTACTGACTCATCTTGCGATTCGATCACACACAGCTGACCGAACAAGAAGAGTTTGATCGCAAGCGTGCCGAACTTGAGCGCAAAGACGAAGCCAAGACCGAAAAGAATCGTGCAAAGCGCGAGAAGAAGAGGCTTGCAGCGCTCAAAGCACAGGCAGCTGCCAAAGGCAAGGATCCTTCCGAGATCTCGACAACCGAATCTGATGCCAGGACCAACGGAGAACCGGAAGCAAAGAAACAGCGATTGCACAATGACGCCGTGGAACGATTCCAGTTCAAACGCAAGGATGGCTTGGATAGCGACGGCAGTGCCCACGAGGGATGAAGGGCCGATTGCTGTAAGACTGCTCAGAAATCCATCTCAGACTCGCCTACAGCCATCAAGTCATCTTTACTTCTATCACTGTATCTGTACTATATTGTTATGCATTCCGAAACGAGAGACGATCGCTAGATTGCGCAGAAGCTGGCTACAGGCATGCTCCGATGTTGCACAACCTCAGAGAAGAGTCTGAGTAAACTTGATCCAAGTACCGATCTGTTTGTACGTCTTGGCTGCTTTGGAGATCTCGGTGTCGACCGAAAAGTAGTCATGCACCTCATGAGGGTAGACATGGTGAACCACTTTGCAATTGAGCTCGCCTGGGCTCAGAACGATTCTCTGGTTAGAGGTGGATGTAGGCAGGTTCTTGGCTTTGCGCAACAGGTTGGCAAAGTGTTGACCTTCATCCAGCAGCGTCTCGCATCCTCCGTTCGCGATGAAGCATGGAGGCATCGCAGCCATCTCAGCGATCGACTTGTTCGAGTGTGTGTTCCAAGGGTCCGAGAGTGGGTAGGGCAGCTTGCGCAAGCCCTGTGCAGCAACGCCCCATTCTTCGTACGACAAAGCAATAATGTCCTGACCCACATTCTTCTCTCGACTCTTGAACGACACGTCTTCGGGAGCAATCCATGGCGAGAGCAGGATCAGTCCTGGAATCTTGAACGAGTCCAGGTCATTGAAAAGCAAATGCTTGAAAGAGCGCAGGTATCGTTCCAGCTGCAGAGTCAGCCAAGAGCCGTGACTGTCGCCACCAATGTAGATCTGCTCTGGAGAGTAGCCGAGCTGATTGACCAAGTACAGGTAGGCCGAGACACCTTGATACAGCTGCACTGGCGAAGCTGCGAAGGGTGCAAGGTTGTAGTCCACCGAGAAAATGTCGATGCCGGCCGAGCGCGCAAACGTCTTGGCCAAGTTCTGGCCCATGTGGATATCGCCTGCATTGAATGTGACACCGGCACCACCATGGAAGTAGCACACAACCGGTCCAGTCGGCTTGGAAATCGAGCGAGGTTGAGGCGGGACCAGGTGCGGTTTGTGCGTGAACCAGAGTGCGCGAATGCTCCATTTGAGCCACTTGGCATCGAGCAGAGGAGGACCGGTGTAGACATCCGTCACAATCTCACGTCGATCGTTGGGGCTTGTTTTGACGGCAAGGATACCGTCGAGGCACTCGGGACCGGCAGGTGGGATCCAGACCTTGTCGGGTCGGCCATGAGTTGCGTTGAGCTTGAGCGCCTTGATGTTCTCCTTGGCTAGCACGACGGAGCCACCGGGGCCAGAGAGGTTGAAGCATGAAACCACGGTTGCGATCAAGGTGTTGCGATCGCGCAAGCCACCCTTGCGTGGGACGATGGGCTGAACTCGGAAGCGGATCAGGTTGCGCATCACACGTCGAACGACAAGGATGTAGACCGCGGTGATGTAGCTCCAGTTACGGTTCAGACGAAAGTGAGGGATGATAGAGCGCAACATGTACCACGGGATAGTGATGAACGACGTTGGCAAAAAGTAGAGCTGGAAGAGCAGCAAGCGCAGGAATGGCAGCAGGAAAGCTGGCTTCGGCGGCGAAGCACGCTGGACGGCAGCGAGCACGTTGGGATCGACCTTGCGCTTTTCGCGCAGGCTCACATCACTGAAGCCTGCTGCTGGCTTGGCGTCGAAGCTAGCAGCGGACATGATGTGCTTGTGATCGATCGATGCCAGACGTGCAGAGCTTCCGAGAGAACGAAGGGAGGCGGGGAGTAGCGCGATAGATGGACCTATGACGTGACTCGAGACGCTGAAAACAAAGCGTGAGGAGCCCTGGCGGTTGCTTGATGTCGTAGGAATGATAGAGGGGGACGATAGGACAGCGACATTGATCGTCAAGAAGGACGAGTTGATCCGACCGCACCAAGAAAGAGCTTGGCGGCTCCTGTTTCTTTCTGACTGAGCTCAAGGTTACACTACCCCACACTCTGCAACCGAGGTAAACAAGCTTGTGAAAGGCACTCTCTCAATTGCCCGATTTTCAATTGCCTGATTTCCAATTGCCCGATTTTCCAATGTGGTTGGTTGTTTTGCTCAGATCCCAGTCTAACCCTAACCCTAACTTTCCCGGCCAAGATATTTTGTGTGGCCTAACATGATTGACTTCTCTTTTTTTTTTTTTTTTTCGTTTTTTTTTTTTTTTTGTTTTTGTTTTGGCCGGACTCTGGAGCTGTGCAGGCGAGTAGCGGCATTTTAGAGCTCCATCTGGAGACTGAGCTAGCGTGTGTGTGGGTGTGTGTGGGTGTGTGTGGGTGTGTGTGTGTGTGTCTTACTCTGCTCAACCTCCTCCTAACATCATACTCTCGTCACGCTTCACAGCCTCACTCGACAGACCTGACACCAGAGGGCCTTGCGCGAAGAGCGATTGCCAGCTACTCGACCCGGTGGCGAGTTTATCGATCCGAGACCCACAAAGGTCTAAGCCGCACTCAAAGCTTCCAAGGCGCATAGACCCAATCTGAAACAAGCAACCATGGCGAGCAAGGCCGCGATCAAGCGCGTGAGTAGCAGGCTATCATCAAGAAAGTGTTGATGCTCGTTGCTGACATTCTCGAGTTCCGATCTTCAATATCGTCTCTTCGCTGAATGTAGCTCACCAAAGAGGCTCAGCTCATGGACAAAGACCCTCCGCCGCTCGTCTACGCTAGACCACGTGAGGACAACATTCTTGAATGGTACGTTGAAGCTGCCACAGACTAGAAAGAGTGGATATGTCGAGAGCTCCCGAATCTCACACCGCTTTCCCTATCTCGGCACAGGCATTACATCTTGCGTGGCCCGCCCGACACACCCTACGCCGGAGGCGAGTACCATGGTCAGCTCCTTTTTCCGCCCGAGTTCCCCTTCAAGCCACCCGGCATCAAGATGCAGACGCCAAGTGGCCGCTTCGCACCCAACACCAAGATCTGCACTTCGATGAGTGACTACCACCCCCACACCTGGCAACCAGGCTGGAACACTTCGACCATCTTGATTGGCCTCCTCTCCTTCATGTGCTCCGACGAGATGACCACCGGGTCCGTGACTGCCTCGGACGCCGATCGACGCAAGCTTGCGGCCCAGTCGCATGCCTTCAACCTGACTCAAAAGAAATTTTGCCAAATCTTCCCAGAGTACGCCGGGCCCGAGATCAAGGACTTGCCCAACATGGGCGACAAGGCTAAACTCAACAGCACCTCGACCCAGTCAGACGGGGCTCTCCATGGGGACGACAAGACACAAAAGGTAGGACTCGATACCCTTGTTTCGTCACCGGCATCGGGTTCTACTGCATCGCAGGGTGCGTGAAACAGCTTTGACTCGTCCGCTCACGGACGAGACTATGTAGCGATCCCAAGGGGCCGACTGCCTTGCAGGAGATCCCTTTCCGTACAAGACACAAGTATACTGACATCCATTGCGTCTCTGTTGCCATCTTTCCTGTACAATGTCATACTACAACAGGCTTAAGAAATCGTTCTCAACCACCACAAAGTCTCGATATCACATCATCAAAGCCTAGCGAGACACGCTCAGCTGCCGCTGGCAGTGCGGGCGAAGGTCACCGACGCGGTGAAGAAGTAAGACCAAGAAACAACGGGCGAAGAGATTTGTTCGGAGTACGCAGCTCCCTGGTGGTATTTGCTGTTCTAGCATATCTCTTTATCAGTCGTGTAATGAACGCCAGTGCGAATGGTATCATTTGATACTTTGGACACCTACCTGTTCCTATCTGATCGCATTTCTCCATAGCATCCATGTTTGCATACCATCGTAACGCATCTCCATCCAGCACTTCGATTACCTAGCCCGAGCGATGCCGGCATGCTTTCAGAGACTACTTGCCAACGCCTCCTCTCCATCGATGATTGCGCTGACATCACGACCCTCTTACAAGTCAGGGACTGTCTCTGATCTCTGGTCGTCTCATAGTGTGGCATCACCGCGGAGTAGCACCTACGCCAAGATGACATGCTCACACGGTGGTTAGCAAAAGCAGATCTGATATGGATCGGGAATGAGTTGAGCCACATTCCACCATTTACGCGGTGAGCCGGCGAAATCTTAACATTGATAGCGCGCCAATATGCAGAGGAGAACAACACCGCCAGACCAACACTTGCTCTCGAGTCCTGTCCAAGCCAAGCTGCACGACGATGCTCTATCAAGTAACAACACAATACCTTGCATGAGAGTCCATTCACAGCTCCTTATCTCTCCACGTCCTACACTCGATTTCTTGACACGAACAACAGCAACCGCATCCTCACCACAAACACGCCGCGTGCGACCTTTTCGGCCGACGGGATCGACACCATTTCTTCTCAGGCGTACGACTCTTATAAGGATCGGTACTAAGGCATCAAGATGACGCTTTGCGGGCTACTCGGGAGTGGTGCAGAAGGAGGACCATTATCCTCTCGCAGAGGTGGCAGAACAGCACGCAAGGTGCTTGTGCTCGGAGATGGAGCATGCGGTAAGACGAGTCTCCTCTTTGTCCTCATCAAGCACGAGTTTCCACAAGCATAGTAGGCAACCCTTTCCTCCTCATCTCAAACCTTTCTGACCGCCTCAGAGTCACTGACAATGATCTCGATTCGACCTTGACGCCTTCTCTTTTTGCTGTGCAGCGAACCAACAGTGTTTGAAAACTACGTCCACATCATGCGGCCTTCGCCGGGAGGGCCCGAGGTCGAATTGACACTGTGGGATACCGCAGGACAGGAAGAGTTCGACAAGCTTCGCAGCTTGTCGTATGCTGACACCCACGTCATTGTCCTCTGTTTCTCTACGGACAATCCTGTCAGCCTTGAGAATGTCGAGTCTCGCGTAAGTCGAAGCCCTGCCTTACCCTTCCTTTCGCCAAGACGTTCCAATCAACAACTGACCATCTGTATGTCCGACCATCACAGTGGCTGCCCGAGATCCGTGATCATTGTCCAGGCGTCAAAGTCATTCTTGTGGCTCTCAAATGCGATCTGCGTGACGCACCGGAGATCGCAGAGAAACGCCTTGCAGGTGCGCCGCTCCCTTTGACGTACAATCACGGCGTCGCTGTCGCCAAACGCATCAAAGCATCAAGATACCTCGAATGCTCAGCAAAGATGAACCTCGGCGTCGACCAAGCCTTTGTCGAGATCGCAAATGTTGCAATTGGCAGTAGAGCAAAGGGTAAAGACTCAAGCAACACAGGCTGCATCATCGCATGAACCAAGTTCAAAGAACATCCCGAAGCAGTAAGACTCTCCTGTACCAAAAGCTGTATTCTACACTATCGCATCAGCTGCCTAAGCTGTCAAAGGTCGACGATGCCAAGATACCCATCATACGATTCACCAATTCATGCGTCTCATCCGCTTGGCGTTGTTTGAGTAGCGATTAGGCGCGTGTCTCAGCACGATCGGCGATGCATCGGTTGTGAATCACATTCATTTGCGAGCGTGTATCTACGCGCTACCTTCCTCAGTCATCGTCCATGTTCTTTCGCTTTGCCTTGTCTGCACGCTTCTGGAACAGCTTGTGACGGCCCTGTTCCTTGTTGAGCGCCTTGTTGACAGACCTATTGCGTTCGATGTACGACATATGCTGGGCACCACTGAGCGCATTCAGCGAACCTGTTGTTCGTGAAGCCTTGGCCACAGCGGCATTCATCGATGGCCCTCCTCGACCACCACTGCCCCCGCCGCCTCGATGGGCAGCGCTGCCAAACTCGGTGCCTTGCAGGTCGGAACCTAGATCTGCGTCCGACTCGTTTGCAATGAGAACGCTCTGGAGCAGCTCAATCTGCTCTGCCTGACTCTTGTACACCAACCCCGGCATGTGCTCCATCCCGACAAGATGTGTGATGACTCGGAATGCGTAACCCTGGTCGATCAAAAACTGCTGTCGCTTAGTCGAGTAGAACATTTCAGCGGTGTCCTTGCTGACCAAACTGTAAAAGAAGGCATTGAAGCCCTCGTCGTTCCTTCGCTTAGCTCGAAGGATACGTCCTAGGCGCTGTGCCTCTTGACGTCGCGATCCGAAATGCGAGGAGATCTGGATCAGACACGTTGCTTCGGGCAAGTCGATCGATGTATCTCCAACCTTGGACAGGAAGATCGTGTTGACCAAAGGGTTGTGCTGGAAGTTCTGCAGAATACGCATGCGCTCTACATGAGCTGTACCGCCGTGAATGTAAGGCTTCTTGAGCTTGATCGCATAGGCCTCGAGTGCGAACACGTTGTCCGAAAAGACGATGATCTTGTCGCCTCGATTCTCGTGATAGTCAATAAGGAATTGACAGGCTTGAAACTTGTTTGGGTTCATGCAGTAGAGCAGCATCTTTTTTCGGCTCTTCTCTCGCAAGTACTCGCGGTAAAACTCGGGCGTCATCGGACACCACACTTCGGCGCATTGAACGGTGGCGATATGACCCTTGGCGGCCAAGTCCATCCAGTTGGCCTCATAGAGCTTCGGGCCGACTAGGAAGTTAAGCTCGTCGATCTTTTCGTCTTCGCGCACTAGCGTGGCTGTCAAGCCAAGCTTTGAGTGCGCCTTGATCTTGGTCAATACTCTTCGGAACATGCTTGCGGGCACTACGTGCACCTCGTCGAGCAAGATGAAACCCCACTCACGGCTCTCGAGAAAATTCATCATCTTTTGGGATGTGTGTGAACGTTTGCCGGTGTTGGCCACCATCGAATAGGTGGAAACGACGATGCCCGAAGCCCCCGAGAACTTTTCCTTCTGATCAGCTGTGAAGACACTGATCTGATTGTCTTGGATGTTGCTCCACTGCAGAAATTGCTGTCTCCACTGCATGACGCTGACACTACTGGTGCACAGCACGAGGCAGCTCTTCTTGATTGTACACGCTGCAGTGATACCGACGAGCGTCTTGCCGGCACCGCATGGCAGCACAATGATCCCACTTCTTGCACGACCGTTACCAAACATCTTGGCCAAACTCTTCTCCTGATAAGGTCGAATATGTGTGATGGGCTTGAGGTCGATCTCCAGGTCAGCGTTGAGGTGATCGTTGCGGAAATCGTACTCTTCAAGCATGGGGTAGCCGATCTCGTTGCACCGCTTCTTGACCTGTTCGATGTACTCTTCTGCAATTTCGAAGCTGTGCACTGTATCGTCTTCGTCCAGTTCGTCCGCCTCGTCGACACCGATGATGGCCGAGAAAAGCTCGGCCTCGTCTTCCCTGCGTGCTGCTTCAGCGTTCTCGGGCGCAGGTCCCGTGGCGCCTGCGCCGTTGCTCGCTCCTGCGCCTGGGCGATTGGCGTTGGCCGATGCAGGTGCTTGACCAGCAGCGGCAGCTTGTTGTCTTGCCTTCCTGGCAGCACTTTCGGTTCCTGGAATGACAAGATCACCACGAGTGGGGGCTTGCGTTTTGCCCAACACTTCCATACGTCCAGACCTGGCAGCATTTGGATCTTCGCGCACTCGAGCTGCTCCGATGATGCTGTCCTGCAAAAGGGTCTGGAGAATCTCGGGATGCGCGCTCTCAACAAAGTATTTGTTCTGCTTGAGAACAAGCTTGATCTTGCCGAAGCTGGCCGTGTACTCGCGAATGAAGGCAACCACAGCGTCGGGCACTGGCACCTTGGAGAGCCTGTTAAGGACCTCGATGATATCGTTGGGTTGCAAACCGACGGAGACAGCAGCGTACAGCGAGTAGGGGGTGAGTTTGTATTCATGGATGTAGGCAGGTCGACTGACAGGTTCGGCAATGGCAATCAAGAAGTCTTGGGCCTGCTCGGCGAGTGGACTGAAACCTTCGAGGATGATGTGGCCATCATCTGGTGAGATCCAGAGTGGTCGACTGGCATGATCAAGCTTGAGCGGCATTTTGGTGAAGTCGCGAGTGTGGAAACGTAGCTCGCCAGACTCGTATTGGTCCTGCTCATCGTCTTCGTCCATGGCTGAGCCGTTGAAGCGTGGGGCTGCGCCCGAAAGAGGGTGCTGGCGGGCAATCGCATTTGTTGGTGCCGATGGTGCAGCTTCAGTGGCTTTTGCCTTTTTGCCTAGAGCGCCTTTGCCCTTCTTTTTGCTAGCACCTGTATAGTCGTCTCCAGAATCCTCGGAGAAAACCCCATCATCCAAGGCGAATGGCTGCTCTCCGTCCTCGTCGTCATCATCTCGATAGCTGACAGGTGTGTTGCGGGAGCTCTGGGCTCGAGAGGCTGCAGCTGAACTTGGAGCGTTGGCACCGTTGCTCGCTGCATTCGAGTTTGGCCTCAGCTTGACGGTAAGGCGAGGTCGAGAGCCCTGACCCTGGTCGTTGGAAGACATCTTTGCTTCTTAGCCGTGACCCTAGAATCTGTTCGAAGGCGTGTGTTTAATCTGAGATTCAGTCGAAAAAGGCGAGATCAGACTCAGTGTTGGGTAGCAGCCGATAGAGAGAGAGAGAGAGAGAGAGAGAGAGAGAGAGACAGAAGAGAAAGGACGACGCTGATGTCTGCCTCGTGGTTGCCGTATGCTGATGTTCTGGCATCTATCGGCCTGAGCCTTTTCCGAATCACAACGCCTCGCAGGCCATATGGAGATGCAACAGGACGGTAGCAGGACAAACGAGATCTGCCGTTGTCCGATGTGGGGGGCTTCCAGATGGTAGGAGGTGATGGTTCACGGTGCAAGAAGTAATGCGACTGCTTGACCGAAGCTGACATAATCCCCCATGTCACCTCCTCGCCTTCGTCAAGAGCGGTTTGAGAACGATTTGCTTCCCTGAACCTCCGGCGACATCCTCTGGCAAATCAATTCGACTCAGCACTACCAGCGAATCCTCCACCTAGACCCAGCTCAGCAGCTTGGCTGACTAAAGGTGAGTGACAATTTCGTTCTGAAATGCTGTCAATAGACATACGGCCTAACACGTCTGCTTATTTCTCCACTTGCAACGGCCTCCGGCCAGTCAATGAAGCCGACCACATCCCCATCTCGGCAGCTGGTCTTGTTTTTCTTTCAAGCCAAAACACCATCATCATCACTCTTAGCACGAGCTCAAGTGAAAACATGACAATCATCGTTCATCATCTCAACAACTCACGCTCCCAACGCATCCTCTGGTTGCTCGAGGAGATGGGCATTGAATACGAGATCAAACACTACGCACGCACTCCACAGGGCGTTGCCCCACCTGAACTTCTCGAGGTCCACCCAACAGGCAAGTCGCCACTCATCACGGATACCAACAATGGCAAGAACAAGGTCATCGCTGAATCCGGAGCCATTGTTGACTACCTCATCCGCAACTACGGCCAGGGACGCTTCGTACCTAAGGATTCAGAGCGAATCGAAGACGATGTCTTCTACAACCACTTTGCCGAAGGCTCCCTTATGCCAATGCTCGTCATGAAGCTAGTCTTCAGCATGATTCCTGCCAAGATGCCATTCTTCGTGCGACCTATCGGCAATGCCATCGTCAACAATGTCAACTCGGCGTTCATCGACCCAGACCTCAAGCGCAAAACCGACTTTGTCGCCGATGAGCTCGTCAAGAAATGCAATTCGGGCAACGACTGGTTCGCCGGCGGTGACAAGGATGGCAACCCTACCGCTGCCGACTTCCAGATGGCTTTCCCGCTCGAGGCTGCTCTTTCTGGGCGTATCTCGAACCTCCCAGCACCGATCAAGACCTATGTGGACAAGATTCATGCACGACCTGCCTTCAAGCGAGGTCTCGAGAAAGGTGGCCCTTATAAGTATGCGTGAGAAGTTGGCGATGGCCCAACACTCCTCATCGCCTGTCGAGTATTCTTGGATTCAACCGCAAATCAATTGTATTGCTGAGGATCCAATTGGAAGACATTTTCGTTTCGCTTCAGTCTCACCAGACTAATGACCTGTTGAAATCGACCAGCTACTGAGTAATAAACTCCATTTGATATTGATGTGCGAGTAAGAGGCACCGGCTGATAGCAAAGCTATGAGGCAATCGTGATAGCAAAACTGAAAAAAAAAAAAAGGTCATACGCTGTTACACGGAATCACAAAGTCAAGTCTCAAATAACCCTGAAAGGCTTAAATTCGCCATTTAAAATCAGACCAGGAAAAACTCACCAATTCTACATAGAGCCAGTTGACTAAAAAAAACATGCTTGCTGTCATTACGACCCGGTGAGTAGCCACAATGCCATCTCTGACAATCAAAGCTCAAGCTCAGGGTAGATTGCGCTGTATCACAAGATCTGCAATCGGCGAATGAGATGACAAGAAGCTGAGCTCGTGTGAGAGTCAATTTTTCATGCTATTGCAAATCGCGATATGCGAATAACATGTATATGCGTGGGCGTGTGCTGAGGTGTGTGCTTTTAGTACAACAAATGGGGTGAACGGGTAAGCTTTACAGCGCCCGATGTATGTATGTGATCAGAGATGAGTATGTATGTGATCAGAGATGAGTATGGTGGCCGAGAAAGCCTGTGGATGTCGAGATTGGAAGGAACGGAAACGGTGAAACATGCAAGACGCTGGATCCAAGGGTCGAGAGGATTTAGCGCATGATGATACCGTCGAATCGCTGCTTGAACCAAGCGGCGGTCTCCTCCTTCTTGACACGGTGAGGGGCGCCGACACGCGAGACACGCTGCTTTCGTCGTGCGACACGGGCACCGGCACGGGTCATGCAGACAAAGAAGTCCATACCGAAAATACCGATCGAGGGGTCGTACTTGATACCCAAGTCAATGTGCTCGGTGATACCGAAACCGAAGTTACCGGTGTCGGAGAAGTTGCGGCGGCGGAGCTCGTACTCCTTGACCTTAAGACCACGCTCGATGATCTCCTCGGCCTTGGGACCGCGGATCGTGACGTGGCAGGCGATCTTCTCGTTACGGCGGATACCGAAACCACGGAGGGTGTAACGGGCCTTGCTGGTAACGGGGGTCTGACCAGTGAGCTGTTCAAGCACCTTGGTGGCACGGGTGAGTCTGTCACCCGACTCACCGACGGAGATGTTGACGACGAGCTTGTCGACCTTGAGCTCCTGTAGATGGTCGCAGTGTGAAGTTGTTGGAGATAAGGAGAAGAAATGGTCAGCACGCAGTTCACCGTGGGCACTGTGTGAGATCACGCTATCTGCAAAGAACCGGCTGTACTCTGTTGTCTGTCGATGGGATTGCGGAAGGAAAGCTACTGGCTGTGATTGTGATAATGATGCGTCGAAAGTGGAAACGTCTAGGTTGAGGCTGCAAAGGTGAAGTCGTCGTTGAAAATGGAGCCATGGCTACTAGAGAGCATGGCAGGTTGGAGTCTTGGCCGACAATACGCTGTTGCGACGGAGAGCAGAGACCCTAAGGAGGCCGCAGATGCTCGTGTCACCAACTGCATCCCTGAGCCATGACACGGATCTACCACTGTGGACATGCCACCAATCCTGCAGCATCCGTATCGATCTGCAGTGGTCATGGCTCGACTTGACATTTTTTCCACCATGGATACCTTTTTTGTTGGACTACTGGGCTGAGCTTGCAATGCATGACGTAAAAGTCAATCACGACCGACTTTAACTTCCTTCCGGCTTCTGATGCGGTGAGCCTGTAAGGCGGTGTTTCCAAGTGCTTCTACAACCGATAAAATCGTGACTGCAATGATCTGTGGGCATATTGTGCGTCCAAGGTATGTTGCAAATTGCGAGGTGCTGGTCTTCGCCTTGCTTGCGTGAGAACGGTGGCGGTTGGTGACGCATGCTGGGATGTGTATACAGTCCGGTGTACGAGAAGGGTGGAGAACAAGGTGCTGCGTCGGGTCGATTGTTGATATGATTATGAATGGGGCAGCGTCATGACAAAGTGTAGCCGGGAATTGCAGATGCAATGATGCAATGTATGCTGAAGTAGTGTCGGCATTGGCGTGCTACTGATACGAACCTTCATAGGATTGATTGCTTTGCTGGATTCCGCCATGTTGACTATAGTACGATGCTGTTGATCTTGATGGATGATCGTGACGAAGAGGGTGAAGTTCAACTTGATTTGAGGTTTGCACGCTCAGCTTGCGAAGCTCCGGAGTTGCCAACCCTGAGCGAGACGGTAAGCTTGCCTGCTTGCTTGGCTTGGCTTGACTGTACTCGGACGACTGCATGTCTGCTCAGGAACCTGTCTCCTGCTGTCTCCTGCCTCTTGCGACTGGCCACAATATTCTAAATATCGAAGACTGCTGTTCTGCCTGAATTTATGTTCGGCCGATGCTATTCCACACGTGATTCCAGTCTTTATATTTTTCTTTTTCAGCAGTGAACCGTGGAGTGAGATATTGCGGTCTAACAACCTCCGAATCGGCCTCTGCATATACCAGTCACAATCTGGCTTCCTTGCAGCAACAGCGCCAGCTTGTCATGGCACAGGCGTGCGGAAAGTGCAAGTCAGTATGCAATTAACCCTTCGAGCGATCAGAGAGAGCATCTAAACATACTCTCGGTGACGCGGGAAACTGCTATCTAGCTAAGTGACCACCCCGATCTGTCAAGCTTTTTTCGATTTCTGGGAGAAGCTGAAAAGGACCATGCTCATCTCGATACTTTGTTTGTCATGTAGTAAGTCGCTTTGACAACATCGAGCGAGCAAGCGACGTCAACAGCGAACGGATCGAGGATCACAGAGGCGAGATAGCGATCCGGATATACGTGTGTCTGTCTTTCTCTGACCAAGAGGCGGGGCGTTGTACATTTGAAATTCAGCTTGTCTTGCCTCATATGAATCGCGAGGATGCCCAGAAACCTCATGACCTTGTCTGAGATGCTGATTCTATGCGCGCGCTAGGCTTTGCACATCCTTCGGCTAGGGGTCGAGGGTTGAGCATGGTACCCGATTGCCCACACCCTCTGCCCTAAGCTTGGACTTGACACCATCGCGCTTGACTTTGTGTGCACCACATATGGACAATTCGCAAGACCTGACCCCAGTTGGAACACGTTGACGCTCGAGCGGGACGAGAGAATGACACGTTGTGAACGATAGAACAGAGTTTATAGACCAGACGAGCGGGGACACTGCAAGAGAGTGTTGGGTGGTCTCATAATTTCGGCAAGTGCGCCTCTGAAGCTAGGAGCAACGCAATCCATCAGTTGGTTGAAGACTCTAGCTGAGAGGCGGCGAAGGACCAAGCTTTATCTTTGACGTGTTGTATGGGCTCGATGGGCGCGGGATCGACGTGTTCCATCAGCTGAGCTGAGCCGAGAGCCGCATTCTCACCCTTGTTCCTCATTGAGACATCGGGGCGATCGAAGAATCTGCCTTGCTCTTCTTGCTGGCTAAGTTATAGCGGATGACAGTTGGCCGCAACGTGCTGACATTGCGGTGAAGCTTTCGATTGACTAAACTCTGCCCGAGAGGCTGGGATCAAAGCCTATCATACACAGCTGGTCATAACGGTCTTGACGGTCTGTTCTTCCCGTGGTTCTCCTCTGGCATTGCGTTTAATTGACTGCATATTTGGCTGCTTATCAGTCTGTATGCTGCCACTACATGTGTCGCGATAAACAAGCCTTGCTGTCGCTCGACACTGCCAATAAGCTTGTCGCCTTTGACTGGCATCAGCCGTGACAGCATCGAGAGATCGATGGTGCTGAATTCACAGCTAGATAGGAATAGAATCGACCGAATCGCATCAGTTACAGCTCGCTCCCTCCTTCTGCACGAAACAAGAGAGACAGAAGCGGATGTCTACGTGTAAGGACCGCTGCCGTCTGAGCAGTGTTTGCAATGTAGCACGGCATTCGCGAGAGTTTCGGTCTAGGAATTCGTCGTCACACCCTCGAATGGTGCCGTGACAGCAGTCTTTCTGCCTCTACCTCTCACAGCCTTGGACACCACACCGCAGCAAGAGCGGCACTGGAGCCCTGTGCCTTGTTACCCTGTGCCCAAGTCCAAACCTCTCCTTAGGCCCTTTCGCCCAAAATTTGGTGTGAGCAACAATTCATTCACCGACCGTCGTTTCTCCACACAAAAACGACACAAGCCCAGCAGCAGCGCCCCTAAATTTCAACACTCTAAGCTCGTTCCTTTGCCCTTCTCTCACAGCTCACAGGGGCTACCGGCCTTCTCGCATTGCATAGCAGAGCGACAGAAGCATTTCAGGCTACACTCATAGATAAAAGTGTAGACATTTGAAGCTAGCTATAGAGGGGGGGGGACAAAGGAATGGGTAAAGGGCAGCAAACACGCGCGAGGCGAGACGAGAGTTGTGCCGAACTGTAACGGAAAGCCACACTCATAACTCGCATCACACGGCGAAATGACTGTCTGTCGGAGAGTGCAAACCGAAAGCGAACCATCACATCGCATCACATCACATCACATCACCTCACCTCACCTCACCTCACCTCACCTCACAAGACCTCGAACCAACACTCGAACCAACACTCGGTTCTTGCCTTGCCCTCTCTTCTTGGCTCTCGTGTACACTCTCTGTCCTCACCATCTCTTTTAACCCTCCTGCCCACACGACGTTGCCCTTTGGAGTGTCAGTTGTCTGTATGTATGAGGCTTGCTCGCTCTGAAGCGATCTCGTCAGGAACACCGCTTCTTCCACTGATCTGCCTCTGTACCACATCCGACCCAACTCACACTTCACTGCCATCTTAACCGCCCTTGGCAACAATCTCGCTACCTTTCCTCCTCATCTTCAACTCCCATAGGCATCCTCACTCTCTATCCGAGCTGCACCCACTCTTTCCTTCCTCTTGGCTGCTATGCTTCTGCTCTCATAGCATTGGCTTTTCGAAGCAAGTTTATTCGCTCTCTACATCTTTCTCTGTCTCGACTTCAAACGAGTACCACTGCTTCGCCATCTCTAGTCCCCTTTCGACAACAGCATCATCATCAGCACCTCCTACATCATCATCAGCACCTCCTACATCATCATCAGCACCTCCATACATACACATCAGCTTCTGTATGCTGATACGATGTCGATCTGCTCTCTCATATTGCATTAGAAGCCTCCGCCTCACCCAACACTGGACTTTTTCCTCGTCTCTACTGTCTATATTCTCACCACACACCACATACGCTCAATCATGTCCCAAATAGTCGAATCTCGCTCAGAGTCGGCGCTCACTGCCTCTGCCGCCGGCTCAGAGGATACTGCCTCGTCGAGTAGTGCCATAGAACCTCCCGATAGTCTCCAAGCTGTGTCTACCGGCCTACGCAGCCTCGCCATTTCATCCAGCTCTCGTCCACCCTGCCAATCTACTCTCGGCTCTTCCTATCCTCCACCGACTCCCAGCTCTAAATCGTCCGATCGTCTCGCCCATACCGCTCATATACCACAATCAGCATCTGCTTCCTACTCCACCAGCCCTGCTAGCCGGTACGGTCGCCACTTTCCCATGACCAACTCCAGCTCAACAGACTCGCAGCTCAACTACGACGCTTACCTTGCCGTCCCGGCCAGTCCAAGCATGAGCGAGGGCCTCACCGACAGTCCCGGCAGTGTATCGAGCATGAGCAGTTTCCGACGCGGCGACCTTGCCGACATCGAGGATCTTGACCTCGAGCCTGAACTCGAAACCGTCAGCGAATGCGACGAAGAGTCCAGCAGCCTTTGCTCTCTCGACATTGGCATCGATCTTGACTCGGATTCCGAGCGGGCCAGCTCTCATGGCGGCGACAACGACCACCTCTCAACAAGCGCCTACTCGCTCGGTCTCTCTGCTTCGCATTTATCTCGTCAAGCCCATCAACGACCGGCATCTCACGGCACGGCCGCCTCCGACTATGCCCGTCGCAAGCGTAGCGAGTGGCTGCTCAACAACTACGCCAACAAGATCGCTGCTCGTCGTCCTCGTCGCATCAAGAAAGGTCGTATCACCGAGATTGTCGAAGAAGGAGGCGAGTGCATCAACACTACCGTCATGCCTAAAGCGCCCTTTGCTTGCGGCGCGTCGGAATGGTCATGCGAAGTCTCGGGTCCTCCCCTCGCTCCTCCACGTAGCGTGAGCCCCTCGGATACCGTGCCTGCTGTCCCGTCCCCCCTCTGTTCATGTGTCAGTGCTGAGAATGGCAACCCCACTGCACCCACCGGCTTGGAGGAGAGCGTCGAAACCATCAAGGCTTACGAAGCAGTGGCCAGTGCAAGAGCCCATCGCACAATCCTGGATCAATCTCAAATCAGCTCGCAAGCGGAATCCTCGACGTCAAAGGCCCATGCTGAGCGCATGGACGACGTGAAGGAGGAACTCGATCTCTCACCTCCTAGACTGTCACGCTCATCCAGTCGTCGCAACTCTTCTCCCGTCAAGCTCCGTCCCTGTTTCCGTCAACAGTCGTCCCAGGCTTCGACACGAGAGTCTTCTTGCGAACATGATCCTCCTCGCGGTCGATCCGTGCGCTTCAGCAGCCGTCCTCCACAGGAGTTGCGCACCCACAGCCCAGTCGAGTACGACCGCAAGAGTTGTCCTGTCAACAACCGCCTGAGTCCAGCCGACGTGGAAGAGCTGAGGACCATGAAGATGGAGATGGGTCTCCTCGAGGCCAGATGGACTGCTGTCGCTGCTTGCAAGCCCAAGAAGGTCGAAGGCACCGAAGGCACCACTAAGCCGGAGAACTACAATGCCTACAACGCCGGCATCGCTGCCATCAATGCCTCCCGCGCTTGCGGAGCCGAGTCGGACTCGACCACAGGCCCAGGATCTGCAGGCAGTCCAACTGCACGCCTGCGACAGCAAAAGGAGCGAGAGCGTCTGCAAGAGCGTCAGCGCAACCTCCCTCACTATATGCGTAACCGCCCATGTGTGGCTTCGTCGGAAGCCTTGTCGATACGCAACAAGTTTGGTCAGGCGCCACCACCACCTCTGCCCGGTACTCCAGCAGCAACAAGAGCAGCAGCAACAAGAGCAGCAGCAGCAACAGCAGCAGCAGCAGCTCGTGCTTCTTCCATGTCGCCCAGTCGCTCCACGTCTGCTCCACCTACCCGCCGATCTGCACAGGATGCTCGTTCGCCGCGTCGAATGAGCTTTCAGAATATGCCCACCGGTCCATCCGAGATTCCGGTGCTGACACAAACGAGCCCGTCACCACCGTCATCTCCAAGATCCAGCCTTAACAAGCAACTGAACAGCAGTCGCGAGACGTGGAGCGGAAGCGTAGGCCCTCATCTCTCTGCCGAACGCGGCAGGCCTGGGCCTTGTGCGGCGGCCCCATTGCCTTCTCCCTGGTCGAATGGATCGAGCTCGGCGACGTCCTCCATCTACTCGAGCACGTATTTCCCCAGCGGCCCCTCCACGCCTTCCTGCGTCAGCTATCCCGGTGGCAATGGCTACGACAGTCCTGCGTCGGAATTTTACGAGAGCGGTAGTGAATATGACATGATATGCTGATCGCGTCCATCTTCCGCACCGGAGTGTCCGCCTTTGTCCTCGAGCCTTCCCCACCCTCCCCAAAGTTTCTCTGTTCCTATTTCTTCTTATATCTTGTTCCCTTGCACCTTTGTCCCTTGCTTTGTTTGTCCTTTCCATGTGTTACCGTCTATTTGCATGTCTCTCTCCACGTCCCGTCCCGTTTCCTTTTTGTATAGTATCGCATATCTACTTCCAGCAATTCATTCTGACATCGGATCTCGTGTGTGTCTTCAGTCGTGCTCCGCCAACCTCAACATGAGAAGACATTCGCGAGCCTAGATCGTCTATACACATCTCCCGATCTTGACTCAGAGTCGCGTCGCGTAAGGAAATACAGTGGTCAAAATCTCTCTCTCTCTCTTTCTCGCACGAGCTGGCAAATCCAGCAGAAGAGCAGATCTTCCCGATCGGCGATTTCCAGCCTCAGCTTCAGTCACGGACTTGAGCCAATTCAAATCGGCAAAGAAGAGAATTCGAAACTGAGCATTCCCCTACTTTTTCGAAATTGCACATTCTGTCCCCTCACGCTTCACAAGAGAGGAAAAAATTTGCGCCCCTTTTCCTTAGCCAGACACAGTCCTCGAGAGTTTCGACGCTGACTTTCCAAGCGCACAAAGGCTCAGTCCATGGACCGCACAACACGCCGACTGAGCGTTTTGTTTTTGTTGGAGCAATTGGATAAAAGCAAGTTGTCGGCAAGGACCTCCTCCTCTCGCCACCATCATCCAACCATGACTTACGAAAACAACACACAGCAATACGGTGCTGGCACCGCCGACATCGAGTCCAAATTCTCCAACATGTCTGTTCAGAATGGTGCCGCTGGCGGTCCTCCCCGAAAGGCCTACGTTCCCCCTCACCTTCGTGGCCAAAAGCAGAGCGCTTCGCTCAACTCTTCCGCAGCTTCTTTCAGCCCTCGTGCTCCTGCCGCATTCAACAACAGCAACGGTGATAGCAACGGCGCCGCACCTGCTGCCCCTGCTGCCTTTAACAGCGTCAGCCGTGGCGCTCCTCGCGGTGGCTGGGACGCTCCTGCTGCTTCTGGCGTTTACGGAAGTGCCCGCAACGGTGGCGGATACAGCGCCGGTCCACGCGGCGATGGCTCCGGTCAGTGGAAGGACGGTCAACACGTCCCTGCTCCTCAGAACGCACGTCTCGAAAAGGAGCTCTTCGGTGAGGCTGGCGACGGTCTTCACCAGAGCATGGGTATCAACTTCGACAAGTACGGTGATATCCCCGTCGAGGCCAGTGGTCGCGATGTTCCCGAGCCTGTTACTACATTCACTTCGCCTCCCATCGACGCTCATCTCCTCGAAAACATCAAGCTTGCCCGCTACACGAACCCTACTCCTGTCCAAAAATACTCGATCCCCATTATCGAGCTCGGTCGTGACTTGATGGGTTGTGCCCAGACTGGTTCCGGTAAAACTGGTGGTTTCCTCTTCCCCATTCTTTCGGCTCTCTTCACCCACGGTCCTCCCCCTCCCCCTGCCGAAATGGCACAGGGTGGATACGGTCGCAGAAAGGCATACCCCAGCACCCTTATCCTTGCTCCCACTCGTGAGCTCGTCTCCCAGATCTACGACGAGGCTCGCAAGTTCACCTACCGTGCCTGGGTCAAGCCGGCTGTCGTATACGGTGGTGCCGACATTGGCACTCAGCTCCGTCAGATTGAGCGTGGCTGTGATCTCCTCTGCGCCACTCCTGGTCGTCTCGTTGACTTGATGGAGCGCGGCCGCATCAGCCTCAGCAACGTTCGTTTCCTTGTGCTCGACGAGGCTGATCGCATGCTCGACATGGGTTTCGAACCTCAAATCCGCAGGATCGTCGAAGGCGAGGACATGCCTGGTGTCATGGACCGTCAGACTCTCATGTTCTCGGCCACCTTCCCCCGCGACATTCAGCTCCTCGCCAAGGACTTCCTCAAGGAGTACGTCTTCCTCTCGGTCGGCCGTGTCGGTTCCACCTCTGAGAACATCACCCAGAAGATCGAGTACGTCGAGGACGAGGACAAGCGCTCCGTCCTTCTCGATGTTCTTGCCTCGATGCCCAGCGGCGGTCTCACCCTCATCTTCGTCGAGACCAAGCGCATGGCCGACATGCTCAGCGACTTCCTCTTGCGATCCAACATCGCCGCCACCTCGATTCACGGTGACCGCACTCAGCGTGAACGTGAGCGTGCCCTGGAGCTCTTCCGATCCGGAAAGACTCCCATCATGGTCGCCACTGCTGTCGCCGCCCGTGGTCTCGATATCCCCAACGTCACCCACGTTGTCAATTACGATCTCCCCTCTGATGTTGATGACTACGTCCACCGAATCGGTCGTACCGGTCGTGCCGGTAACACTGGTCATGCCACTGCCTTTTTCAACCGTGGCAACAAGAACATCACCCGCGACCTTCTCGAGCTCCTCAAGGAGGCTAACCAGGAGGTTCCTCAGTGGCTCGAGGCTGTTGCTCGTGAGAGCATGTTCGGTGGTGGCAGCAATGGGGGCCGTGGTCGCGGCCGTGGTCGTGGCCGCGGCGGTGCTTCTTCCTTCGGTAGCCGTGACGCTCGTACCATGAACGGTCCCTCGTCCGGCGGTGCACGCGGCTTTGGCGGTGGTTTTGGCGGTGGAATGGGCGGTGGAATGGGCGGTGGCTACGGTGGAGCTGCTGCTTACGGCGGCCCTCCCCCCGCCTCCAACGGTGGTGGCTACGGCGGTAACTCGTCGTGGTGGTAAACATCTCGCCCTCTCTCTGCTTGCCGTCGCCTGATCTGTAGCTCATAGGTCTGGACTGCCGGCATCAAGCTATGTTTCCAGGTTTCTCGCTTCTTGGCCGTTCGATACTTTTCTTGGCCCCTCCGAAACGCACGATCATCTTCTATCTCATCCCATCTCATCAAAAGCATAGCGGACAATTTTTCTCGCCTCCTTCTCCTTCGTCTCGAGTCCGTTCTGTCGTGACAGCATGGAGCGTATATCCTACCATCACAGCATGATCTGACTCGCCTTTTTACCTCGCATTTGCATGGTTTATATAAGCTACCAGCTCGATCGTTTTTCTAAACGATTGCGCTGTTCGGCTTGATTTTTTCAGCCTGACTCTGTACGAGTGGTTCTCAACTGGTTCCGATAATCTGCATCCACCTTTGCATCACTTATAGAGTCACAATCAAGCCTCGTCGCATACAACACATCAAGATACCATGCAAGCAATAGTTTCCCTTTCGCAAGTAGTACGGCCCTGTTCCTCAATCTAGCAGACATTCGCATCTCGGTGATGCAAGCAAATCTCTTTTGGTTTCCAAGCTTTGGTTTTCTCCTCCTTCGGTCTGCTCGAATGGGCCCGTCCTGCATTCGACTCGAGTCGACTCCGATGACTGGTGTTCATCTTTCAACAAAAGCATCGTCGGTCTGTCAAGACCCCTTTCTCGGCTCTGGTCCATCATATACCCCTCCAATTGTCACGTCAAATTGTCTGCTTTCCGTTCTTACCGTCTCGGTCGTCTTCTTCGGAAGAGCGCGACGAACACCATCCACGTCCTTACATCGTGTGTACTTGTAGTGGCCACTTTTCATGTCCTGAGTTCCGCCTGGGCCAACCATGGTTTACAGCCGGCCTCGCCTTTCTGCTGTAGATACTTCTTTGCAATCAATGTTCATACTCTGTTGTCATTCTCAACCTTAGACCCCAGTGTCTCTGCACCACTTGAACGTGCCTTGCAACTCAGAGGATTGGTTGACATCGAGACCCTATTGACCTTTGTGTCCTGGCATGGACCTTTGCAATCTCAAGCTCATTGATGAGAGCGCATTGCGCAAAGCTTCTGATATCCTAGAATTGAAGATAATCAAGGTATTATACTCTGTCTTGGAGCCATGATCAGGCTCCTTTACCACAGACATATGACTTTTTGAATGCTTATCATTTCTATGATGAAATGTGACTATATGAGCATATATATACCTTCTCACTGTCTCCGAACATGTTGGGGTGAGATGAGTCACATCCTGTAGCACTCCTGAGTTGTCGCCTTCTGCAGTACTCCTGATCTGTTGCTATGGCAACCCTTATGTACTTCATTGTATACATCACTTATGTGTCAGGGGTCTCGCGCCTGAAACCCAGGTTGGTCTGTCGAGATACTCGGTGACTATCAAACTGTGCAACAGCTATTGTCTCGGTATCGGTGACTATCAAGTTGCGCAGTGACAGCAGGTGGCATTTGTTGTATATACTATCATAGGTTTTGGCTGACCTCTGTGGACACTCCGTTCAGGGGTAGCTTGGCATGATCAATATCAATGTTATGATGACACCAAGGTCTGGTGTGAGTGTTGATGATGATGAGGTTGATGGTGTTGGTGATGAGATTGGTGATGTCAATGATAATGAGGTTGATGGTGTTGGTGATAAGGTTGGTGGCATCAACATGAGTGTCCAGTGTGTTGACTTGATGCTTGAAGTGATCCCCAGACCGCAGTGGACTACTGCCTTCGGTTCTATCTTGATCCGGACTGCTAACCTGCTATGGGCGCCTTCGGACGTCAGGTAGTGGTGATACAACACACACACTACGATGAGGAGCAACCTTGATAGATTGCTGCTATGCTGACTGAAACTAATATATACTTATGCTGAAGTGATAACTAGTTATGGTGAGTAGAGTGGATGAGGATCCACTCGACCTATGATGATGAGAAAGCATGGTTATATACCTCTTCACAGCATCGCCAGCGATGCTGCTCCTGCTCTCTCTCCAGAGAGTACCCTCTTCATCGAGTACTGCTCAGGGGCCTCTCCTGCTTGGCACCCCTGTGCCTCTTGAGTGGTGTTGACTCCTTCGACACTGCTCCTCCTCCTCATGACCTGGTGTCGACTCCTTCGACACTGCTCCTCCTCCTCATGACCTGGTGTCGACTCCCTTGACACTGCTCCTCTTCCTCAGGACCTGCTTGCTGGTGTCCTATGACTCTTGTCTCTCGAGCCCCTGAGTGGTAACCATCTGAGCTTGGTCCTCTTCGTGGCTGCACCTGCTCCTTAAGCTTGGTCCTCCTTGTGGCTGTGCCTGGCCCTCCTCACATGTGGCTTGGTTCTCCTTTGCATGTGAGTCCATAGGAGTCCATGGTCTCCATGGAGACTGCACTACGACCATGCTCTCTACTGGTATCAACTAGATCTTCGATACCTGTGCTCCTTCCATATGAACCAGTGACCCTCCTGCTTCTTGAGCATCCAGGCCCATGACACTATGCATGATCTCAGTTCCTTGATGTCTCGGTTAAAACTCATGAATCCCATTTGGAATGCCAACATATCTTTAACTCCCCCCTTGATGGCATCTCCAGGGGGGTTAGGGTTCTAAGGGCGTCCGGCCGTGGGGCAGACGCATCTTGCCCTCCTGGAAGATGGTCCACTTCAAAATTCAAGATAGTCCATTTCAAAGGTCCAATACAAAGTTGATTTTCTGTGTGCACTGAGCTGGGAAGACAGTCAGCTACAGATCAAAGATGGTCCAATTGAAATGGAAGACAGTCAACTACAGTCTGGAAAACAGTCCAATTCTAATTTGATGTTGCAGCAACACAGGAACATGGTCTACCACACACTTGTCAACTACTATTCCAGCCATGCCACCAATCACCTGTCCAGTGTGCAGCTATGCTTATGCTGAAAGCAACATCACCAACCATTTGCATAAGGTGCACAAGGGCATTGCAGTCAGTCAGGATGCTGCAGCTGCTGTTGGACTTGTTGCATGCTTTTGTGGACAGGTGGTCATGAATGTGGCAGCACTATGCAAACACCAAGGCATCTGCAAATGCCAAGGTGAGAACACACAGCAGACTCAGGTGGAACCTATGCCTGCAATTTCAACTCAGCAATCTCATGATGTGGTAAGTCCAGAGCCTGGGCCTGCAGCAGACATGCAGTGTGAATCTTTCCTGGATGTGTTGGATCCTGCCATCCTTGCAGAGGAGAATTCAAATTTGAATTCAATTCCAGAGGCTGAGCCTAGCATGGCAGACTCAGAGGAATTGCCTCTAGCACTTGTGGAGGATAACTTGGACTATGTGATGGCCGAGGCACAGGCAGAGGCACAGGCACAGGCATCAGAGCCAGAGGACATGCAGATGGAAAATCCAACTAATTCTGAACTTGACATGTCCTCTGGTGAAGTGCCTGACCCTAGCCCTAGCCCTAGCCGGTGTGTCTTGCTTGCGGGCAACGCACAATTGCGCTCCGCCAAATTCGAAATTCACGCGACTGCGTTGACCCCCAACGCACTCGAAATTTACACTGCTCAAGTGCTGCAATGCAAACAAATTTATTTTCGCTGGAGCAGCGCAAATTGAGCAACGCACAGCTGGAGCAACGCACTCACAGCTGGAGCAATGCACACTCTGCTGGAGCAACACAATCTGAGCAGCGCACAGCTCGAGAGCAATGCACTGTTTGAGAGCAACACACTGTTCGAGAGCAACGCACTGTTCGAGAGCAACGCACAGCTCAAGAGCAACGCACTGCTCGAGAACAACACACTGTTCGAGAGCAACACACAGCTCAAGAGCAATGCACTGCTTGAGAGCAACGCACTGTTCAAGAGCAACGCACTCACAGCTGGTGCAACGCACTCACAGCTGGAGCAGCGCAATTTGAGCAATGCACAGCTCAAGAGCAATGCAGAGCTCCAGGACAACACTTGCACTTACACCCCACAACTACTCAGCCTTACAACACCTTTGTCAACATCATCAGCCTCCTTTGCACTCTTAGACCTTTGTTCTTGCTGCCACTACTTCTCATCATCACTGCACAACATAATCACCACTTGTCTTCATCAGCTGTTGTTCTCTCTCATGCTCACACCTCACTACTGCTCAGCCTTACAGCACCTTTGTCGACATCATTTCTCTCTCACGCTCACACCTCACTACCAATCAGCCTTGCAACACCTTTGTCAACATCATCAGCCTTTGTCCTTTATGCTCTCACACCTTTGTCGACATCATTAACCTTTGTTCTTACACTCTCACACCTTTGTCGACATCATCAGCCTTTGTTCTTACACTCTCACACCTTTGTCCTTTATGCTCTCACCCCTTTGTTCTTGCCACTGCTGCTTTTCTCACCATCACCACACATCACCATTGCCACTTGTTTCCTCCAGGCCTTTGCTCATCATCAATCCTTAGTTGATCTTCAACCCTTTGTTCTCATCATTGCTTTGTTGCACATCACCTTTCACATCACTGCCTGTACTCTATTCCCACACTCAGCAATCCAATGTTGTTGTTCCCCATCATCATTGTGTGTGTGTCTGCACATGCATCCTTTGACTTTGTCGTTGCCAACACCTGAGCTCCTCAGCATTAGCATATATACCAGCCCTCTTTCACAGCTATGGCAAGTCTCCTCAATGCTCACATCTCTCAGCACCATACCACACCAGCAACATCTAGCTCTTCTTGCCGCTAACACCAACCACAATCTACAATGTCTCAATCATCTTCCATCTCCATTGGTGCCAGCATCAACACTGCTGCTGCAGTCAGGTACATGCTATTATCCTCTTCCTTTGCCTGTTCCTATTGATCTCCAACTGACCAGTCTCTGTCTCTTACTGAGCTTTGCTGTCACTGTCACAGTAGCAGCATCAACCCCTTCACTGAAAGCCAAGTTCCTCTTGCCATCATCAAGAACCTTGCAATGCACAGCGCCAATGCTCTTTCAAACC